AGGAGCTGCTAGTTTTGCATCATTACTACATTAGTCAGGTATGAGGTCATTAAGGAATTGGACGTACCTAATACCAAATTCGACGGAACTGCAATCGGAGAGGTCTGTTTCGAAACGTACAGAGGAATGTGTGGATTGCGAGACTGGGAAAGGAGGACCTACCTGCAGAGCAATGCTCCAGGAAATGTCGAAGCAACATACCCTTTCTAGATAATAGCGATGGATCATATTACCTCTCTGCTCAGGTCGCACAGAACAATACCGAGCTACTAATTTGGGTCGACTTGTTCACGGGGTATGTGATGGTTAAGGCTAGGGCGTCGCGAATGGCCCAGGCGATAGCTGAAGGATACGAAGAATGCGTTTTTTGCCGTTTTGGTGCTAGCGAGGCAATCCGCTACGATCGAGAGCCAGGGTTAAAATCAGATTTTTTTCGGGCGTTTAGTTGCATGGTAGGCCAGCATCAACAGGCTGCCATGGTCTATCGACCTCAGGCGAATGGTACCTTGAGGAGGATGGTTCAGATCCTGACTAGGTCCATCAAGATGTATGTCTTTGATTTCAGGCAGCAGGACTGGGATGAATATGTAGAATGCTTAGCGTTTGCGATGAACACCGCGCAGACCGACTCCGGAAAAGGACACCATTTTATCTGGTCCATGGTTGGGATGCTAGAACCTACCTCTCTAAGTTTAAGTTTGCACCTTACACTATAGTCAATCAATCATCCACGTTAGATATGTTTAAGTTTGTAATGGTGGAGGTTTCAACGTTTTTTCGCATTAGCAATTTCCGATGCCGCGTGGGCGTTTGCGCGTTCCTCATTTATTTACGCCAAAAAAATTCCCGCGGACTCGCTTCTCGCGACGACTGAGTCTGAGTTAGCTGCGTCAAATTTTGACGCCTTCGTGACAAGCCCTCAAGTTGACCCCCATCCCGGCTAAGCCTACGGAACTCCATCGAATGTAAATTCCGTGCCGGCAGTCATACACAAACGTCATTTAACGGATTTACTAGATGAACTAGACACTGATTTTCAGCCTCAAGTCTGGCAGGACGCGCGCCAAGCTCGCCTTCGTCAGGTCTTCATTATTCTTAACGCTGGGACTCGATTTACGTGCGCCTATTACGACATGACGTCCAAACTAACCAAATATCCCTTTACGCCTTTGGTTCGTTCATCCAAAGTTGCCTTTCTGTAAATTTGGCTCGCATTGCTATGTGGAGTTAGTCCGAATTTCGGCGAAAGCTTCTGATCGTATGATCTTTGACTGGTTTTCTTCTCGGGATGCGCCATCTACAAGCGCATTGCTCACTTTTGTCATACCTTCTCGCAATCGTACACTTTATTTTAGTAAAACTTTTGCACCGAATGATTTAGCCCCTTCCCCATCCGAGCCTCGTCAAAAATCCATTTTAATTCTCCAGACGACGGCATGATTACGCTGCCGTCTTGTTGTATCACAAGGTGGCGCGCTACAACCGTGTTACGCCTCCTTCGATCCGTACGCAACAAGCTGCTCGAGTCTCGCCTACTCTGCTAATCCTCCTTTTGTCGCCCCTTCACTGAACGACTTTTCTCAAGATTGCCATCTGGGAATTTGCGGATAGGCGCACAGTCGTCCCTCTGACAGGCTCTTGCCAATCCTTCGTCTTTACGTAACTCTGGTCCCGCCTCGCCTGCGCTATCGACGAGGGCTATGTATTTGGGTGATGTTTTGCCCGCTCTTGACTTTGACGACAGCGATGCTGAGTCGGCCGCCTCTCAGCGCAGTCTGCAACGACTTTTGGCTGAAAATATCCCTGCATCCAATTTCTTACCTCAGTGCCTTTATGAATAAAGGCGGCTACTAACCTAAAGCCTTGTTAGGTAAAGCGGTGGCTAATTAGGGAAGTCGCGGCTATTCGCTATAAGATTGACTCCACACTTCGTATCGCTCAGCCTACCGGTTTGGTGAAGCCAAATTATTATAGCCCACTTTGCAACGAAGAACTTGATCCTGACGCGCCCCAATGGCATTACGATTTAGAGCTGCGCCAGGATGATGAGGCCGAAGCTTGCCTTAAGATTTTTTCTGTTCACACCAACAGTCAGACGTATATCATAGTTTACGCCTCTTGCTGCATCGTATGATATGGAACATATGCACTGGGTCGATTTAACTCTTTAGTGACAAATATTTGGAGAACTTTACCGACAGTTGCACCAGCTTGCTTCGATCGAAGCTGAACCCGTACTACTTCTTAAGGCAGACCCCAGTCAAGTAGACCGTCTTGCGGCTAATCGTGCTTATTTTGTCGCATGGTTGTTCGTCTGCTATTCGAAGCGGTTCTAAGTCCAACATGAATGTTACGATTGGAGAGCTGTCATGCACGCATTTCTTTCGTTCCCCATCAGCATCGGCGATACGGCTACAGACCGCTTCTATAGTAACTCCTTAGGGGTGTTTCATGGGAGTTATCGTCTATTTTGACTCGCCATCGCCAATGTTAGTGCGATTTCTTCCGGTCCGTTTCACGGGACATAGGCCTAAATCCTTCTTCTTTTGACTCTTCCAGGCTTTGCGAGATTCTTCAGCATAGTACAAGCGTTTACTTTCCTCTTGAAAAACCATGCTGGATGCGCCGCGTACGGCGAACGATTTTACGGCGAAGAACGATGTAACTATGCGATTTGTCACACTGCTCCGGGCAAGGCGTCAGGTCCCAACAGTTTATCTGTCGAATACTATCAGTTTTTTTGTTTTGAATGGGCTTTTGTATTGGAGCTTATTTATCGCCCAAGTTCGCGAAGGCCGAAAGAGTAAATTTCAGCCCGCGCTTATCTCTCCCTTCTGTTTAAGAACGGCTTTCTCTCGGATCTCGAGAATTTTTGGCCCTTGACTCTGCTAAATTAAGATTTCAAGTTTGGTCCTTAGGCGCTGGCGTATCGCCTAAATCGTGTTTTTTCCTCTTATTGGTGATGATCAATACGAGTTCGTGCCTGGCCGTGACATTCGCCATGCACTTCGTTAATTTTGGACTTTACAGATCACTGTAGGCGGAACAATTCCCATGTTTCGGCCGGAGCTTTTTATCTCGACGTCGCCAAAGCTTTGATAACGTCAACTGGCAGGATTTGGTCAAGCATTGGGTTTGGTACTACATTCTGCCGTTGGGCTCTATTGTGCTATTCCCGGGAAGTGAATACGCCTATTTCGACCACTATTCGGAGCTCTTGGCACCACATTCACAGCTTTGCCAACGGTGTGACTGGCTTGGTTAATAATCGTCGTCCAGCCTTTCATTTCCTTGATCGGCTAAACGATTTCTGCCTCGCCACAAGCATGCAGCTTAACTTGGCCAAGACTGTTATCGTTTCGCCCATGGACGGACGATGGCTCGGATCGCCGTTCACGTCTTCTGCTCTTCAGCGTTCGCGTTTTGGATAACGGCGAGTCAATACTTTGTTGGGAATCGCCGTTGGCCGTCAATACGACTCTCGTCTTCGACTTTACAGACTTCTTCTCCGGTTTCTTCGCTTATGTGCTTCATGGAGTTGACGTGCTAGGACTCTTCGGGGCAGAGTTTTGTATTTGACGACTATGATCCATTCCACTTTATGGCACTTCTTGAGAGCGCAGTAGATCCCTCCGAAGGCCTTACATCTCTTTAACCCCCTTGAGCGGAACTGTGTCAATGGTTTGCGTTCACGTCCGTCGACGTCCCTGTCGCTCGTGACCAATTTCCCTGCTCAAGACATGCGTTGCAACTGCAGACGGGGAATTCAATCTTATCAGTGTGACTGCTTTCGTTGAACCTCTTAGGACTAATCTTATCCGGAAGTTAATTTGCCAAATTCGTCGCCAACTTGCTTCGCCTCCTAAATGGTTTCTTTCGGCTCAACTTTTCTTCGATGCTGCCTTTTATGGTCAAGGTGTGGGGTTTGACATTCTTTACATTCGCCTTTCGCATTGGCACAGTCTTCTCGCTGGCACTCGGTTCCCACATACTGGCGTTTGGCCTTGGCGGTCTGGGGCTCCAAGATCCTCCCACGTCTTCTTAACTCTAACCTATCGTTCACCCGTCTTACGTGATCTCTCTGTAACAATCGCTTTCTTTTCTTTACTACTGCGCTTCGACCTCTATCGGTGCTTTACGCCAAAGCGTTTCGCTTTCTCAGTCACCAAGACATCTTGCGTCTTTCAACCTTTTGCCGCTGATTTGGGACCACTCCCGACGACGATGATTCACGGCTCACGCTCTCCGATTCTTCTCTCTTTAGCAGTCGCTCAACGGCGGCTGTTGTTCTTATCTTGGACAGCGTTTGGATTTGACTTCTCACCATGCGCTTTTTTCCATTCATCATTTGCCGCCGGGGCCTATGATGAAGTGCTGTTTGGACATTCGAAGGTCACGCACGACATCGCTACAGATCCCGATTCCGTTGTCAAGCGCCTTCATAATTTGGCGGCGATTCATTCTCTTCCACTTGCTTCGCTTGGCGCTCCTACCGTTTCTCTTCGGTCGTCTCACTAGAACTTAGACCGCACGCTGCAACGTGATACTATTCCCGTTTCTGCTGACTTTATCTTCCGGCTTCAGCGCAATGGTCTTGGTTTTCGATACAAGTATCGCTGGCTTACTTTGAACATGATCTGTATCCATGGCTGTCCGTTTTCCAAAACCCTTCTCTACCTTCTTTGGAAATGCTATTTGGCTCAAGTTCTTGGGCGTCTTTTTTCCGCACTTCCGTCGGATTTACCAGTCTTCTCTCTCTTAGGATCAAGTAATGTTTCTCTGCAATTTAGAAGTTCCTGCGGCTACTTGTGCTACTTACAGTCGACTGAATCCTGTGCGGCTTTTCGACATCCTTCGCTGCTGCGTCTTACACATACTTTGGCTCCACCGTAATGCTCCATCTCTACCCACCATTACTTCAGCTCATGGTTATCTATCGGCAATGTCTCGCTATGGTTCGCCTACACTTTCAACGATTGTTCAAGTCCTTAACTCACCCTTGTCGCTCTAATTACGTTCGGAACAAGTCCTGAATTCTTGCCTTTCGGGCGGTTTGGCATCGGGACTTTGTCGAAGACCATTCTCGATTTTCATGGAATCATTTCTCGCGTTCACGGCGTTCACACGCACATTATTTTTGCTGCAAAATTGATTTAGTTATTTGTCTTCGAGCTTCTAGCCGTTGCCATCTTCTCGCTTTTGTTTGTTTGTCTCACGGCTCTTTGAGGTATAATACCTTGCTTCGCCGTGCCTTTGGCCATTTGATGTCTTCCTTCTTCTATCTCTGTGGAGGCATATACTCCTCCCACGACCTTTACTTTCCAATTTTGATCAGATGTTCTTGGTCCTAAATTCGTTCATATTTTTTGCTAATTTCCTTTGTGAATTCAACGATTTAATTGGGACGATCTGCCGCTTTTGCAACGAACTATGTGGATTCAGCTCCTATACGTTCGGTTTTCGTATACAGATCGCAGTTCACGGCACAAATCTTCAAGCCAAGCTTCTAAATGTTGCAGATTGTTCACTATTTGCATAGTGTTCTACCATAGTAAGCCCGTGTGATGTCAGGAAATACTCACATTTCGCTAAAGCATACGATCCATTCCGTCTATTCGTGGTAGCCTCTTACCGTCTGCTGCAGGACGGCTTGCTCACGAATAGAATACGTACCTACCCATTCTTTGAAGGTACCGAAGCTTCTTCGAACGTGCGCCACAGCCTTACCGAAGAGGTCTGCATTCAACCAATGGCTGGCGCATAGTTATTCTTGCTATCATCCCGACGACTTACCTCAAGATCATTGCACAACTTGGCTTACGCTCTTTCCATTTACTTTGTTGTATACCCGACCTAATGCGTCGAGATTCTTCACCAAATGGGAACCCTATGGTCTCTTTTGCGCTTAGGTTTGGGACCTATGGATCACTTTTTACGTGGTTAGGACCCTTTCTTACATTTCCTACCTTTTCTACTTTCTACACGGTGACCCTTTGGTCCCCTATTTTTACTTTGTGAAGATTCGATACAGCCTTCCGGTGCGCCTTTCGTTTGTCCAAGGACTTTAGTACCCGGCTTTCCTTTCTCTAGGCCTACTCACGCTTCAATCAGCTCGTCCGCAATCAAAGCCAGTGGACGTTTTTATTTTAGTTATTTCGGTTCAAACTCACATTTAGTAATACAATGACACGTATTTCTCCAATGACGGTCACATCAACATTTTTTTATCATTTTGAAAGTATACTATACAAATACACCTTTTAACTAGTGCAAACGGTCAATAATTATTTGGCAGCAATGAACTCGATGAACCTTACACAAAAGTCCTAAATTATATAATAAAGTTACAACTGACAGCACGTTAACTAACAATGTCCAAGAAATCCAAAAAGTCTATCAAAACCAAGAAGAGGTCTGCTAAGGCGACATATACACTTACTAAGGCGACGGAAAACTCAAAGTTAGTAGCAGCCAATGCCATTTCGGACGTGACAGTTGATTTTCAGGCCTTCTCACACTACAATCGTAACGGGATCAACGTGTCTATCCACGGCCTGCAGTCCAAACACTTGTCAAAGGTCACACGAGATAGTGTTGTAGCTCTCTTTGAGAGTAACATGAAAAGTCTCTATCAGTCATCATCCTGGGGATACGACTCGGTTGCAAAGTACATGGAACTATTTGAGGACGCAGCGCGCTATCTCTTGGTCTACGACCAGAGTGACCAAGTTTTAAGCTCTTTGAAACCACTTGTAGGCTTCGCTCATTTTCGTTTCGTGGAAGATGACGGCGCGCTGGTGTTGTATTTGTACGAAGTCCAATTGGCTGCCAGAGCTCAACATTGTGGACTTGGCAAATTTATCATGCAATTGCTGCTTTTGGTGGCGAGAAAACAAGGGATGGAACTCATGGTGCTCACTGTGTTTAAGAATAACACAGGGGCCATGAGATTTTATAGAGAACGGTTGGGTTTTGCGATCGATGAGACGTCACCAAGTGCATGTGGAGACGACTCTCAGGACTACGAGATCTTGAGCAAGAGCGTGGTTTAAATCAAGTAGAGCGTAAGAATAGAAATTATCGACTAAGCAAGCAGCTAGGAGTGCTGTAGTTAATCTAGTTGTTCATGTACGTCCTGTTTAGTTTAGCTTTATCGGGTAAAACGCAATGCACAAGCACCCAAGCCAAACTGGGAGCAGCTTTGGACAGCACATGTGAGCGGAATATTTCGACTTAGATGTGGAATCAGTGGTCGCAACCAAATAAAGTGTTGAGAAAACGGTAGGCACGGCGTGCTTGGCAGACCAATACAGAAGAGTCATGGAAGACAATATGCCAGAATCACATGCAGCTATGACACCCATACAACAATACAGTCTTACAAAAGCGGTTTTGGTAAGTACGCCATGTTTTGTCGTTCTTGTGCTAAGAGTACATGCAGATGAGTAGCTCGATGGCAATGGCAACGGCAATGACCATGCCAGCACAACAAATCACTGTCATTGCCAAGTGAGCTCCTATCGTATTGACTATGCAGCAGCACATAAGGCTTCTGCGTGAATCACCTGCAAACTACGTAACAGACAGCTGTAAGAGTCGGAATAGTCGAGCATTTTCTACTTCGTATCAACTTACATACTAGAGTACTACTGCTACGTCTACCAAAGAGTAGGCAACGCTTCATATTCGTTCTGGTATTATCTACATGTATTGTTATTCTTGTGGGCCTCAGAAGGTTCTTTTGACGCATTGCGATGGCGGTCGTAACCCCATCACTCATGCAGTAATTGGACATAGTGTTGTGATCATCATTGGCTTCCACAATGGATCAAATTTATGTGTAAAATGAATAGGCGTCTTGCTTGGCACAATACAGACGAAATCATTGTGACTCAGGAAGCAAACGATATATGAAATGCTACAACAGCCAACCATCTGTCGCATGTCAATATGATGCACACAATATTGAGTGGTTTGTGTGTGATCGATCCTCCCGGTGACCCACATAATTGTGTCGGAGTGTTGGTGCAAAGTGAGCATCACATAAACCAGCAAGACTAGCAAAAGTGAGCTTGTTGATAGGTGCCTACGTTGTGCTTTCGTGTGGTGAAGGCACGTTGTGAGCCAAAGTCAACAGCGCCTGCATCACTCCACCGTGGACGATGGTCAAGTGAATTGGTGTAAGAAAAGAACGCTGAAATGGTATTACGAAGCAGATGGACGAGGACAGCATGCAGAGCAAAAGTATTCATTAATCAGTCTGTACAAGTACTTCTTTCGTTTAGTGCGTCGGATGCGTGTTGCAAGCTCACGGCTTAGTAGAGCGTCGAAGTCATGCTTGCAAGTCTTGGTTTTGAGTGAGAATAGCCCAAAGCTGGTGATGTTGATGTCAGTATCAAGTTGTCTGAGGAGCGCTTGTCGGGAATGGAAAACAGCGGGTTGGTATCTCGATACCAACGAGTTTACGTTTGCGTAAGCTTCATCGCACGTACTATATATATTCACTTTCGTAGTGTCGCGACGAGTTAGATCGCTAGAACGTAGTTGGTCGCTGTTACAATGTGCAGTCGTGGCATTTCTCCAATGCAGGATTCATTACATATTACGACACGTATCATTTGTCCCATTGAACTTAATGGGCACAGTGGAACGATTACATTGATATTGCAGCTTCCAAGTTAAAACTTACTGTATTGTACCTTTGAGGAGACCGTCCTTCTTCAATGTTAGCATCGTGCGACTCTGTTGCAGCTGTCGCAATCATTGCATGAGAAACTGTGTTACCTACATGCCTTGATTTGCCTGCAATGGGATGGCATAGAGTGCAGTGCATCCAGATGTCTTCATCATTCGAAAGAAATTGCTCGTTGAGGTGAGGTAATGCTCGATCTTACGAAGGATTACCAGGGGTTAGACCACGAGGAGACGTAAGCAGCATAGCATGTATCACTAACACTCGGCCGTGGTATTCTAAATCACAGTCCACCTTCACGACTGAAAGCGGCATTCTTGCTTTCAATTTTTCAAGCACTTACAAGGATAAGCCGGAAGCAATCTCACTCAAGGAACCCTCCGGAGCCGGGACAAGTAAACGCTTGTACTTCTTTCTACTAGCAAGGAAGCTGCACGTTTCACGCACGCGCCTGTGTTTTCAGTTTTTTATCCCAAGATAAACAAAGTGCCAGGGCACCTCTAGCCACGATCACGATACATTCTTACAAGTACACTACTAAAAATTTGCTTTCCCACCGCTCAATCGAACCGCTTCCCGTTGCGCAGCCAGTAAGGGTCCACATCGATAGCTTGGGTCGGCTTGCACTTTCGCTGCGGGCAAAACTGTAACGACTAACAAGAACAGGCAAAGTGTCATTCCACGAGGCTGACTGGCAAAACAAATCAAGGTGTGTCTGGTATTCCGATAAAGCTGTTCTCTTTCAAGCAAGTCTTTCGTCATGTCGTGAAAAGGGTGACGTGAGAGGGAGCATCTGTTGTGCACATGGCGTATGCTCATCTCAGCTTCCAGACCAGGAGGATACACAACACCTGCGTGTCCACAAATGTATGTATACTGTAGGCTCATCATGTCGGCACTGGTTAAAGACAATGCTATTTGTACAACATGGTCGAGTGGAGAAAGTCATGATCTCGAGATTGCGAAAAATTCAGTCGCCTATCAAAGAAATGGGTGATGTTCTACATGTGTAACATCGATCAAAACTTTCTCGTCGCTAGTAGCACACATTGATGATACAAGTAAGTAGTACATCTTCGCAGTCAGTCATATATGTTCTGTAAAACAGAGACTGTCTTCAACGGTGTGTTAAGACAATGTATGACAACGGATTGCTTGACGTCTACCAAAAGGATCCGGTCAGATAATAGACAAACTAGTCGAACAAGTTGTCGCGCGGTCATCCAAGCTCGCGCAATTCATTCAACGGACAAAGCCGTTAACGTCCTGTTGCTGCGTCCCCATCTGGCGATCTCTCAAAAGCTTTGCGTCAACTTGCACTTGGTGCATGTTCTACGATTCTCCCAAATCATTCATGTCCAAGATTTGAAAGCAGATACATCGATCCTCACCGAAGCGACTGCAGCAACCGCTCAAAGTGCCTACAGAGTAAACTCATCCCATATGCTGCCCTCGTCTTAGCAACAAGTTGGACGCATACATCACTTCGTCTTCTGATTGTTGTTGACATGTACTTTTCTACTTTGGTAGTCGTTCTGACGGTAGCACACCGCAATCATAGTCTTTGCTCATATTCTTTGAAGCAAAGCAAGAGCGAAACCTGCTGTGCAATTCATCCTGTGACTGTTTCTGTAAGCAACAATAAATCCATTCGGCAGGTGCCGGCAATTGCAACAACAGACACAAAGTGGGTTTTTTTGGGAGGGCAGCTAGCTATCCGTGGCATAGCCATTGATTGACAAGCCTATATGGCGATCAAATTCTATGCTATATATATAGCATAGAAACTTCTGTAGCTTACATTGAAGGGATAACATTTGAGCTCTTGACTCATACCACAACCAGTTGGTATTGGCCTTAACAAAAACTCGTGACCGTCGAAGAACATTGACTTGCCTATAGTGTACAGAACCATTGCAATTTGAAAAGCCTCTTGCACTATGTATTCATTAAACGCATTCTTGTACATATATTGTAATTGTGGCGTAGCTTTTGCCTAGCGGTCTTGTAGCGGGAGAGTGGTGGACCTTATCGGTATTGTTTTGTGGACCTCAACAGCTGCAGGAAATTGCTTCCACCAGCTGCTGTGTCGCAAACATCTTGCTATTTGTATGTAGCTGACTACTTGGAGCTAGTCAGTTCAAAGTAGGTTTGCCAGTCATGGTTGTGTGTATCCGCCGTCTGGTTTATTCTTCGTTACCAGTAGCCATAGATCTTGAACTACATATACATATTGGTCTAGTCATTCTTCATTTTGCGCCAACATCGACGGTCATAAAGCTCATACACGTCCATAGTGTCGATTAGTCGTTGAAAAATTAGCTTCATTCACCGATCCTAAAAGTCTTCTCTTGCCTTTCCCCATTGCTGCTTGCTTGCTGCCCGTAGGTTAAGCTGTTCTCATTCAAAGCGACAATACAGAAAAAGCTGTCTTCGATTTTGAAGCAGAGAAAAGAGATTTTTTGCTCCATTTGCATCTGCTTCACATCCTAAGGAGTGAGCTTCCCATCCGACCGTAGAGACTTTTGGATTTGTATCACGAGACTCCTTCAAGTGGTGCAGTAGCAGGCTCTTACCATTAGGAAACGAGTGAAGCTACCCGCTATTTTTTCAGCTAGCGACGCGATCGATCGGTTTAGTTTTCGAATCAAGTTGTTTGAGACAGTCACTGGAATACAGAGCTTTATTCTAGCAGCAAGGGGGGGCATGTCCATTGACGGTATACAAGACAACGATGCCACTGGCCAGCAACGACCGATCAAGATGACCCACAAGACTGGACGAGCAGTCATGGCTCAACACCTTCCGTATTTAAACATGGTGCTTGAAGACATTGGTATGATGGGTGGTAACGCTAACATTTGGTCGCGACCACAACAGCAGTTCATTCCGTCTTCACAGCAGCAGTACGGCGCCATTTGCCCTCCGGTAGTGCTCACCCGCCACACGTCCATGCCTGTGCGCCAACTGACGCCTCGTCGATACGATCATCATCAAGCACGGCAGCATCAACAAGCAACATCGTTTGCTGTGGGAACACCACCAACCCTTGCACGGCATCACAGTCACGGTTACACCTCGGTAATGCAGCCGCAACAAGGATATCAAGCTACAATGAACATGACAATGTCTCCTCGTCAGGTGCACATGAGCGATATGCAGGACCTGTTGGAGATTAGTATGAATCAACAACAACCTTTGCAGTACCAGATCCCGACGCAGCAACGTCGGATCAAGTCTGAACCTGTTTCGTCGTCCTCGTCCATGAACGTCGAGCCGATCGCTTTCACCGGCAACAATGCCAAGATGGTCATTGATAATCTAGACCCTCTCGCCTATGTTGTGTTTGGAAACCCTTCTGGTCTCAAGCCTTCTCTTCCCGGAATGCCTCAGGATATTCAGCAGATTGAGTCGGCCTTTGACTCACTGGACCACCTTATGCCCGAGATCGAGCAGGAAATGTTGTTTCGATCGCCGGAGCTGGACCAAATTGCCCAGACTACGGCTTTTGCTAGCACAACGACAATCAAGTCGCCCAAGAGCATTGCTACCTGCAAGATGAGTGGTTGCGAGCGTCGTGTGCGCTCCAAAGGCTTTTGCAAGACTCACGGTGGTGGCCGTAAGTGCAACATTGAAGGCTGCAAGAAGTCGAGTCAGAACGGAAACTTTTGTATCGGCCATGGTGGTGGCAAGAAGTGCAAGGAGGAGGGTTGTGCTAAAGCTGCGCAGTCTCACGGTCTGTGTAAGGCTCATGGTGGTGGTGCTCGTTGCAAGTACTTGAACTGTAACAAAAGCTCCCAGGGTGGCGGTTTATGCCGTGCTCACGGTGGTGGCAAGCGCTGTCAGGCGTCTGGATGTCCCAAGGGTGCTCAGCGTGGCAATTTTTGTGCTACCCATGGTGGTTTTCGCAACTGCAAAATTGAAAACTGTGTGCGCACGGACCGTGGTGGAGGTTTTTGCGAGGTGCACCGTCGTGGTCGCCTTTGTAAAGTGGAAGGCTGCAAGAAGCTGTCTCGTAACCAGGGCATGTGCACCATGCACATCCGTGAGGATAAGCAAATACTTATCGACTCTATCCAGTCTCGGATATCCGAACGTGCTGTCGCTATGGCCGTTTGAGGATCATGACGGTCCTAATGCTGTTCATTCGTGATCGTCCTGCGAATCCGTTCTTTTCTTTCCCTCGAAGCTCCGCAGAACGTCATTTCTCATTCAAAGGCAGGTGAGGAAGAGAAGAACCAGGACTTGATGCAGGATAAAAGTGCGAGCTGTGTTGTGCATCACTAGGGATCGGTGTCTCCAACTCGTATCTTTGGCATCGTCTAGTTCGTTCGTTGTCTAGTTTACGTGATCTGCTTTGCATCTGCTGTGAAAGTCAAGTATTTAAGTTCTTTGCCAACGCCTACGTGCTAAATTTATACAATGATGTTGATGTATCGTTCGCTCGACGACAAAACGCTTTGACACTCTACCCTTCTTACGCCATTTGAGAATGCCATGAGGACTTGTTGGGCATGTCATAGAAGAAAGTCGATCAAGCAACGGTGATATTCTTCCACGTCGTCGGATAATATTACACCCAGCTGTTGCAGTGATCATGTATTGCGCCGATGGTGTTGCAATTGAGCACGACTTCATAATATTTGCATTGATTTCTTGTGTTTACGATACATACTTACATCGCTTAAACAGATTATGGTATACCAGACATAACAACACTGGTTTCTTCGATGACATCGACGTTCTTGACGGCCATATTCTCGTGTTAAAGGGTATCAAGTTGAAACACCCTACGGTGGTGAGCCTGGCGATTCGGCTGTGGATAGTCCATCTGCGGAGGCATGGACGTCCGGTGTGGGTGAGCTGTATTGTCATGGCTGTGATGGCCATTCCGTCCTTGTGGCAGCTTGGTGCCTTGATGTCTCGAATCGAGAGGTTCCTTATGCTCTTGCTTGAACTCGATTGCGTTTACCGAGTTATTGGACGGCGGATGTTTCGAATCAACTTGCGCTGTCCTTCTTCATCTTGGCCACATACGTGCTGTGCTCGCGGCGATACTCGCTCGTAAAATTTGCAATATGCAAGAGCAGTACGTCCAGTTCCTCCTCGGTATCCTCCTCTTCGAAATACTTGAGGAAATGAGCCTTGGCTGCGTTCAACTTGTCCAGCAGGTCCTGAAGAGCATCCACATCTTTACAAAACTCGATCAGCGTGTCGTGAAAGGCCGCCATCGCCTCCTTATCAGCATCGTCTGCAGTAGTATCCGACATAGAAGCATGTGCTTCTCGCATGACCTTTTGTAACCCAGCTTCGAGCGCATTCTTCTCCGACGCAAGTGAAGAGTACGCCACTTTGCTGCACTTAGAAATGAGGTCGATGTCCTTGTAAAAGTGCGCGAGGTGGGGCACGTCCCGTTCAATTGACTGCACTACATATTGCAAAAATGTGATACCCCCCCACAAATGCCTTGGTCTGAGAAAATCTGACCAAGGAACCCAGCGAGAAGGCGTCAACGCCTTGCTGGTCGTCGTCGCCACCGAAGTTGAGCAAATTCCCAATTTGCAAAATATAAATAAATACTTGGCGTAGTTCAGCGCTTGAGCACACCTGATACACGCCTCGTGTCACGAGGTCTAACGACTCGCGCAGTTCATGCACCCTCGAGGGGAATTCCTGCTTAAATACGAGACATGCTAATTTCTCTTGGAAGCGAGGCACATTGCGCACTTCTACCAAGAATTGTTCTGCTGAACCAATTGTTCCCATATCGCCCTTAAAAGCCAGAATGGCTTCCATCTCCTTTCGATCGGGCCACATGTCCATGAGAGACCGCACCTGAGAAGGCGAAAGAACAGTTGAGTTCATTACCAGAATCTCACGCTTCAGCTCCGAATACGTCAGCTTTACACGCGCCAGAGTAATGGCAATGTTCTGTGACTTCTTCATGTCAATGAGCTGGATCATAGCCTTCTTCTTCTTGACAACAGCAGCACCTTCAGACTTTGCGGAGGCATTGCGCTTCTTGCTCTCGGATAGATCTTTCACAAATAACTTCTCAAGCATAGCGCGACTCTCCTCCGAGATTTGAACTTGCTCCTTTGCCTCTTCCACGTTGTCACCCCACAGACTGTCGCGACGTGTCCCGTTCTTCTTCCCTTCCCAATGTAGCTTCTTGCGAATAGAGTCCTTGCGCTTCAATGACTTTTGCACTGGCTGAGCAGGAGCCGCAACCTGACGAGGGCCGTTCAGTTCTGCCGGATCAAGTCCAGCCAGCCTCATCTTTTGCTCCACTGCACCGCGCGGCAAACCCATACGAAGCATCTGAAAGTATTTTCGGTATTTCTTACGGTGCGCAGCTCTCTCTTCATCCGATACATCTGCTGCAGCGACAGCCTTCGGCTTCGGCCGTTTCGGCGGCCCTTGCAACCACGCCGGGTCTACACCGTCCATGCGCATCTTGTGCTCTACAACTGCGGAAGGCAAGCCTACCTTTACCATCTGCAAATACTTGCCGTGTTTTGCAGTATATTCCTTCAGCTGTGCCTGGTACGCTACCTCCGTTTCTTCATCGAGGGCGGGTACAGGAGCCTCGGGCAGGGGCTTGTCTGGATCCATATCCAGAATGGCAGGGTCCACACTGTCACTCTGCATCTTGTGCTTTACAACAGATGCTGGAAGCCCTACTGCCAGCATTTTGAAGTACTTTTGATACGTCGGGTGGTTCTTCAGGGGTGTCTCGTCTTTTACCGCGTCAGTGGATGCTTCAGCTTCCTGATGGCGCAGCTCTGAAATCGCAGTCAACGGATGTGCAGCCCCGCTTACTTTATCTTGTGCGTTCCTCCCCGCAAGCATAGTCTCCAATGGATTGCCTTTCAAGTTTTCAGTCGACTCCTTGTTGGAAACCAGCGGTGACGATCGTTCCGTCATTGTAGCTTCCAATGCGTTGTAGCTATTTGCTGTAAATTTGTTCAGACAAGTCGTCTCCGTAAATGGAAGAGCTTGTTTTGCCAGTGCCATAGCCAGCATGTTTCTTCTGTCCATGGTAGAAGGATCTGTATCTGTCCGTCGTGTATCCGTCCTATCAACTTTCCTAGCACTCACGCCTGTCACTTTTTGCTCCTGTTGATAATCTTCTTCATCATCTGAATCTTCATTAGGTGTTGGTAATTTACGATTAAGTAGCATATCTGCTACACTAGCATGTCGATCAATACCCACAGGCATATGTCGTTGAGACAATACTTCCAATAATCCAACACCAAAATAATCTTCACTATTTTTTCGTGATCGTGCAGGTGTTGAATATAATGAATCCAATGGATTATCACTACTATCATCATCCGTAAGCCGTACATCTGCCATAATATCAAATGAGTCGTATCTCCTTCTTTCCTTCTTTCGTAAGACTAGAGCCTCATGATCCAATTCTTCTTCTTCTTCTTCTTCTTTGTCGTGCTAATAGATCTTCTAAAGCACTTTGTAATCGTCCTTTTCCTGTTATTGCACCACGTAAGACCACGTCTTCTTCGTCTTCTTCCTGTTGATTCTCCTCAGAAGACGTAGACGACGTCTCAGACGACCCTCGACGCGTTTTAGTCGTTTTATTCGTTGTAATTAATTCCCGTACATCAATAATCTTATCATTACTTTGGACTATTTTCGTATCTTGAAGAGAATGATGGTCCTCATCTAATTGTTGTGTATGTTGAAAAAAATCCTGCACCTTTTGTCGATCATTCCAATATGGTGATGGAATTGATGACGAAGTTGCTGCTGCTGTTACTTTTGAAGACGGGTGTTGCCCAAAAGGGGGGTGTTGAAAATCAGGAAGTCGTGGTCGAAAGTCAAGTCCCTCAGTGCGGGATGAAGTACTTTGGATTAAGTGCGGTAGTGTCACACCCGAGGGAGGATCTGTGATACTTGCAATACTTCTTCTTGTGGTTGTGGTTGATGATTCAATACGACTTCGTTTGTCAGTAGGATGGTGTGCCATGAGCATTGAAATAAAGGACGGTGCCATCTTTAATTTACCGTAAATGACCGTAGCCCGTAAGAAGGGGAAGAGAGAGGGAGAATAGGGGGGGGAAGAGTCTCAAGTAAACAAAAAGCTAGTCTGCAAATCTACCGGCCGAACGACAGCGATTGCTAGTTAACAGACAAGACACTAACTAGTAAGTGTGTGTGTGTGTGTTCTCGAAGTTTGCAACTTTTGGTTATGGATAGACAGACCCTAATGCGCCGCTAAATTATATATGCTGAAAGCCACAAGTCGAACATGGTGATGCAATGTACACGACGTACAAACGCAAGAACGCCTACAGTTGATGATGATGCGCCATCAATTTTAATGAATAAGAACAAACGAATTGACAACAATTATAAAAGGAAATACGATTTGCAGACATGTGCGATGACTGCATGCGGTCACAACAATATTTTCCATATGTATCCGTTCTGGCAGGTATTTAGTTTCGTAACAATTGTACCAGCTGGCACCCAATTTTATATCACGACAGAATTACGAAATTTTGACTTTCTTGCCCATAGCAACTGCCCAGAGAAGCACGGGGAAATATCACATTTACTTGCGAGATATAGCGCCTCACCATTGCAGGTCTTTGCACACGGCTGAGACGTTTGTAGCGCATTACGGCGCAATGCAACTCGTCACGAAATTGACAAAACTTCAGCAGTCTTCTCTATACAAGTGTGTGACACGCTTGTTGAATCATAGTGTTTTGTTGGAAGTCACAAAAAAAGCGGCCAACAAAAAGGTGTCGTCTGACGCCATGTTAAACTGAACTGTAAAACTTGCGCCATTGTAAAATTGCAAGGCTTTGTCTTGCTTAGAACTTGCTCCGCACTCGCGTATAAACAAGATGTAGGCTTAGCTTGAAGTACTGATATAGGGTTGTATGAATGAAAAAGATGTCTGAAGTGCAAGGTTAAAAAGTAGTAAACCTTGATAATTCATCTATTTCTTACTTGTAAGACATTATACACCTGCAAAAGCGTATAAAAAGTGACATTGTAAGATATGTGGTCCAACCCTTGCGTGCTTTTTGGTTAAAGACAGACGAGACAGACGTGGTTCGTCTGATTCCAAAGTCTGCGATACAGCGCTTACTGCAGTTATTCAATTGCCCACTTGGTGTTTTGTTAGTCTTGTTAGCCACATATATCAATATCAAGGCAATTTAAGGATAGTTAGCATTTGTCTCATACTAGCAACAACACCTAATCCAAGAATTAGATTGAATATATAAAAATAGCCAGGACAGGCCTCTATTTACATACATGAACGATTCCTAACTGATATTCACAACTAATGTACTTCGTGCTGCTATCGACGACAGCAGTAGGTACAGAAATTGTATGGAATGTCTTTTTTGTATGCGGGGGGGGGGGGGACCAGGAAAAGAAAAGAAAGGGGGGGGGGGGGGGGGGGGGGACAAACACAACCCAAACCCCCCCCCCCGCCCCCCTCCCCCCCCCCCCCCCCCCCCCCCCCCCCCCCCCCCCCCCCCCCCAAACCCCCCCCCCCCCCCCCCCCCCCCCCCCCCCCCCCCCCCTCCTTCCCCCCTTTCCTTTTTCCTTTTTTTTTTCCTTTTCCCCCTCCCTTCCCCTCAAAACCAAATCACAAAAAAAAAAACCCCCCCTTCTTTCCCCCCCCCCTTTTTCCCTCCCCCCCCCCCCCCCTTTTTTTTCCCCCCCCCCCCCCCACAAACTCCCCCCCCCTTCTTCTCCCTACTAACACACCCTCCTTCCCCCCCCCCCCTTTTTTCCCCCTCTTTTTTTTCCCCCTTTCCCCCCCCTCCCCCCCCCCCTTCCTCCTCCCCCAAAAAAAACCCCCCCCCCCCCCCCCCCCCCCCCTTCTTCCTTCACAAAAAAAAAAAAAAAAAAACCCCCCTTCCCCCCTCCCCACACCCACACCCCCCCCCCCCCAAAAAAACCCCCAAACCCCCCCCCCTCCCTTCCCCCCCCCCTCCCCCCCCTTCCCCCTTTCTCCCCCAAACCCCCTCTCCTTCCTCCCCCCACCCCCCCTTTTTTTTTTTCCCCCCCCCCCCCCCCCCCCCCCCCCCCCTCCCTTCCTCCCATTAAAAAAAAAAAACACCCCCCCCCTCCCCCTCCCCCTTCCAAATTTCTTACCTTCCCCCCCCCTCCTTTTTTCCCTCCCCCCCCTCCCCCCACCCCCCCCCCCTCCCTTTTTTTTTTTTCCTTCCACTTCCCTTCCCTCCTTCCTCTCCCTTTTTTTTTTTTTTTCCCCCTCTTTCTTTTCTTCCTTTTTTTTTTCCTTATTTTTCTCTCCTTTCTTTTTTCCTCCCTCTCTCCCCCTCCCCACCCCCCCCAACCCTTTCCTCAACTAAACATTGAGCACTCTGCATCTTCTTCAATGCCTATAAAGTCAATGATCTCACCTCGTTTTTGCTCCTCGACCAGAAGAAAAATGCAAGCGTCCGATAGTAAGCACGATACAAGGCAGCACAAACGCCAGTCCCAGTGTCAGCAGCAAACGTAGCGTGCCTATCCTCTTACAAGAACACATCCATACGAGCCATCGAAACGAGATACACCGCAATAGATGACGCTGTAGACACTGCAAACAGCGTCTCCCTAGCTCCACAAACACTTGGCTCAAGAACATGACGGCCATCATGAATAGTCTCCAGCGCGTGTTTGTAGCGTGCCGTCGTTCACGCGCGTGCTGCTCGTATTCCAGACGATCTTCGCCTTCTTGTATTAATGCTGTAAGATAAGGATCGTCGTCCATTTCATGAGTATCATTATCGCCCTCTGCCCGGTTCACACTGCGCTGCATCGCTTAGGCTTCTTCAAGCCAACGTGATGAAGGCATTCAAGCGAGGGAGATTGCTCAAACATGGAAATAAAGTATCCTTAAACTGCTTTTATGGCGATATTTATATAACCCATTTCAGCGTTTAAAAGATCCGTTTACATAGTCAAAACCATGTTTTTTATTTTAAATTACGACTAACAAATGAAATTTTTGAGACAAACTGCGAGGCGACAATACCAGAACCAAAGCGAAGAAAAAGAATCCATAGTAGAGACCGAGCAGGATGGACGCATTGCTGGGACGAAGCAACTACTCTCTCCCTCTAGATCATTTTACAATTTTACACCTTTCGTTCTTTGTGCAAAGTCGATGGAAGATATTGCTATCAACGTCTTTGCAGGACCATTGTTGTCTTCTCTTTTTCGAGAAAATACAATCAAGTCTACGAATACGAATACGACGTCAGAGTCAATGATATCGAAGAAGCAATTGACTGTGACTGAAGGGACGATACTCGTAGCAGTGCCAGTGGTTGCATTAATACTGATCTACGTGCTCTTGCGTGTTATTTGGAAGGTACCAAAATCTACTGAGCTACCTCAGAGTAGATTACCATCTTATGGATCTGTTCCATTTGTTTTACCTCGGGAGGAATCACTGGAGATGATGATGCACCGTCCAAAGGCATCGCTAGTGGAAGAAGGTGAAGTTGCCGGGAATTATGAAAAGCACTGGTATGGCACGTTTGATTTTGCATTTATGCTGGGGATGATCGTCTACGCTGGTGTCATGCTTTTGCTGACGTACTTTTATGAGCCAAAATGGTTAGTAGATTTGCATTTCTGGCTCATGCAGCTTCCAAAATTGGGCGTGATGATGGTCGTGTCACTGATTGGTGGCGTCCTTTGTCGAATCTTTTGTGATGTAAACGAGAAGGGTTATATCATAACAAACAAGTCATCCAAGTTTAAAGTGAACTATACTCGGAAGCTGCAACACTTTGCTGCGTACATGGTGCCGTTAGTTGTAAGGGCAGACTATCCTGGTCTAATTGCTTTGGCCTGGGCCGACTTCTTTACAATGCTTGGCTTCCTCGTTCTCATCAAGCCTATTCGTGAGCATTCCAAGTTCTTTATGCTGCAATTCAACTCGTTAGATCGTCCGGAGGACCGCCCTAACACGCTTAAGTGGATCATTTTGGGCAACATCGCTCCGGGCATGTTCATTCTGATGTTCTTCAAGTGGTTGTTCGGTGCTCATGGAGCACTGACGTTCATCCTCGTGTTCATTACGGGCATCGGTGACGGTTTGGCGGAACCTGTGGGTATCACATGGGGGCGTCACAAGTATAAAGCGTACAGCTGCTTCTCTAGAAACAAGTACATTCGTAGTTGGGAGGGCAGCGCATGTGTGTTCATGTCCGGTCTGGTGTTTCCCGCGCTACAGTACGCTGCATTCGACAATTTCCGGCAGGTTTTGCTATCAATGCTGATCTTGGCGCCAACAATGGCGTATGCTGAGGCTACTGCTCCACATACGATGGACACACCCGTGTTGATGATTGGATGTGGTGCTATTTTGTACGCAATTGTAAATCTTGTGTAAGTAAGGACAACATCCGTAGCATGAAGGGCACGGCGCATGTCTATACTTCTGTGGACGAATAGCGACATGGTACGATAGCAGTTTTGTTCATGAAAAGCACTTTACAGCAATATTTGTCAACCAAAGTTCTTGAGCTGTTTAAGCTTGTGATATCCTAGGACGCACATTACGATAGTGTGAGAAACATTGCGAAGGTAAAGCTACTTCTGTCGCTACCAGAAAGATCAATGCACCGCTGTACAACATGCTTGAATTGTGCACAAGTGAACAGCATAATGCCTTTATGCTACTTACTGCTGCAATTGTAACGTATCGTAACGACGCTACTTCCGTCATCAAGAATACATTTACGCGCTTTTTCCTTACAAATTGTTGTTGTTGTTCTTCTTCCACATCACCTTACTGCCTACCACATCGTGTATCATTATGACACAGCCCTGTCGGCCAACTATAACTTACGTACGCTTACTATCTTAACTTTTAATGCAGACAAGTCTTACCTAACAACACGTTTCATCAGCTTGACTGAGTCATCACTTGAATACTATTCGATGTCGACGAGGGAACGTTCCTAAACTGTTGCTCAAACGTTCTTTCATGGACTAAAGTTTTTGACAGACTCTTTGTCGTCACGTTATACTTAATTTTGATTGGTAGAAATAAAGTATCCATCCCTCAACGATACCAGTATCCGGAAGTAAACAAAGTGAAATGTTCTTGCGTGACAATGAGCTGGCACGTGGACGCGGCGAGGGCCGACGAGACGACCGCGCACGTGTGCTACAGCTAGCAAAGGAGCAGCGAGAGGCAAGAGCTCGAAGAAAGGAACAAGAGGTAGCAGTATTGAAGCTACAGGCGTTTGTGCGTGGACGGCTTGTTGCTCGATGCATGAGGACTCGAATACGAGCTGAGTTTGACCAGAAATTGAGTGATATTATCAATTTAAAGGCTATTTTACAGCTTCCGACTATGGCCATGCCCTATAATGCATTATTTGAGGTGAAACGCTGTCGAAATTGAGTCTTTTAAGCTCCAGACGAGATGTACAAGAGGACTAACTCGTTTCATGCTGCAGTTGCTGCGTCTGGTGCTGTTTTTCTATACTGGACGAAGTAAAGACGCTGAGAGACTTTTGAAGCTGAGCTTGTTGTTTACCGACGCGCTGGATGATGCTGTTGTTGAGGTTCGAGGGACAGCAGAGAAACAGCGAGAGTGGCAGCTACGACGACTCGTTGACTTGTGTCTGCAGTGCAGCTCTTTGTCTTCCCCAAGCGTGGATGTGTCCGTGGGATTCAAGACTGTGCTGGCATTGACAGAAATGCTGCCAGAGATACAGCAATACTTGCTGTCTGGCGAACTGCTTGTGTTTTATCCGGTGCAACAAGCTCGGAAGATCCTGTATAGTGAGTTGCCACGCACTTCTGTGACGATGATTATGCGTCAAGGATTGATATCTGCACGAGGGCATCTTCCCATTTCGTCTCGTGCAAAGCCGTCGCTGTATTGCAACGCTCTGGTGGATTTTATAGTACATTGTCTCACGACGACTAATGGGATCCTTGAAGCGTTTGTGATGGAAGAAAGTAAAAGTCTTGTGTAATTCTGATGTAAATGTGACACTGACAGTTGTGTGTTTGTGATTTGTGCCTGTGCAGGTCTTTTCAGTGCCACTATTGAACCAAGTTGTTGCCGAGGACCGATTGCTTCAATTCACAAATTTGTCGCTGTGGAATCGACTGCTTAGTGCAGGATTGCATCTGTCAGTGTTTGACTTTCCTGATTCTCCTGTCTCGGGTATTGCGTCTGAAGCCTGGTTTCTTGGCAACATTCTTTGGATTTCTGATCGGTAAGTGCTATAGTGCCTTGCATAATGTGTATGCAGGAATAGAAAAAAGATCTGACGAGCTGTTGATGCAAAGCGTGGAAAACAAAACAGACGTTGTTGTGCTTAGCGAAGTCCAGCTCCTTTCAAAACTGCTACAATCTGTCCCACCTGCAACATATGCCGCGTCGGGAGTGGCGGTTTCGTGGACAAAAGTATCCGAATCTCATTCCGTGGCTGTAGTTTTCCCAGAAGCTTTAAACGAGCAGCTACAAATTTTGGTTAATGACCAGTATCTACGCTCAATGTGCAACCACCTCCTTTTGTTTTCTCCTAGTGCGCTTCGCCATCCGTTGGCAACTCAGCGGCCGACACCGATGCACCCTGAAGCACCAACAGTTGCGGTAAGCAACTTAGCGTGTCATCCTTCTTTTTAAGATCCTGACAACCTTACGTCTTGTAATGTCTTTATTGCTTATAGGAACAATTTGGTTTTGGCGATATCGCATCGGCGTCTTCGTTGTCAGCGTCGCTTTCAGTAACATGGCAGAAGATAAAATCGATTGGAAAGTCGACTTGGGCCCGGAGCTTGTTTGATAAGACTGGGCTGCGGCGTAGACGAGAGGGTGATGTGGATGGAGGGATCGGTGGAGTTGCTCAGTTGCAAAATACCTCGAAGGAGGCACGCCAAATTGCTGTACAGGGAGTTGATGGTCTCAAAAAGTCTACACCGTTTCAACAAGAGGGGGCTCTCAAGCTATCGTCAAGCTCTAAGCCTTTTATCCTTGAAAATATCAAGGCATTGTCGTGCCTTTGCGGTACTTTCCTTTTTCGATGGGGACATGGTGGTGGCAAACGGCAATCGTATGCAATGCGCCTACTCAACACCCTTGCTTTCTATCATGTCGAATTTGTGGAAAGTGAAGGGAATACGACCGAGAGCGTATCCTTTGTTCATATGCTATGGTGTGTTTTGCAGGACACCAGAAACTTTGAAGACTTTACTAAGGTACTTCACTACAAGTTTTTAGCTGTCCAATAGTATATGGTCATCGGGGATTAACATCGCTTTTCATGACAGAATGTGGATTTAATGCATGCACGAAGCTCAGATCCGTATGTGTGCATGCTGGTGCTGTTTTGTGTGTCATACGAGCATCTCTTGGTGGTAATGGACGATGAAGAGGTAAGCGAATTTTTGCTTTAAAGTAGTTCCTCTTGCGGGCATCTTTCTGTGAACGATGCATTAACTATCGTTGATGTGTTCATGTAGATGTACGCACAAGAGTATCCGCTTCCTCTTTGCCAGATAGAGCGTATTGTTTTGAGTCTGAAACATGCGCTTCATGAGGCATATTGGACCTACGCCAATCTTGCTCCATCTTCGGAATCAGTTACATTCGGTATGTTTGTCGTTGAAATGGGTACCCGTTTGATGAGAGTGCTGTACGATCGATGCTCTCGTCAGCCTTTTTGCAACGTCACAAGCTGGTAGGTTATGGTTGGTGCTACCAGAAAACACTTGCATGTTTACAAGTTCTAACGGATACCGAAACGGATCATGTTTGCAGGATTATTGCAGAGCTCGATAGCAACCAACTGATCGAGGAAGTTTTGATCGGCACACCTCGAGCCAACAAACTAATCCATTCAATGCCTTACCTTGTAACGTTTCCTGACCGGGTCAAGTTGTTCCAGCGCTTGGTCAAGGCGGATAAAATGATTCACCAAAATGAAAGCTGCTCGGTGTACCGCATTCGTATCCATCGTGGTGCTATCCTGGAAGATGGTTTGAAAAAACTCAACACGATCCGGACGAGCCTGAAGAAGCGAATCAATGTGGTCTTTGTCAACTCTGCTGGTCGCGAAGAAGTGGGCATCGATGCAGGAGGGCTCTTCAAAGAGTTTTGGTTAGATCTGTCAAATCTTGCGTTTGATTTGGAGTATGGCCTTTTCTTGACAACGCACGACCAATTATTGTATCCCAATCCGAATTCGGCTTCAAGTCATTTCACGCGTGAGAGCGATCACTTGACGATATTCCAGTTTGTCGGTCGAATCCTCGGAAAGGCTTTGTATGAGGGCATTGTGGTACAGCCAAAATTTGCCCACTTTTTCCTCTCAAAGCTTCTGCATTCGTTCAATCAGTTGAACGAATTACCATCACTTGACCCTGAAATTTATAAGGTACGTTAGCTTCGTGATGCTGCCAATACAAAGGTTCTTGATGGTAACAACATGACGTGCTGTGATTTTTGCTTTGCAGAGCCTAATGTTTTTGAAGTCTTACGATGGCGATGTCGAGGATCTAGGTCTGACGCACACGGTTGTCCACGACGTATTTGGCGAGCAGAAGGAAATCGAGATTATTCCAGGCGGCGGCAATGTGCCCGTTACGAACCAAAATAAGACGCGATATATTCACCTGGTTGCGAACTACTATCTCAATACACAGATCCGCGAGCAGTGTTCAGCTTTTCGCATGGGTGTATCAGATCTCATCGATCCACGCTGGCTTCAAATGTTCAACGAGCCCGAGCTGCAAGTGCTAATTTCGGGCAAGAGCGGCAAAATTGACGTCGATGATCTGAAGGCCAACTCTCGCTACGCTGGCGGCTACTATGCTTTGGATAAGCGTGTTGCATGGCTATGGCAAGCGCTAGCAAGTTTCACGCCTTCCGAGCAGGCCGCGTTTCTGCGCTTCACAACGAGTTGCCAGCGGGCTCCATCGCTGGGATTTGCATCGCTGACGCCTCAGTTTTGCGTGCAGAAGATTCCAATTCGGAGCGACGATGAATTGCTGCCGAGCTCTTCGACCTGTTTTAACACGCTCAAACTGCCCACCTACTCATCCTACAAGGTGCTGCGCTCGAAGTTGCTCACGTCCATTTCATCCGGTGCTGGATTTGAAATGACATAGTGTTCCACCGAAATGGACAGCAACTCTTTACTGAAATGCTGGCACATCGATCGATGTGTTGAGCCAAGTGCTATGCCAGTCTATGAAGGGTAACTAATTTATGCTACATTATGCAAATTTTTAATGCCACTAACACCATTGTTCATACAACCACGTCGCCTCGACTTCGCCGACAAACCGATACACCAAGTCCTACAGACGACTGAGACCCGAAGAAAGCCGAGTTGGCGGCATTGCGTAGCCTCATTTCCTCATTCAGACACCCGACAGTTGTTGTAAACGCGGGTGTGATGCTTGGTCGAGCGCTAAGACTTTGTGCAAGCAAGGCTCTCGAATCTCAGGCTCACACAGCTTGGAATCTACAGGCAGTGCTGACTTTGGAGTCTCGTGCTTACTGAACATTCTTGTCACTTCATCCATCAACTCGGCGACACTATTCATCGAGCATCGTGGTTCCTGTCCTTCAATACTTATGTGAATTGCAGCCGTGTTCGTCTGCCCGTGCGTTGCACGTAAGTATAGGAACGGCACCTCGAGAGAAATTCTTGTTGGCTATGGTGCGACTGTCCTCGTGATCTTGTTAATGTTAAATGATCTGGATCCAGATCTAGAGCATGAAAAGGACCGACACTGGCATGCAAGTAGAACGAGTAACATTGGTGAGCTAATCGAAGACATGATGGTTCAGTCGTGTTCACAATGCGTCTTGAAGGCATTTGTCATCGTCACGTGAAAGTCGATAGAATAAGTTGAAGTTTTATGGAGTACGCACTGTAATTTCATAACACTCGGGTGGCAGCACATATGAAGCGTTCAATGGAACGTCAGATGACTTTGTATTTATATGAATGAAACAAAGACATATTATTGTTGTTACAATGAAAGTGTCCATATTCATTAATGGTGATGACAAAAGATAATTCGGCAAGAAAGTAATCCTGTATATACAGTTCAAATGCGATATAATGTACATGGACGGACTTGCACTGACTCTATACTTACTTCAACATAGGACACAAAGAGTCAGATCTGGACTTGAAGTAGTGGCAATCCCTTGAGTGATCCGAATAATTATTCAGCTTGCACCAATGCGTATTATGCATTGTCGCTCTGATTGAGGACAATAAGCAAAACCTGCAACGACGTAGGTCGTGAAAATGCTTACCGTCTGCAATGCTTTTGCCAGCACCATTGTTTTCGGACATGATCAGTCGTATATGCTATCACGTTTGCCTCGCGTTCGTTGCTTAAAGAGTGCCTACGAGCCAATGCTCTTTTCATCAAATGTGGTGGAAGCATGGCTTGTGCATCAGCTCAATGCTGACAGCTGAGTAGCACTTGACGAGTAAAATGAGCTGCTACTTGCGATGTTGCTAACAAGTATACAAAGTCGTGGAGCTACATATATATATATGCAAGACATATAGACAACTTGTCTATAGCTGGCTGGAATGTTGTAAACCAGAGCCAGCATACCTGTCCCTGAAGTACTTGATGCTAGACAGATAATTGATGCGCAGCTATGGTGTTTTACAGGAACTCGCCCTCACTGCGGTGTTTGTATCAATCGATCTTTAGATCATAAGGAGAAAGCATCGCACACGCAATCGAGCTCTTCAACCGGTCACTCTATGTCATTCTTTCTGCGTACAGAACAATGTTGTCAGCATAATTTGAATCGATTTTGCCACGATAATGGCTGGCAGACTAGGCCTGACGTTTTGACAAACAACTATATTGACACCAAATATTGCCAATTGTTGCTACATTTGACCGAATGTCATTATCACATGTGGCATTGTTATTATTGTTGTAATTGAGACCTTTTAGGTTTTATATTCGGTTATATAATGTTAAATTGTAGAGACAAAAACAGCATTTTTACGTTGCGCCTGTTTTAACTATCAGATATTTGCTGATTATTTGTACTTGACGAAGCAGTTGTGATGTCTCGAACATTCGCTTTTCTCTAGAACGGTAGCCCAAAATGAAAGGTTTGGAGCGGACACTTGATGCAAGAACGTATATTATCCGACCCTTTGTTTTAGTGTAATTGCATCCAATATAAACCTGTCAGATTAAATAATCGATAATGCACCGACCATACACTGGTTCGTTGCAATCTAGAAGATTCGAAGCCTTGAGCACATCATACCTCCTCTATTCATTCATTACAATACAAAATATACACGTCGTCCCTCCTCTCGATTGATGGAACTTTCGATTGTGTCTCATGTTATCACCTAAAATAAGAAAAGATCGTCAACTTTACTTTGGGTCCTTCAATTGTTTGGTCCGGAATTTCCCTTTCCTTTTTCGTTTCCACTCCATTGCTCAACCTCATTCTTCAATTTTCTCCATTGGAATCGAACGACAAAGAAACGTCTTAAGACACAAACAAGCAAACAGATTTACAAGTATAAACTATGAGTGCAGAAGCTGAAACCTTTGCCTTTTCTGCGGATATTAACCAGCTCTTGAGTCTAATTATCAATACGTTTTACTCTAACAAGGACATTTTCCTGCGTGAATTGATTTCAAATGCATCCGATGCACTTGATAAGATTCGTTACTCATCGCTCACTGATGCAAGTGTCCTGGATACCGATAAGAATTTGGAAATTAAGGTGATTCCTGACAAGGCCAATGGTACATTGACTATCCAAGATTCCGGTATTGGTATGACGAAGGCGGATTTGATTAATAATCTCGGTACGATTGCAAAGTCAGGCACTAAGGCGTTCATGGAAGCATTGGCTGCTGGTGCAGATATTAGTATGATTGGTCAGTTTGGTGTGGGGTTTTACTCTGCCTACTTGGTAGCTGATCAAGTGATTGTGCACTCGAAGCATAATGATGACGAGCAATATGTGTGGGAATCTGCTGCGGGTGGTTCGTTTACGGTGACCCCAGACACATCGGAGCCTATCCCACGTGGTACACGCATTGTGTTGAAACTAAAGGAAGATATGCTTGAGTATTTGGAAGAACGCAAGCTCAAAGACCTTGTGAAGAAACACTCTGAGTTTATTGGTTTCCCTATCAAGCTTTACGTCGAAAAGACGGAGGAGAAGGAAGTGACGGATGATGAGGAGGAAGAAGAAGAGAAGGAAGGTGAGGATGACAAGCCAAAGGTCGAAGAGGTGGAGGAAGAGGAAGGTGATGAAAAGAAGAAGAAGACGAAAAAGGTCAAGGAAGTGACGCACGAGTGGGACCACTTGAATAGCCAGAAACCTATTTGGATGCGCAAACCCGAGGATGTAACTCACGAGGAGTATGCTTCGTTCTACAAGTCGCTTACTAATGACTGGGAGGAACATGCTGGTGTCAAGCACTTTTCGGTGGAGGGACAGCTAGAGTTTAAGGCTTGTTTGTTCACGCCGAAGCGCGCTCCCTTTGACATGTTTGAGGGTGGTGCCAAGAAGAAACTCAACAACATTAAGTTGTATGTGCGTCGTGTGTTCATCATGGACAACTGCGAAGAGCTCATGCCTGAGTATCTGTCATTTGTAAAGGGCGTTGTCGACTCGGAAGATTTGCCGCTAAACATTTCGCGTGAGACGCTGCAGCAGAACAAGATCTTGCGTGTGATTAAGAAGAACCTGGTCAAGAAATGCCTGGAGATGTTTGCCGAGCTTGCTGAGGACAACGAGAAGTACAACAAGTTCTATGAGGCATTCAGCAAGAACTTAAAGTTGGGCATCCACGAGGACTCGACCAACCGCACGAAGATTGCGAAGCTATTGCGCTACCATTCGACCAAGTCTGGTGAGGAGATGACGTCTTTGGACGACTACATCTCGCGCATGCCTGAGAACCAACCCGGTATTTATTATGTAACGGGTGAGAGCAAGAAGTCAGTGGAGAACTCGCCATTCATTGAGAAGCTTAAGAAGAAGGGATACGAGGTATTGTTCATGGTGGAGGCCATTGACGAGTACGCCGTGCAGCAGCTGAAGGAGTACGAGGGCAAGAAGCTGATTTGTGCGACCAAGGAGGGTCTCAAGATGGAAGAGACGGAGGATGAGAAGAAGTCGTTCGAGGAGGCCAAGGCTGCTACTGAAGGTCTGTGCAAGCTCATGAAGGAGGTCCTTGACGACAAGGTTGAGAAGGTTGAAATCTCGAACCGTATTGTTGAGTCGCCTTGTGTGCTGGTGACGGGTGAGTACGGCTGGTCGGCCAATATGGAGCGTATTATGAAGGCACAGGCACTGCGTGACAGCAGCACGTCGTCCTACATGTCGTCGAAGAAGACTATGGAGATTAACCCGCTACACCCGATCATTAAGTCGCTGCGTGAGAAGGCTGAAGCCGACAAGAGCGACAAGACGGTGAAGGATTTGATCTGGCTGTTGTACGACACGTCGCTGCTGACGTCGGGTTTCAGTCTGGACGAGCCTACGACGTTTGCCAACCGCATCCACCGCCTCATTAAGCTCGGTCTGAGCATTGACGACGACGACGATGTTGCCGACGATGCGATGGAGGACCTGCCTCCGCTTGAGGGCGAGAATGAGGAGGAAAGCACGATGGAAGAAGTGGACTAAGCGTGTGTGACTGCGGCCTGTGTTTACGGTTGTCGCGTAGCTTTTGCATTTTTGGTGGTGAGGTTTTAGTTACATCTTCGTAGTCGAAGGTTACATATATTTACAATTCGCCTACTACATTGAATCTGTTAACATGTTAATTGGATTATGCTGAGGATAGTTGGTGTAGATGGTGACTCCATTTGATTCATTCTACTACCATTCTACATGGATATAGTAAACGATAGTGTGACACAAGCGTGATCGCGAAACTATCTAAATCAATCAATCGTCCAAATAAACACCGAAATAATATTCTTCCTGTGTCATTAGTGAAGCCATATGTACCTTCCATTACAAACCCAATCCTTTCTCAGATGAGTTCTCAACCAGTCAATTTTTATATCATGTCTTAAGTCCGATTTATCTTTCCATGTAATCTTCAAAAAACCTCGTTTTTCGTACCCTTTTGTCAAGGTGAGATGCGCCAAGTGTAACCCCTTGTTTGCTTACATGGCTTCCATCCATCCAGCCGTTCGTGATTGATTGATTGATTACTACTCCAAAGTCCTTGTGTTTATCAATACTTTCTTCTCTCTATCTATCGTATTAACAATGGACGTAGCAAGTTTACACAATATCTTACTTCATACATTCAGCAATGATGATATAGCACGTAAAGCTGCAGAAGATGCGGTTGCAAGTCTTCACACTGTCCCTGGTTCGGTACAACTTTTGATTCAGATTACTGTCGAGGCCAGCGTAACACGCGAGATTCGTCAAGCGGCTGCTGTATCACTAAAGAATCTAGTGCAAAAATATTGGGAAGGTGCTGATGGAGTAGAAGGACAATGGGCTCAGGTTATTAATCCTACGGATAAAGCACTGGGTCGTCAGAATGGACTGGAGGCATTATTCGTGTCTCAGGATTCAAGTATTCGCTCTCTTTTGGCTGAGACTGTTGCGTACATTGCCCGGTTTGATTTTCCCGTACGTTTGATGACACGTTAAAGCTCTGCAAGTGCTAGACATGTGAGGTTCTAATTGGTGTTTTATGTTGCTACAATTTCATTTGGTAGGACTCGTGGCCAACGCTGATTGATGAGATTTGCAAGAATATTCAGAGTGGTGATGCAAATCGTATTATTAATGCGCTACTGGCATTGCGACGTGTGGTGAAGAATTTTGAATATCGGTCGGAAGATCGACTGACTCCACTCTTTAAGCTCGTGGAGGTCGTCTTTCCTATGCTGCAAAATATGATGGTACAGATGCAGACTAATAACTCGATTGAGGCAGCACAGATGATGCATCTTATTTTGAAGACGTACTGGTCGTGTGTCAAGACCAATTTACCTCCGCACATTGCGCAGACTGAACAGGTTGCGGCCTGGATGAACATCTTCCGTATAATGATTGCCAAGCCACTGCCTGAGGCCAACGAAAGCGGTGAGCCCGTTGGACAGCCAACGGATGAGGAAGAGCGTACCAATTGGGCCTGGTGGAAACTGAAAAAATGGGCACTGCAGATTCTCTGCCGGTTCTACACGCGCTACGGCAACCCCAAGAAGGCCGAGGAGGAGTACATGCAGATGAGCACTGTGTTTCGCAACCAGATTGCCCCAGAGCTTCTTCCGTGCGTGCTCGAAACTCTTGCGTTGCGCAAGAATGGACGCTTTTGTACAGATCGCGTGGTACAGCTTGCTGTTGTGTTTCTGCAGGAGGCAGTTGACTCGGCTGTCACATACAAGCTGATCAAGCCCCATCTTGGCTTCTTGCTGTTTGAGGTTATCCATCCGGTGTTGTGTTTGACTCCGAAGGACCTGCAGCTATGGGCTGAGGATCCACATGAGTTCGTACGCAAGACGAACGACGTGTTTGAGGATTTTCTTGATCCCGTGTACGCCGCGGCAAACTTGCTAGCTGACCTGTGCACAAAGCGTGGCAAGGACTGCTTGCCAAACGTGCTATCGTTTTACAACAATATCCTTAACACATACATCTCTGCTCCAGACGACAAGAAGGACTATATTCAGAAGGATGCAGCTCTGCACGCTATATTTTCGCTGGACGGTGTGCTCACCAAGTCAAAAGCACACAAAGACCAGGTCGAGTCAATGATCATTACGCACATTCTGCCAGAGTTTAAGAACCCGCACGGCTTTCTTCGTCTGCGCGCTTGTAAGATCTTTTCGCGCAAGTACATTGAGGGCATCAAGTTTAAAGATGAGCAGACATTGATCAGCATCGTCAACGGAATGCTCGACGCTATGTTTGACCCAGAGCTGCCCGTACGTATCGAGGCTGCCAAGACAATTCGTTTTGTTGTAATGTACCCGCACTCGGACACTGTTGTAGAGGTGCTCCGCCCGCGTTTGCCGCAAATTCTGGAGCAGTTTTTCAGCCTAATGGATGAGATTGGTAACGACGAGGTTGTTGTTGCTCTTGAGCACATTATCGACAGGTTTTCGTCCGAGATTGATCCGTTTTCATTGCAGCTTGTGGCCAAGTTTGTGGAGTTTTTTGGCCAGTTCACTGCTGTCGCCGAAGAAGACGAAGATGCCTCGCTTGCTGCGGTGTCGTGCCTGGACGCAATCAACACAATCCTCATGAGCATTCACAACCATCCGGAGCTGTATGCTCTGTTGGTACCTACGCTTGCGCCGGTCATCCACAAGATCCTCACGGACTTTGACTACGTTGAGTACATGGAAAGCGGCATTGATATCTTGGGCTCTCTAGCCTTTTACAGCCACAAGATTGCGCCGCAGCTTTGGGAGCTCTTCCCGCTCGTCTTTGTGAGTTTCAACGACTGGGCATCAGATTATCTGACAAACTTTGTGCCGGTGATTGACAACTTCGTGGGTCGCGACCCCGAAGGCTTCCTATCGGGCTTTATTGCGGACCCTGTTACTGGAACGAACGTGCGTTATCTTGAGCTAGTATTCAATATGTCCAAGACTGTGTTTGAGAGCAAGAACGTGCAGGAGATTGACCTATGCGCTGCTTGTCGCCTGTTATATTCGCTGCTGCACAACCTATTCGGCAAAGTGGACGAGTGCATTCCTCCCATCACGCACATGGTGTGCACCAAGCTGGCGGAACCGCTTGTGGACTCTACCGCGCGTAACTTGCTGGGTGTGTTCGGCAGTCTGCTGCACTATAACCCCGCGCTCACCCTTGACGCCATCAATTCACTCGGAGCTGCTGATGGTGTTTTGAAAATCTGGCTGAGTGACCTGTCTCGGTATGATAACCATCTGGACCGCAAGCTGTTCGTGTTGGGCGCAATGTCGATTCTGCGTGCACCTGCTGACAAGATCCCAGTTGCTTTGGGCCCTCACATTAAGCAACTAATTCAAGCAGCCATGAAGGTGCTTGTCGATTCCATCAAGAACCCGCCCGCAGGCATATTGGAAGGTGGCGGGGAGGCCGAGGGCGATGAGGAGGACGGTGAGCATCTTGAGGAACTGCTGGAGAATGGCGGCTATGCGTCGAACGAAGATGCCGAGGATGTGGTGGATGACCAGTATTACGCCATCTTGCGTCAGCTACGTGAGGAGGCCGAGGGTCAATTTTGCTATGATGATGAGGGTGACGATGACTACATAAGTCTGCTGGATGAAGTGGACGAGGTGGAATTTTTCCTGGGTTCGCTGCAGGGTTTCGCTCAAGCTCACGCTCTCGAGTATCAGGCTTTGGGACTTGAAGCTGACAATACGGCGCAACAGGCTCTTGTGCTTTTCCAGGCGGAGCACGCAAAGAGAAAGGAGGCTCAGGCTCAAAAAGCTCAGGAGTAAGCAGCGTTCGTAGATAATAGTTTGGTTCCCATGCTGCTGTCAATGTTAGCACCAGGCAAAGCTAAGAGAGAGAGTGAGAAAAAGGGAGTGATATGGTTTTTAAGACAAGTACAAGTTGTTCAACATGCATCATGTGGCAAAGTAGTTGTCTATTCTGTAGTTGCACCTTCTTCTGTCATGTCCTTGAGTAAGAGACGATAAGCTTCAAAGTCAAATTGATCTGGTCTGTTATTGAACGTATCAACGTGGTTGTAAAGTTCTTCCTGTTGATAGCTCAGCAGTATTTGCTGCAACAAAACCTGCGTCTCCTTCTTGTCCAACATATTAATAACATCACCACGCACTAATGTCAGTTCTTTTTCTCTCAACAAGTTGTCATAGAGTGATATAGCAACACACGGTGGTGCAGCAGTCGGATTTTCTTTGAATGCTTCCAAGTATGTCACGAGAAAACACGATTGCTGATACTGACACAACATATTGAAAAATCCCTTTTGTCGATACACTGGAAAGATACAATATGGTGCGACCGTTGCACGTTTTGCTAGAGTATGAAACTCAGTAGCGTCTAAAGTAGTAGCAACGGCATCCCTCTTATGTGCATGGAATTCCTCCCAAATACAGCGAATCTCTGGTGTCTCTTCCTTCTCCAGCAGCTCCAATTTCACAATTTGATCCAGTGAACGTGCACCAGGATATGAGAAACCAGTAGCAGATGGAATACTAGCAATATGACGACGTCTTGACCCGTGATGGCTGAGAGAAAAGGCATAACGACCAAGACGTAGCGTAGGAAGCGACATGGTGAGGATTTGACTGGCTTCGTGTGACGAAGGTTTTGTGGTATCGGTAGGACTAACTCGTGCTACAAGTCAAACGAGAGATGAAGTGAAGATGGCTACATATGGAGTGGTAGTTGGAGTATAGAAACGATTTCGACGTTCTGATGATATTTCTATGTTAAAAACAATCTTTTTTCAGATATTTGTCGATTCTTGAGCTTTTCATTATTTATATATGTTCGTGTAAATGTTGCAAAATCAAGGAGATGGATTGACAACCAACCATCATTCCCCTTTCATTCTTGAGAGAAACTTGCTAGAATGCAATTTGTAATTTCCCATAAGGTGCAATGAACCAATGGTACAGGTACTTTCACCGAAATATCCGCTAATGAACCGTCATGGTCACTTCTTTTGAGCAAAAAAAAGTAATTGGTGCAGTAATCATCTGCAACATGTTTCGGCTGCAATTCATAGCCAATGCTTGTGCCGCACATGTAATAGACAGACTTCATTTCCTGACCAAGTGCATACTAGAGCCCAATATGTCCCATTCAATATACAAGCCTTTCATTTGTTTATGATATCGTATTGACTATGGTCGTCGACCAATTGAATTGGTGGCAAGTGTCTCATGTGCTTGAAAACCATATGGATGATGATCAATATCCGGCTCTCAGGCCGATCTACATACATCCAACCTGGGTGCAATGACATCCTTATGAAACCATAACTTGTGTATATATTAATAGACGCATGATTAACATTGAGACTTCATGAAGCACAATTTGTAAATACGAACAACAGTAGGCGCTAGAGGACGGATGAGTGGAGCCCGTGTGCCAGTCAAATGACACACGAACTAACGAGAACCTGTACGTAAAACTGTATCTCCTGTTGTCCACCACTCATGCAGTTGGTTGGTCACGAAAGCAAACATCTTCCATTCATATCGTATTCATTATAATGGTCATAATATCTAACTAATACGTCTTACATGTAACATTAATCCTACAACCGTCTACTCTCACACAATATTTCCAGCATCTGGCTCTGTCTTCTATCATGGGTTTGCATCACAGCCACCTGCAACTTTCGTGTCACCACCAATATTGGAATACGGTGTAGAATCGCGTGGTCCACCAATGGTTTTTATGCAAGAAGATCCATCACGAATCACCCTTTATCCTTAATCTGTCTTGATAAAGTATCCTTTTTTGCACAACATGTCTATTTTCTCTCAAAGTTTTAGAGATATTTTCATATAAATATCCAAGATCAACCCGACATGATCGATCGTCACAAGTGAATTTGCTCCGTTGGACGCACTTGAACAACTGAAGCAATCAATTCGAGACACAGAGAGCACCTCATTTCTACCATGGCAGATGCTATTCCTGTAAAGCCTATGGAAACGTCTGCACCTACAGTAACTCCTCTTGAATGGCCTGAGAACATGACACTTACCGAGGGAATTGTCCTTGCCGTCTTGCCCTTTGCAGCTCTTGTCTTGTGCTACGTCATGCTACGACTTGTATGGCGTGTTCCTGCACCTCTTCCAATACGTTCATCTGTACTATCCTATGGTACAACCGATGAATCCCTAAAGCCAATTACTGCTATTAAAACATCACTTGTAGAAGAAGGAGAAGTTGCTGGCGATTATCAAGAACACTGGTACAATACCTTTGATTTTGCTTTCCTCATTGGTATGACCATCTATGGTTGTATCATGCTTGGATTGACCTATATCTACGAACGACAATGGCTCATGGAACCCTATTTCTGGCTCATGCAACTGCCAAAGCTTGTGGTTATGATGGTCGTGTCTCTTGTTGGTGGAATTATCTGTCGTTGTTTCTGTGATGTGGATGAAAAAGGTTACATTATGACTAATAAATCATCCAAATTCAAAGTAAACTACACTAGAAAACTCCAGCATTTTGCAGCGTACATGGTGCCATTGGTCATTAAATCAGACTACCATGGCCCCATTGCTCTCGCTTGGGGTGACTTTTTCACAATGCTTGGTTTTCTCGTGCTCATCAAGCCTATTCGTGAACATTCCAAGTTCTTTATGCTGCAATTCAACTCACTAGATCGTCCGGAGGATCGCCCAAATACACTCAAGTGGATCATTGTGGGCAATATTGCTCCAGGCATGTTCATTCTCATGTTTTTCAAGTGGTTATTTGCGGCTCAGGGAGCATTGACGTTCATCCTTGTCTTTATTACGGGCATTGGGGATGGTTTAGCAGAACCTGTGGGGATCACATGGGGACGTCATAAATACAAGACACGCAGTTGTTTCTCCAAGAACAAATACACACGTAGCTGGGAAGGCAGTGCATGTGTCTTCATTTCTGGTCTCGTATTCCCTGCACTACAGTACGATGCATTCGACAACTTTTGGCAGGTTTTGCTCTCAATGGTGCTATTGGCACCCACGATGGCGTATGCAGAGGCCACTGCTCCGCACACGATGGATACTCCCGTATTGATGATCGGGTGTGGCGTTATTCTGTACGCTATCGTCAATCTCGTCTAAGTCGTGACACATTTCGTCATGAGAAATTCGTCACTAGGAAGCACGAAACGGTTGTTTTTCCATTAACATGTTTTTTTTTTGACGAGCAAGAACCTTGTCATGATCCATTTTCCATGCCATAGCATCAAACAAGACAAACGTCCTACAGTTGCAGCCAGTCCCATGACTCCTCCTCTTCTTCTTCTTAATCTTACAACCCACGAGATCGCCAATTACATGGATCCAAGTCACTTGAATCGTCACTGTCCATCAACTCTTTTTGTTGCTGCTTGTGAAGTTTCCTGTGCTTCTTCTTGTATTCCTTCATGGCCATTACAGCTGCATTTGACTCTTCTTCTTCTTCTTCCATTACGTCCTTTGTTACGATAAGCGTATCCATCTTCCTCTTCTTCTTCTTCTTCTTCTCTTGATGATTACGTACTGTAGTCACACGTTCCAGTACGAGACGATATCTGTCCATATACTGCATATTCTCTAGCTTTTCCACAGCTTCACGCTCCTTTCTCTCTTCCATCTTCATGTCTTCTTCCTTGATTGATTGATTTTCAATCTCTGCTGCAAATGCTTCAAATGCTTTCCATTCGACTTCACGTTTCTCTTCGATTAATTGCTCAATGTTCACATTACGAGCCTTTGCATCAGCGTAAGAATCATCATAGAAGCCAATAGGAATCATTGATGACTGTGGTTGTACGTTATTATTGACAGTTGACATACTCGACTTAAGTATAGATGGAGTTACTATAGAGGTAGATGACGCTGTAGAGGGACAAGATACTCGGACAGACTCATTAGGATTGCTCATGACTATTTAGGTTAGGATAGGATTCTGTACTTTTGACGTCTTCCACATGAATATTCTATTCCTGAAGTAGCAGTAGCAATGATTTTATAAACTCTCTTGAAACTGTTAAAATACGGACGACAAAAAGTAGCAAAAACAGACCAGTTTAGTAGATTTCATTATCATCATTCACAGTATTATCTTGGTGTAATACTATGTCGTTACTATAATCGTTTAAATATGCTTTGCAACTACAATGAAACCATTGGCCATTGGCCATTGAGTGGAATGAGGGTGATACAATGCACTCAATGGACGTCTTTACTTTCGGTCGTTCTTCTTGTATTCCTTCTTGATAATGTACGGTCATGTTTCTCCACAGATCAGAAACTGTTGTCACTTGATGGACACAACTTCCTGGTCCACGCTCGAGTTGGAACGAAAATCAGCAACAGCTTGAGGACTTTTTTCCAATACGAACAAGTCTTGAATCGTTCCAGCAAGTGATGGCAGATGCATTGGAGTACTGTGAAGATCTTTGGAGATGGCTGCAATAGCATTAGTCTTGGAAGCAGTAACAGTGACGAACTCTCCTTTCACGCGTGTGTTGTCTTTGGTGAGAGTTGTATACTTGGACAGTTGCTCGTGTGTAGCCAAGTAGTCGACGTATTCATGAATGTACTGCTGCATATAAAGCTTTACTTGTTCTTGCTGTTCATAGAGAATAGCCTGGGGATGAATTGGCTCGTTGTTGGCATCCATTCGAAGCAATCTCAAGCTTTTCTCACCCGTTGTTGGAACAATAGTTTCATCCATCGTGTGAGATCGGTTGCGCTTGGTTGAGGACTCACTGGTTAACATGTTTGCATCACTTTCGTCTTGATCATTCTGCTTTCGCTTTGAGCCACAGCTACAAGCATCAGATTGAGACTCACTGCCGCCATCATCGGACATGTCACTATTGCATGTCTCGGGCGATTTCATGGCGTCAGTATTGTCACCTTCAGCACTGGACGATACGACTTCGGTCTTGATATAATCAGTCGTGTCGATATGACACTGCGTTGGCTCGATATCATCCTTTTCGTCAATGTTGTAAGCGGGATGATCAGTACTAGCTTCAGGAGCAGTCGTGGAAACGGGTATGGTGCTACGTGTTTTCCACCGGAATACAGGCTTTCGGGAGTTGGATAGTTGCAGCTTTTCAATCAAGCCGACACTAACTAAGACATTGGCCACGTCATAGAGTCGGCGAATCTTGGCTATTAATTGTCAAGCAAGAATCAACAAGGTGTCATTGATTGAATGTTTTTACTTGCAAAGCAAAGGCGTATTCATAGACCCAACGTACTTTTCAAGAGACGATCCTCTACACTTTTGCTATCTTCCATTTGAATAAGTTGCTTGGCTGCTTGATCAAGTGGAATGATACAGTCCTCCTAAGAATAGAAGAATGAAGTATCTCAATGTATAAGCTCACAATCACACGTTTCATACTTGTAAAAGTGACGTACCTTTCTCAAAAAAAGCTGGACAAACATTTGGCTCAATTTTGATAATGATTTGCCTCGTCTTCGATCATCTGATAGCCCAACAGGATGTTAATCATCAGTTTATTAATTCAAAAGCACCAATAGCTACTTGGTTTTACGATACAACTTACTTTTAAAACGTGGACACTCTGTTCCACGTGAATCACTTGGTAAAGACTCTTGTACTTCAGCATATCGTTGCTTCATATCCATAGCAAGTATATCCATATATTCAGTATATCACCACATAAGACAGAGCAATGTGGTTACAATATCGACAAGATCCTACGTACATACCTTCATGGCACTAACAGAAGTTGGAAGCGCTACTAATCCATGCCAATGATAGAGATTTTTACTCTTTCGACTAACAAGATGAATACTTTCAAGAATATTGACAATATCATAGATCCGTCTTCTTTCAACGCCCAATGTTGTTGCTGCTCGGTCTAAACAAATTTCTGAAATTGTATCATCTCGATGCAATTTTAAAAAACTAACATGCAGACAAGAAGAAGAAGAGAGAGAAAAGACCATTAGAAGATGTGAATGTCTCTTCCGACACTAGCAACAATAGCAGCAGCATGTACGTACTTTTCACAGAGTAATCCAAGTGATTTTTCTTTCCGATTGTATTCACGAAATGGAAAGAATCGAACATTCTCTTTCTCTTTTTTCCACTTATCATTCTTGCTCACTTTTTCTTCTTTTACCAATGTGTCAACACATGCATCTGTATCCATTTGAAGTGGCAATTGTGTCTCATTCTCATCATATCGTTTTGGTTCTGATTGTAGCTGTTGATCCTGTTGTTTTACGCTTGAATCGATAGAACTTGTACACGTTTGCTTCGTCTCTTGAGACGTGTGGTTCATGTTCTTGTTAATGGTGCTACTGCTACTACTACTGCTACTATTACTTGTGAATAAATGCATCATAGCAGCTGCAGCTTCAGTACGATTAGGACTTGGTTGAATACTTGAAGTTTGAAGAATGGCAAGACTCCTACAACTAGGTGTAAGTGGTGAAATCATTTGCACCTTACGACGTATTGGACTCATCATATTTGCCTCGACTGTCATTTGGTCAATTGTGTCAAGTATGATAGAAGGAATAGAGAGGATATTTACACAGTATAGAGACGTAAGAGTGAGTGTCCAGGGAGAATGAAGTGACAAATAACAAATCTAGTTTGTTATTATTAACGCGCCAAAGCTGGTGATTGGTGGAAGTTTGAATCAAATTTCAAAAAATTACTGGCGGGAGAAGTGGAGTTTCTTCCCGCCAAAAAGAGACAGAACGAGCAACATTTTGAAAATGTAATGTTGCTTGAAGACAAAAACTCTACTGGTATTTTATTGATAAAAGGGTTTTGTCATACACTTGGAAATCAAATAATTACAATACGCATATAACCAATACAATTATTTGGACATGTAACTCTTACATTCTTCCGCGTTTGAATGTAAATTTTGCAATCCACCTTAGAACATTCACATTGGTTTCTATCAAATTTGACATTATGCCGACACGATATGAACAAGAGCAAGACCAATGTATACAGGATATGGCGTCGATTCTAAAGCTAGCAGAGGATTCCAAGTTTCTTCTATGTGAGCTTAGCTCATTGCTTAATCAACACTATCGGAAACGTGCTCCACCTCACCGAATACAACGAGTATTGCAACGTAAGAACGAGACCATCAGTCGTTTAGGCAACTTTATTATCCAACAACAGGAAAGATTACGTGAACAATTGGATCAAGAATGTGATGAAACTCAGGAAGTTATTATTGAAAGACTGGAGCAACAATTGCACGATCAAAGTGCTGCATTTGAAGAAGAACGAACGCGATTACAGCAGCAAGCGACAGCTACTTGGACTGCACAGGCGGATCTGGAGTCATCACTGGATCGAGTATTGCCACAGCTGAGAGAATTGCTAGAAGCTTATGATAAAGATCAAAGAAGATACGTTGATACTACTCCAACAGGAACAAGACGGAATCTCACGGTACCAAACCAATGTTTTGATGAAGAATTAAGTCGACGGTTGGAAGAGCTTGAGATTGAATTTGATGAAGAACGAACCTATCTTATCGAACAAGTGAGTGAAGCAGCCAAGACGGAACGAGATATAAGCAAAATGAATCTGATCAAGAGAGAAGCAGCGCTCACGTGCCCCATTTCATTGGATTTGTTCGAGGACCCGGTCCTGACGACATGTTGTGGCAAAACTTTCTCATCGGAAGCATTAACACGAGCACTGAGACAGGATCATCGATGTCCCGTTTGTCGCGAGTATAGAATTACAACTCGTGCTAATCGTGACATGGCAAACTTGGTGGAACTCCACCGTACGGAGCGCTCGGTGTTGGGCTTGCCAGTAACGACTGGAACCAGCTCAGTGTCTGTCATTCGGGGAAGTTTAGTGGTTGAAAATGAATCTGATAGTGACCAAGAATTTGTGAACGCAGCAGCAAGCGAGACTGAACACCATGCTCAAGGAAATGAAAGCGTTCAAGCTAGGGCGGATGTTTCTCATTTGCAAACTTCAAGCATGAATACCAACTCAGGCGCTAGCATGACGCGAAGTTCAGCGCCATTACAGACTGGTGTCGTTGTGAGAGGTCGAGGCAGAGGAGGACGGAACACCAGCTCGCGTCGTCATCGTAGCTCACGCTCAAGTAGTTCGCCGACACCGACAGCTTCATCTCAAGCAGCTCACGAGGGAATTTCGAGATATAGCTCCGCGTCAAGCTTTATAGCTAGCACAACGGTACCAAGTATTGCGCAAACTTCCACGATACAAAGAGCGAGCAATGCTCTGGCTCGACCTGCAGGTGTTGGTAATTTGGCTCAAGTGTTGAGACAAAGTTCACCTGGTTTAGTAAGTTTTTCGCAAAGGGAAAGAGTGATCGCAAGTGAACCAAACGACCGCCTACGTTATGCACGTGCAGCGATGGACGCTGAGCTAAATTTTCACCCGTACGCAAACATCGGATACTATGACTCGGACTCAGACTACTAGCACGCTGCCCATGGTGCATCAGCAGAGTGAACGAACACTCTTCCATCTTAACGTACAAGCGAATGCTTGCAGGATCAACAAATTCCGTCGGAGTAATTGGAGCCGAAATGCCTGAGTGAGCAAATCTGTTTCAAGTGGCATGGAGTGGGCAATGAAGAAGTTGGTTTTGCACTCTGTTTACCAACTGAAGACTTGGACTCAATGTTTGAAGATACTTCAGCAAGAGTCTCCTCAGGTGTTTGCTATCCAAGTAAAGTTACGATATTGACTGTTCACTCAATGAATGCGTTTATCCGAAGAGCAGATCAAGAGCTTGCAACAAGAATCTGAAAACGAATGTAGATCGTCAGTAAAATGTGCGGTCCGGTACAGGTACCTGGTAAGGAATCTAGGAAGGACAGTGAAGAGAAAAATATATCGAGTCAACAGCAGTAACTACATGATCACGAAACACTTTCATCGGATCCTGCAGCTCAGTTGTGATTAAGAACAGAGAAAAAAGTACGTGGTCTTGAACCAGGATTATCATTATCGCACTTTGTAGTCATGAATGACAGACATTTGATCATGTATTGTAATATTTCACAATCACAGCTTTACTAAGTCAAAACTTACGTAATTTATCTCGGTAATATATGAAACTTGTAAATTCTCCATGCCTCACTCTACTGCGTCTCCTAGCTGCCTTGTAAACGCCGCGACGAGCGTCTGGAATCAGTATTATCCCGAAGATCATTGTATCGGTATACGACAGCCAGGTGAGACTCGCTCAATGCACTATTATCATCTAATTAGCGACACCGATGGCCGTTTCCAAGCTGCCATGACATTTCTGAATTGTTTTCGACATGATGAACAATGGGCACCATTACTTCAAGTAAGAAATCAAACAAAATATTACAATAGCATTATGGTAATATTGCAATTGGGATATTGGAATGTAATATTTGTGTTCTTGGAATAGTGTGATTTGACACAGACAAATGTAACGGTCGTGTGGCTGCACTATCTGGAGCTCCTACGGACTGGCACGGAAGACTTTGAACAAGCAGTAAAGGAAAATATCCACGATGTACTACAGTGTCTAGGAATTGCATTATGTATGCGACGATATGAGCTTCGAATGGAAGCAGAAGAAGAAGAAATAGCACGGAAACGGACTGTACCCGTGGATCGTACGAAGATTACTGTTCGACTGCATGGTGTGACGCCAATACTGCCCATTGCAGCATTAAGAGCAGATGTTGTGAACCAGTTTGTCAGTGTTATTGGTACAGTTGTAAGAGTGAGTGCTATTAAGCCACTAGTGACAAGATGCGACTTTGTCTGTGCCAAATGCAATGAAGCTACATCAAGAGCATTTCCAGATGGAAAGTTTACACCACCACAGAGATGTGAAAATGCACCGTGTCGAGGTAGAACACTGCTACCAAATCGCTCGTCGGTGGATACGGTGGATTATCAGAAAATCAAGTGAGTGGGTTGGACGTTGTTTGGTTGATGTGACTGACTACTTAGTTATCTGTGCACTCTTGTCGTATGGTTGTCAAGACTCCAGGAAATGGAAAGTACAGATGTTGGCCCTGGTCGTATGCCACGAATGGTAAGTATTCACTTGTACAAACAAAGGGTTGAAATGTGCTTTACTAACGAGGTTATGGACTGATTTGTAGATTGAGGTGGAATTGTACGAAGACCTTGTGGATTCCTGCATTCCTGGTAACGTAGTGACAATCTCAGGTATTGTGAAGAGCATAAACTCGGAAATTCATGAAGGAAGGTATGGCAAGCGTGCGCAGGCAAACAGTCTTTATATTTTGTACATTAGCGCCAACTCGGTTGAAAACTCAGCAAATGTAAGCAGCTTCACGCTTGATGATTGATTGGCATTTATGTATTGACCTCACAGACTTGGCTGTTGCTGTTGCTTGCTTGTAGGTAGAGAAGGATAAAGATAAAGCTTTGGATATCGATTTTACCAAGGAAGACCTCGAGCAGATCAGCAATATCATTGACCAGGGAAATGTCTTTGACCACCTTGTTCATTCCTTGTGTCCAGGCATTTACCGCAATGATCTTGTCAAGGCTGGCTTGATGTTAGCTTTGCTCGGCGGAACTCGAGAGTCGGACGATAAAGATTCTACATGTGCGCGCAGAGCAGATTCACATGTACTGGTTGTTGGAGATCCTGGTCTGGGTAAAAGCCAGATGCTTCGAGCTGTGTCGATGGTCGCACCGCGAGCTGTGTACATTGGTGGAAACACGACCACCACGACAGGGTTGACTGTCACAATGGTGAAAGATGGATCCGGCGATTACGCGCTAGAAGCCGGTGCACTTGTGCTTGCAGACCAGGGTGTGTGTTGTATTGACGAGTTCGATAAGATGGGAATTGACTATCAGGCGTTGCTAGAAGCGATGGAGCAACAAACCATCAGTATTGCAAAAGCAGGTATTGTGTGCAATCTGAATGCACGGACATCGGTCGTCGCCGTTGCAAACCCTACCGGTGGCCATTATGACCGTAGTCGTTCAGTGAGAGAGAACCTGAAAATGAAAGCCGCACTGCTGTCTCGCTTTGACCTTGTTTTCATCTTGCTGGACCGACCAGACGAAGAAAAAGATCGATTATTATCAGAGCACGTGATGAACTCTCATGCACGCGGCAATCGACGGTCAAGGAAGCGTATGCGAGATAGTAATGCATCTGTAGCTTCTTGGAGCTCCAACAGCTACGCTGGCGAACCACAAGCAAGTAGTTACGAAGAGACTGCAGAGTCTGGTCGCCGCATGCTGTCGCACCGTCTCGGTGAGAACGCATCGGAGTTCACCGCGAATGCAATTCCTCCCTATTTCGTGCGCAAGTTCATCGCTTACGCACGCCGTTACGTGCATCCGCGTCTGTCATCGGAGGCTGCTGTAGTGCTTCAAAAGAAGTATTTGGAGCTTCGTTCAGCGGGTGCGGATCAGCAGAACTCGATGGACGGTATACCAATCACAACACGGCAGCTCGAGTCACTGATTCGTCTCTCACAAGCGCGTGCTCGAGCTGAACTTGCTGAAACTGTGTCTGCTGAGCACGCACAAGACGTTGTTGATCTCATGCAAGAGTGTTTGCTGGACACCAACATCACTGAAGATGGTACGCTTGATTTTGGCCGCAGTGGAGGCATGAGTCTTGCCAAGAAAGTGAAGGCTTATGTTGCTCGACTCATGAAAGCTGCAGCGAGACGCAATACTTGTTTGTTTTCAATGGACGATTTACTTGAAGTTGCTGATAGTATGGGACTGAAGGTGGACGATTTTCGAGATTTTGTGGAGATCTTACGCAACGAGTGTTATTTGTTGAAAAAAGGTCCTGGACAGTTTAAAGTGCAAGTGTCATCGTACAATATGATGTGAATATCAAGACCTCGGCCAGTAGTCATCCAGATCCATCGAAACTAGTGGCAAATGCAATTGCTCTCAAGTGTCTTCATTCCGATTCTTCTCCCACGAGACAAAAGTCCAAGACAGAGTTTGAAACCAGTCTCATCCATTGCTATTAGAACGACTCTCTACTTGATATCAAGTTTCTCACGACGTGCCTTAATCTCTTGATCCATAATTTCTTGTGGTCTCTCGGACGAGAACAGATCGTGACCAGCCTTTTGTTCTATCAAGAGAGAGAGAGAGCATCAGAGAAGAAAGAGCGTGGTGAATAAAGTGATTAAGATCCTACAAGATGTTACATAGAATTAACAACAACAATAGCAGCATAGTACGTTTACGAAGAACAGGATAAGCACAGATTGCTAAACAGATGGATGTACCGACAAAGACTTTACCCCTTTGTCCAAGTGGCAATTTCTCTAGCAACGTGAGCAACATTATGAACCACGGATATAGTTCCTGGACGTCTTGGTTAATGTGCTAATGACTTAATTCGTCACTTTTTAAGATTAAAACCACACTTTTAAATCGGGTTTAGACTGGTAAGTTAGTGTGTCAGTTGAAACTGCTACACTAAACATGGCTCTGTTCTCATGATTACGAGCTCCCCAAAATACGAATGATCTGGCAGCAAAATCAATTGGTTTTTCTCATTAATGACAAGTTATGACGCATGGCCACGTTAACACACACACTCTTGCAGTCACTAGCTGGTATTATGAACCCGCAGCAGGACGAGAATAATCCGTCAGTGGCGAGTTATATCGATATCTACCGCTTGCTTGAAGCTGCCACTGCGTTAGAGCAAAAGAAAGAGCTGCGCATTGCTAAGCAGCCATGGACATAGCACTCGTGACTCATTGCTCTACGAGTTGCAGCAGCATAACCGCTTTAGCTCTAGTTACCAACACTGCCGCAACGACTCTTGTCAAACGTGACTGAAGCAAACCTGATTGATTACCTATACAATCCCGAGCAATTGCATCACGCATATCTTCCACCACACTCAGTATATATATATATTCGGTGCTTTCGCAGCCATCCTTTCTATGTAAACAAGCTCAAGTCAAATATACCCCTAATCCATGTTGCATCATCAACCCATAAGTCACATGGGGTTGTCTCATGTGACATATCGTTGAATCCTCTACCAAAATCCTGCGACATGTGTCACCTTGAAACTGCAATTTCAAACCCTCTTCAATTTGATTGCATCATAGAAAGGAGAAAAGAAATATCACGAGAAGCCATAGAAAAAGTGAGATAATTGAGCTTTTAGTATGGAGACAATGACGACAAGTTCACGTCGTCAAGGTTTTGTCTCACCTACGTATGTTCGTAGTCCTGTAGCTCCATCTTCTACTACTACTGCTACTCCATCATCTCGTTCACAGCGTGCATCACGTGGTACTAGCCGAGTCAATATTACACCAACAGAAGACGCCTTTGCACGTGAGCCTCAATGTGGTGTCTGCTCTCGATCGTTTAATATATTACGTCGACGTCATCATTGTCGCTCTTGTCACATTGCTGTATGTAAAGAGTGTGGTAGTAAAGCCATGGATTGTCGAAAGACTGAGCGAAGACGACCACAATGGTATTGTATGGGCTGTTTAGAAAAAGACGTGATGCTGGAGATTACAGGCTCTAGACCCATTGGAAGTAAACATCGAAGCTTTCTAGCCAATCCAGCAACGTGTCAAGGTCCTCTTCATTTACCTCAAGCTACGACTAATGTAAGTGTGAAGTAGAGCAAGTTGAAGTAGCACTAAGTGGAAGGGAAGGGGGAATATCATGGGACAGTTGATTACGATTCTAACGGTAATTTATCTTGTATTTGACTCTGTACTTGATTGATAGGTACCGAACACAGTCAAGTTTTGTATTGAATGTGGCTATGAATTACCATCACGCGTCAAGTTTTGTATTGAGTGTGGGACATCAGTGAGGCAACAATTGATGTCACCAACGAGTGCTGACGATGGTGTTGGAGCTGGAGAAGTAGATCGAGGTAATCAAGGACTTGGAGACTTGACTGAATCGAACCTTGTGGTTATTGATGAAAAGAGTGGATCACCCACGGAACAGACGGACGGATCAGAGGATGACGCACTTGCAGAAGAAGAAGAAGAAGAAAAGAGTACGGCGGAAAAGAAGGTGGATGTGGAGAAGAAGGTGGATGCAGAGATTTTGGAAGAGGATGATGAGGCCGCAGCGAAAGCGAAAGAGGTGGAGCAACTTGTGGCGCAATTGCAGGCGGAGAACGACAAGCTACGCAATTGCGTGGAGAAGTTTAAGCGCAAGATATTGGAAGCAGAACGTCGACGGCTGGAAAGAGAGGAAGAACACGCGCGTGCAGTGTTGGAGGCCACTATGGCTGCTACGGAAGCACAAACAAACCATCGTCGTGCATCGGAACCGATTCCTCCGATTGCATCAACCGTGACAGCGGAAATGGTACCTGTAAGCAATAACACGGGTGTCGCAGCTAAGGACCACCCAGACTACATGAAGTTTTTCAAGTTATTGAAAATGGGACTGCCTGCTGAACAGGTGAAGATGAAAATGCAAGCGTCAGGCGTTGACCCGTCGATTCTTGATGAACCCGATGGCATTATTGGAGGTGCTGCTTTAAGCTTAAACAATGTCGCAGCTGCGTCTGTACTGTCGAGTGGCAACCTCGTGAAGAATGACGAGCAGTACGCTAAGTTTTTCAAGCTATTGAAGATGGGGATGCCATCTGAGCAAGTCAAACTAAAAATGATCGCGAGTGGTCTGAATCCAGACCTTCTTGACACGCCGGATGCACCAATGCCAGGGTCTGCGGCATCACCAGTAGTGACATCCAACCCGGTGATGACGGTGAAGGAAGACCCAGCTTACGAGAAATTTTTCAAGCTGATAAAGATGGGGATGCCAGCCGAGCAAGTGAAAATGAAAATGAGTGCCGCAGGAGTAAACGCGGATTTGCTTGACATGCCTGATGCACCGTCTCCTAACCAGAAGGCTGCCAGTAGCGGCGGCAGCCTACTTGCTGGTCTTCCTCCTCCAGCGGAGGCAGTGAAGGTAGATTCCTTGGCATTAAAAGCAAGCGCAAAGCTAGATAAAACGGCAGCACCTAAGCAAAGTGAGGAACCTCAGCTTCCGAAGAAGGAAACTGTAAAACCGAACGTCGAACTACGCCCGCTGTTTTGGACGCGCGTGCCTGTCAATGTGGTCAGTAGCACCGTGTGGATGAAGCTGAATGACTCGCATGCCGAGCTGGACGTGGAGGAGATGGAATGGATGTTTCGCAAGAACCCGGTAGATGCATCAAAAAAGCAGGATGAAAAGAAGAAAGAGTCTGAAAAGGTACCAGTCCAGCCAAAAGAAGTACTCCTTTTTGATCCGAAAAGGCAGCAAAACGTGTCAATCGCGATTGCTCGATTCAAGATGTCATCTGAGGACATCAAAAACGCAATCTATGCTTTAGATGGTCAAAAGCTTGGGTCCGAGGTACTGAATGTACTAATTTCCATTTCGCCTACGCTAGAAGAGATTGACATGCTTAAGAACTATGACGGGGATAAAAAGTTGCTTGGAAATGTGGAAAGATTTTTTCTTGAGCTCTTGACCATTCCGCGCTACACTCAGCGAATCAAGTGCTTTCGATACAAGTTGCAGTTTGAAAGTCGTATATTGGAAACACAGGCGCAAATGGATACTCTGGTTGCTGCCACTGATCAAGTGGCCGAGAGCGATAAGTTTCGCCGTGTTTTGGAGCATATTTTAGCGATCGGTAACTACTTAAATGGTAGCACGCCTCGAGGTGGCGCTTACGGCTTTAAGCTGGATACCCTCATGAAGCTGCACACACTGAAGTCGGTTGACCCTCGAGTCACGCTGATGCACTTCTTGTTGCGTCAGCTGGAAGAGAAGGCCCCGGACGTCATTACGTTTGCCGGGGAAGTTCCACACATTGCGGAGGCCAAGAGGCTGTCGCTTGATCAGTTGCGTGCGGATTTGTCCACTTACAACACCGAACTAGCGATGTTGAAGGGTCAAGTGCGTGCTTCTAAGAATGACCACATTGAGGGTGACAAGTTTTATGAGGTGATGACGCCGTTTGCAAAGGACGCAGGAGAGGTGTTGGAGGAACTGGGTCGTGATTTTGATGGCCTGAAGACGTCTTATCACGAGCTTGTGAGCTCTTTTGGTGAAGACCCGAGGAAAGTTGGTCCTACGGAATTCTTCACTATTCTGGACGAATTTGTGACCGAATTCAAGAAAGCCTACCGCCAGAACCAAACGAAGGAATATCAGGCTATCTACGAAGAGGCTGCAGCTGCGCGCAGTGCTGCTGAGGCTGAAAAGGCGGAGCGATTAAAACGGGAAGCTGAGGAACGGCAACGGCAAGAAGAGGAGCGACAGGAAAACTCCCGGGAGACGAAGGAAATATATGCAGATATCGTATCTGTTATTACTAGTTGGGCTGGGAAGCATTCACCTGGCAATGAGGATGCAGTAATGGAGCAGTTTAAGGTCACATCACGAAAATTTGGTATGGACGAATTGACAGCTGATGAGTTTTGTGACCTGGTGCGACAGTGTGTTGGGTCGAAATGCGCAAGCAAGATAATCCCAAACAGTGCCAAACTATTGTCTGACGATAGGAAGCAGAATGCTTTGCTGGAGGCATTTGCACGCTTTAAAGAGCATCTGAAGAAAGAAAAAGAGTCGAAGAAGCAACAGCGCAACTCGTTTGTGTCTCCATTGTCTGAAGGACGCAAGAGAGCAGGGTCCTCTTCGGCAGGTCGTAGGCGCAATAAGACGCCCCTCCCAATCAAAGATATCGAGCCTGTTGTCGGCGAAGAAGCACAGCTGCTGCACAAGTCTATTTTAGAAGCAGTGTTGGCGGCGTTTGGTGGCGATGCAAAGAGGATGAAGACATTTACGTCACATACTCGAAAATACGGCAACGAACAGATCACAGCACACGAGTTTTACCAATATTTAGTCGATTCCTTCGATCCGGACTTTGTCGGGCGTCTCGTCCCGGACCTTGCGCGTCTGTTACAAGATTCGGAGAAACGACACGCACTAATTCGTGCGCTGTGCGAAAGTGCACCGGGTTGGGCAAAGTTTGCCGGTTTATAGAGATGCGTGGTGAACATCGGTCAAGGCAGTATTGCAAGCGAAAGAATGCAACTGTCCAATTGCATGGGGGTTGGTATGACTGATGGAATCTCGGCTTCAAAGCTCAAGAAAACGAGCCTACACACGTTGCTGTGCTTGTGGCAATTGCTACAGATTAGTGTGATGAAGTCAATGCGCTGAGTGGTATTTGATTCGAGACGGATGGTGTAGTGCTTGGTATGTGCAGCTACCAGGTCCAAGTGTGTGCTGCTTCTGTCTTGCTTTGCTTTTGATTCTATCGATCACAAGACTTTGCGCCTCATGCAGTGAGTCACCAGATTCACGAACCGTTGTCAAATTGTCCACTGCATTTGGGCATCCAAAGAGGTTATGAACCATATGACGTTTGTTGCGATAGTGCTTGAGCTTCATGCTGTCAAAAGGATGGAGACGTGTTTTTTACTACAGAGGATCAGATACTTTTTTGGCTTGTCATCCGGATAAAACGCAAACTGATAAAGGAGACAGACAATAATTGGAGCCCTTTTCCATCTTGAATACATTATACCCAATATCGTCTGTATTTGAGTACAAAAAAAGAGTAATTCACCTTTAAATGGGTGTTTATCTTTTTGACTATTCTAATTCTAGAACACTCTATTTTTCATAAATAGAACTGATGATAATGATGATGTGGCATTTATGTGGTTAGTAGGTCCCAATTGATGATAATGCAACGTATCCTGGTACTATTACTTGCTCTATTGCTCCCATCTCTTGGTCTTTCTCAGACAATGACGTCAATATCGTCACCATTAACGTTACGCATGGAATTCCAACAACAATTTCGACTGTTCGAGTCATTTCCAGATCCACTACTACTTCGATTAGGATCGTATCCTGCTTCACTCATGGAACTACAGGACGTGATTCAGGACCACTTGAGAGAATATTTAACAGCAAGAAACGATGTTGAACCGCAATTTATGACGACAAAGTTTGACATGAGAGTCGAAGTTTACGACCAAAAACAACAACAATTTGTACTACTTGAGGACCTCTCGCAGCTTGGACGTCGTGCAAGATTGAGTCTATCTCTTACTAACCTTGACAAGGTGTTTCAGGGTTCTACTTGTCTAGCACTACCATCAAAAGTGTTTGGATATGACTTGACTGCAAGTGACAAGTTTATGATTCATGGAAGGATGGTGTATATTGAAGAGGTGGGGAATTCAGGTCAAGGCACGGGATTGACAACGTGGGATGGATCAGTCATATTAGCCAAGTATCTAGAACACCAACGTCATCATGAGATTGCTGGAACACGAGTGGTGGAGTTGGGTGCTGGCACAGGACTTGTAGGAATCTCAGCTGCATTACTTGGAGCACAAGAGGTACTTCTTACTGATCTTGACTATGTGGTTGAGAATCTTGCAAAGAATGTTGCAGAGACAATGAAACTTGCTGCGAACGCTGGTCAACATCTTAACTGTCACCTCTCGACTCGTGTATTGGACTGGTTTAATCCACCAACGGACTTGGGAGACATTGACTTTGTGTTAGCATCGGACGTTGTATGGGTTGAAGAACTCATTCAACCGCTCGTAGCAACGTTCGACACACTGGTACGTCATTCAGCTACCAAGACACAGATCCTCATGTCGTATCAGAAGCGCAGTATTGTATCGGACCAACTGCTATGTAGTGAATTGAAGCGCTATCATTTTGTGAAGACGCGTGTTCCAACAAGAGATTTGCATCCAAAATTCTCTACCGAACGGATTGATGTGTGGGAAATCAAGCGAGAGACAACGTCGAGCAACGCAACGAGAAGGTGATGGTTCAATGGAGTAAGATAGACGCTTTTCATAGCGTAATCGTGCTTTGGGATATGGGCATCCAAACATTTTACATTTCGATTGGCAAGCTACTCGTAAACTTTGTCAATGTATCATATGATAACCTGTATGGTTTAATGTTTTGAAACTCAAGTTTGTCTGCACAGCTTCTCCTAAATCCTATATTCCTGTAAGATGTAATAAAGTACAGAACTAAACTCTCCGTATTCAAACCCATCCATTCCTCCATTTGCTCTGCTCTACTGACAAGATGTTTAGCTCTCTGCGTGTCCCCGTCCATCGCATGACGCTCCTATCGCGTCGCTATGCCTCAACTGATAGTCTGAAATGGTCTACTGCTATGAACAAGTCACTCTTATCGTCAGATCCTGTGCTCTTTGACATTATTGAACGTGAAAAACAGCGCCAACGTAATTGTATCAGCCTCATTGCATCGGAGAATTTCACTTCCATCGCGGTCTTTGACGCCTTGGGTTCTGTCATGTCTAACAAATACTCGGAGGGTTATCCAGGTCAACGTTACTACGGTGGTAACCAGCTTATTGACCAAGTAGAGGAGCTTTGTCGCGCTCGTGCCCTTGAGGCATTTAACCTCGACCCAGAGCAATGGGGAGTTAATGTGCAGTCACTTTCTGGCTCGCCTGCTAATTTTCAGGTCTATACGGCATTGCTGGAGCCTCACGACCGCATTATGGCGTTGGACTTGCCCCATGGTGGTCACTTGTCACATGGTTACCAGCTTGGTCGTAAGAAAATCTCGGCGACGTCCATCTTCTTTGAGAGTATGCCGTATCGTTTAGACGAGAGCACGGGTCTCATTGATTACGATGGACTAGAGAAAACAGCGGCATTGTTTCGACCAAAGCTTATTGTAGCAGGTACTAGCGCGTACTCGCGTCACATTGACTATGCGCGTATGCGCGAGATCTGTGACCAGCAGGATGCAGTGCTGCTTGGTGACATGGCTCACATTAGTGGATTGGTGGCAGCTGGTGTTGTGCCGTCACCATTTGAGTACGCAGACGTGGTAACCACGACGACCCACAAGTCGCTGCGTGGACCGCGTGGAGCCATGATTTTCTACCGAAAGGGTGTACACCATGTTGACAAGAAAAGTGGTAAGGAAGTCATGTACGACCTGCAGCAGAAGATTGATTTTGCCGTGTTTCCCGGTCTCCAGGGTGGACCGCATAACCACACGATTGCTGCTTTGAGCACGGCGTTGCTCCAGGCGCAGAGTCCGGAGTTCAAGCTATACCAGTCGCAAGTGATCGCAAACTCCCGTGCAATGGTGGCTGAACTGATTAAGCGTGGCTACGTGGTAGTTTCGAACGGTACTGACAACCATTTGGCTTTGGTAGATGTGAAAAAGTCACGTGGCGTAGATGGCGCGCGTGTTGAGTTTGTGCTTGAAAGCGCGAATATGGTAGTGAACAAGAATACGGTGCCTGGCGACAAGAGCGCTTTTGTTCCTGGTGGCATACGTCTAGGAACCCCTGCATTGACCACACGCGGCTGCACAGAAGAGGATTTCCAGCAGGTGGCTGCCTTCCTTGATGACGGCGTGAGGCTTACGGCTGAGTTGAATGAGCGTGCTCGTGCACAGGGCGTTAAGAAGGTGAAGGACTTTAAGGAGTTTGTTGCTGAAGACGCCGAGGCGAAGGAGAAAGTAGACGTGCTGAAACGTGACGTGACTGCATTTGTGCGACAGTTTCCTACCATTGGCTTCAGCGAGGAAGACATGAAGTACAAGGACTAGAAGTTGTCAAGCAAATGACGCCTTGTTCCGATAGCTCTCGATTGTGATGTAGCAATGTTGCTACGATGATCGTTGATGGTTTCCATTGTCTGCATGCCCGAAGGTCTTTGCAAATGATGCATAACCAAGAGGATGACAATGGAAATTGAAGCTGCTTTTGCTCTCTATCATGTTAAACGATTGGCGGCGTGGACATTAGAGGAGTTGTATGCGGACATTGTTAATGGGAATATTCTTTTACAACTTGTCATTTTTGTACAGTAAATATTTTCTTAAATCTCTGTTTGTCATTGCGAGCAAATGAATGATAGATTTCAATAAACTATTCGCACTATGTCGCGAACGAATGAATATTTATTGTAAATTTTACAAAAAATGATCAAAATGATTTGTGCTGACAAATCTCAACTTCCTGCATCATCTAATATTGTAAGATATTAGTTTAGACAGTGTTGATGTTATTGCTGGCTAAAATGCACTGAAAGCTAAGATCTCGTCTAATTTATGATGTAGTCTCGACAGGAAGAAGAACATTGCTGAGCACTGAAGAATGTACCGACAGAGCACAAATCTTACTTTGAAATACAACTTCTAGCTTGATATTTTCATCTTGATACTGACGTCATATTTGATCCCATGGGACGCGAACAAAGTGCAGCTATTTCCAAGATACTCCATTCTCTAACCAATACTGACTGAGTGAGTTGCGTGGAAACTCACGTCAAGAGTGAAATCTTGAGACAGCATGTGAGCCAACAAAATTTTGACAAATTGTGGTAGAGCTGATTCCTTTTATACCAAAAGTGGTGGTATCTGTGATATTGATCGGATGTAATCGATGATGATGGCAAGTGCGTACCGTACTGAGGGGTATGGTTCTTGCCACTAAGTATCAGGGCTCACATCATCTGTCAATGATGCAGCATACTGGCTCTTTTTGTAAAAGTCTTTCGACTTTGTAGATTTGCAAACGTCGCAAAAGTCTCGCATTTCTCAGCCCTCTAACGTCAAATTTCGAATTAGATCATGACTTTCCACAAAAATGTCAATACAAAATCTACCAAAAGGCCACCCAATGTCTACTTTTTGTACATAAAAAAATTCAAAAACAAAATAACATATACAAGGGCTAGGGGTCATCTCTCCTTTCAGAACTATTCTGCTCGACGTTCGTGACTGATAGAAAAGGAAACGGAAAAATAAAAGAGCCTTCTTTGTGTCACCCCCATTCCGCACGCTCCTCGAACCCCCGCACTCGATTAGTTTCAATACTACACTTAGTCGTTAAAACTGTTTACGTGTGTGTGTGTACACAGTAGTTTGTTTCTATTGGTAAGCAGGGAAGAAACGTTTACAGGACAGCGTCAAGAAGAAGAAGAAGAGAGAGAGACTTGTGTTGTTATTGTTGTGACTGTGTTTAATACGTTACAAACAAAACCACAGACAGACAGACAGATTCCGACACGTTCGTGTGTGTGTTTTATTTTCTTGATTATTTCTTGTCTACGTCATCATGAAGAAGGATAAAAGAGCTGGTGATTGTCATGGACTACGACAAGTAGCTGCAGCACCTCCACGTCGACGTGCTGTATCAAACTACCAAACACTTGAGGATGCTGTTGCTGAACGTGGTGTGAGTATCAGTCGTCCACGAATGGACAAGTTGAATTCCCAGTCACAGCAGCAGCAGCAATATAATCTACCACAGACTCAACAACCTATTGCGTCCTTAACCATGTCAGGACCAATACGACCACCACGACCAGGTGCTGGTTCTTTTGAGCTTCTTCAAGCGAAGTTTGGTTTTCAAGATGGTAATGTTCGGAATCAGAAGGAACACTTTGAAGTGTGGGTACTGAACTACGAGTCACGGATCCTTGAGGCTTCTGTGACGCCAATGGACACTGAAACGATCATTGAAACGATTCATGGGAAATTCTTTCGTAATTATGTCAAATGGTGCGAGTTCCTACGGATTAAGCCATTTCTATTGGACTCGGCGTCGTATCCTGGTGCAGCTGAGCGTCAGATTGCGCTGTTTTTGCTCATTTGGGGTGAAAGCGCTAATTTACGCTTTATGCCGGAATGTTTGTGCTTTTTGTATCACAAAATGGCAGCAAAGCTTGATGGAATTGAGCGAGTGCCAAATGTATCGGAAGGCACGTTTTTGCGTCGGGTTGTACGTCCACTGTATATGGTTGTGGCCAAAATGCATGATGCAACACCTCAGAAAAATGGCGCAGGACTGGATCACAAAAATGTGACCAATTATGACGATACAAACGAGTTTTTTTGGCGAGAAATGTGTCTTAGCTTTGATGAGTTTACTGCGGCCGAAGCAATGAGGATGCAGGACTTCAAGACATTCAAAGAACGACGCAGTTTTTGCAACCCAATGCTGGCGTTTTTCCGCATTTACTTTTTCTTGTTTGTCATGCTGCACGTATTAGTTGCGATTGCCTATGTGGCGTATCGATCGGACCCGGATGACACAGCGGGATTCAATTTCTATTCAAACTTCTTCACGTCTGACATCACGGATATTCGCAATCATTCGTTTTACTCAATCTTCATTACGGTCAGTGGCATGCTGACGCTGAAGGTCGTACTAGATGTTTGGATTGATGGTACGCGTATCTTTTACCGCTTGATGTACGCCATGTCGGTTTTTATCCGTCTCGTGTGGCACACGATATTCCTCGGCCTCTTTACAGCTGTAAATGCAGCTCCATACAAGACATTCGGTTCGAGCGACTTGCTAACAATGGCACCTACTTTGATCGCAGTGTACATGGCGCCGATCGTCATTGTGTCAATTGTGCAGATGTGCTTTCGTGGAGTTGTGTGGAGGTCGGCTATGTTGAGCTCGCTGGATGGAACCCGTGAACAGTACATTGGCCGCACGATGGGGCAGAGTTGGGGGGATTTTTTGGGCTACGCGGTGTTTTGGACAATCATCTTTGTATGCAAGTTCTTGTTTAACTTGCAACTTATGGTGAAGCCTCTTATTGGACCGAGCGTTGAGATCTATAACGTGGATGTATCCGCTGCCCAGCGTGAGAGTGGTATTATCGAGTCAAATCACAACATTGCGTTCCTCGCTGCAATGTGGACACCCGTGATTCTCGTCTACATCTACGACTCTCAGATCTGGCTTGCTATCGCGCAGGCTATAGTTGGCGCCTGGATTGGTTTTCGCCTCAAAATTGGCCACTCAGCTCGTATTAAGGAGTTTGTGACGCGTCTTCAGCAGGCACCTGCTCTCTTTGACGAGAAAGTGGTTTCTGCTGCCGCCCGTGGTCAGCTTGCAATCAACAACAACCCGTTATCATCAGCCAGTGTTGCTCCTGATGCAAACAGCCGCTTGCGCTTTGCCGTGGTGTGGAACGAAATTGTGAGTAGTTTTCGCTTATCTGATTTGCTGGACGACCGAGAGACCGCTATTCTTCAATACCAAATTTCGGATACCGGTGCCGTCGAAGAACCTGTATTTTTGATTGCTGGCGAGGCACAAGCGGCTGCGAATATCGCTGCTAAGGCTAAAACTAAGCGCATGAGCGATGGCCAACTATTGAAACAATTGAAGAGAGCTGGAGTGCTGGGCTGTGCCAAGAATTGTGTCGACATCTTGTTCCAGATCTTGCAACAGCTTTTAGGCACTCAAGATAATGAATTGATTGGTGTGCTCCACCAGATGCTGGCTGGGGGCAAAGTAAGCGGTGTTGTGAACCTTACTCACATCGGATTGGTGCGTGAGAATGTTGTCGACTTGCTTGGAAGCATCTTAGATCTACCAGAGCCGACCCTGGTGCCTACGGGTGGCATTGATGGCTTCCCGCACGAACAAGTCATGGTTGTTGTGCAGCGTGTGGACGCTCTGCTAAAGAGCATTGAAATTATGGTTGAAGAGGAGTGGATGGCGGAAAAGCTGCGTAAGTCAGCGTTTGCTACAATGACGCCGGATCTTACCTATCAAAAGGAACAATTGTTATCGATCTTTGCAGACCGCATCAGCCAACGCGACTCAAGCTCGCCTACACGCGCGACCTCGCCGAGCTCCAATGAGAGTGTTGTGTCGCTCTCCACGCGACTATTCTTCTTGCTAACTCTGGATGCAGCGGATGCGCTGCCACGTTGCCACGAAGCTCAGCGCCGCATGAGTTTTTTCTTAAACTCTCTACACATGCAGATTCCGAGCATTGATTCAATTGCCGCGATGAAATCATTTTCTGTGGTCACACCGTATTACAACGAGACGGTGCTTTTTTCGGTTGGTGAGCTAAACGGACGTATTGACTCGAACCCGCTATTCCGCAAGGTGGAGCAGAAAGGCCGTGACCTCAGTATTTTGAAGTACCTCATTACTTTTCACGACGATGAGTGGGGCAACTTTCTTGAACGCGTGGGCGTGGCTTCTATCGATGAGGCACTAGCTGAGACGCCGACGCAAGTACGTCTCTGGGCATCGATGCGTGGACAAACGTTGGCACGCACAGTGCACGGCATGATGATGTATGAAGACGCGCTGAAGATGTTGCGCTGGCTAGAAATTGGATCGGACGAGAAGATTTCACACTTGGAGAAGATTAAACACATGGATCGGATTGCAGGTCTAAAGTTCTCATACGTAACAAGTTGCCAGATTTACGCCGATCAGCTTGCGGCAGGAGACTCTCGTGCTGCGGACATTGACTTGCTTATGCGCAAGTACCCAAATTGGCGTGTGAGCTACGTGGACACAATTCGTCCTCCTGTAGGAAGTGGTAAAGAACCGCGTTTTGACTGCGTGCTGGTAAAGTCAGATGGTGATGAAATTGTTGAAGTGTATCGTTATGAGTTGCCTGGCAACCCAATGGTTGGCGAAGGAAAGCCTGAGAATCAGAATGTTGCTCTGCCATTCACTCGTGGCGAGTACGTGCAGACGATTGATATGAACCAGGAGCATTACTTTGAAGAAGCGCTCAAGATTCCGAATTTTCTGGCGACCGCTACAGCAAACGGACAGAACGTCACTATTATCGGTATGAAGGAACACATTTTCACTGGTCGAGCATCATCTTTGGCACATTTCATGACGTTGCAAGAATTGGTGTTCGTGAGTCTAACGCAGCGTGTGCTAGCTAACCCTCTTCAGAGTCGCATGCACTACGGTCACCCCGACGTATTTGAGAAGTCGTTTATCATGTCGAATGGTGGTGTGTCGAAGGCAAGTAAGGGTATCAATTTGTCTGAGGATGTGTTTGCTGGCTACAACGTGGCACTTCGTGGGGAGAAGGTTACGCATCAAGAGTTTATGCAGTGCGGTAAGGGACGTGATGTGACCTTGAGTCAAATTAATGCTTTTGAGGCTAAGCTCTCAAACGGTAGCGCTGAAAGTTCGTTGAGTCGGGAATCGCATCGAATGGGTGCCGGCATGGATTTTTTCCGCTTGAATTCTATGTTTTACGGCCACATGGGATTTTACATATGCAATGCACTAGTGGTGCTGTGTGTGTTTGCGTATGCGTATGGCAAAGTGTACGTCGTGCTGCACCGAGAAATCGGCGAATCTGCCATCATTACGACAAACCACCTAGATGACCTCGCTGACGTGATGAACACGCAATTTATCTTTCAGTTTGGCATGTTGATGACAATTCCGTTGATTGCCACATTATTTGTAGAGTACGGGTGGCACCAGGCATTGGTCAACTTTGTGGAGCTGGTCGTAAGCCTTGGTCCAGTGTTCTACATTTTCGAGACTGGTACGAAGTCGCACTTTTACGATATTGCCATTATGCGCGGTGGGTCCAAGTACCGTGGCACAGGCCGTGGCTTTGCCATTGTTCGTGAAACATTAGTGAACTTTTACAAGGAGTATGCTGCCTCGCACTACCGCAAGGCTGTGGAACTGGTGGGTCTGATGATCATCTTTGGTACATACGGCAATTTTAACATTGGTACGAACGTGCTGGCTGAGTATTGTGCCACTGCGGACTTTGACTGCGACACGAACCCAGACCAGATTCCATCGGATATCGCGCTCTTGAACTCGTATAGCTCAAAGGGCCAGGACTACGGTATCGCTTCTTTTGCTGTATGGTTGCTTGGCACGTGCTGGCTGCTTGCACCTTTTCTGTTCAATACAGATGGCTTGGACTTTTTGAAAACACGAGTAGATATTGCTTACTGGCTTTCATGGCTTATGTCAGTAAAGGAAGGAGATGATGACGAAAGGGTGCTACCGAACCACAGCGGCAGCCATTCGTCTGGCTTGACAGACACATGGAACGATTTCTATAACTACGAGGCTAGTCTCATGTACCCTATTGGTCCAATGAGCCGGTTTGCTTACGCAGTCCGCGACCTTCGCCACCCATTGGTTATGTACTATGTCTTCACCTACTCGTTTCGCCTGAGCGACATTGGCATGCTGTTGGCATGTATTGGTGGTATTGCTGTTTTGTTGTGGATTGGTGGCTTTGGCTTAGGGACATGCATGCGCAACAAAGCTCGCGTTGCCCGGGCTATGCTGTATACGTTGATGGTGGTGTTCATTGGCGTCGCTCCCTTTATTGTGGGGTCCATCCAAGATTGGGATAGTATCAAGTCGTTCTCATTGACAGTGTCCACGTTCACTGGTCTTTTCTCGCTTTTGCACTACCTGCAACTGTTGCACGGGTTGTTTGGACTGCCTGTTGCGAAGTGGGGTCTTGTGCGTGAACTTGCCTTTTTCTTTGATGTGGTTGTCGGTCTATTCCTGGTGTTTCCGCTTTTGATTCTGTCGGCTTTTCCGTTCATGAACACTATCCAGACTCGAATGATGTACAATGGTGGTTTCTCACGTGCACTGAGTTCTGGTAGTGAGTTTGCAGCCTCGTTAAGTGTAGTCGTGGGTGGTCTGGGTGGGTTTACGTACGGCTGGTTGACATGCCTCATCTTTTCGCTGGGATATGTGAATTCGGCATCGGACAACTTTTTGAATCAATCGTTTGTATACTACAACAATGAGGTGTTGGGTGGGGCATTAGATTTGGCTATGATCAAGGTGTATGCTGCTGTCACGGCTGCGGTTGGAGTCATCCTGAGCGGCGCTTTAGCGCATGTCATTGGCCGTCGCTGGACGATTGAAGTTTCGTGTGTGGTAACGTTTGCTGGTTCTGCCCTTGTGTGGCTTGAGTCAAGCTCAATGGTGTTGATTGGAATCTGCTTGGCATCGGTGGGTATCGCAATGCTCTCGCTCGTGTGTCCACTGTACAATTTTGAAATTTGTATGCAAGGCTGGAAGGGAAAGGGTGTATTGATGTTTCTCACGAGCGCTGCATTGGGCTATATGATTGAGGCGGTGCTCATCAATGCCATCAACGCCAAAGCCATGTCAGAAAATTGGGGCAACTCACCATTCCACGATTGGCAGTGGCAATTTATATTTGGAATTGTTCCGATTGTGCTACTAGTGCCAAGTGTGTTCTTCCTACCAGAAAGCCATTATTGGGAGTACCGTCGTAAACCAGACCCCAAAGCGGCCGAGGCGACACTGGTTCGCCTGCGTCAGCGTCACGATGTAATGGAGGAATTGGGTGAGATGAGGGACTCATTTGTGGTGAAGGAAGGTCCTGTAAATGTGATGTTCCGTATCACACTCGTGGTAGTGCTGCAAGCAACGTTTGCGCTTTTCACCTCTGGTGCATTACTACAGCGTGTGCACGTTCAGCCGACGCCCAGTGAGGCTGGCGCGCAAACATCCAAATGGGAGATTTATTACGGCATCATGACATTTGTGGGTAGCTTGCTGAGTCTGCTCACGGTCGACAACGTACGCCGCAAGACTATCTTCAAGGACGTGCTTCCATTCTCGGCAGCGTTGTCGGCTGCATGTGGTGCAATGGGGCTTGCAGGTCAGGAAAACAGCAGTGTTACGCAGATTTTGTTATGCGTAACTTTTGTCAGTGGAACACTGAGTCTTATGTGTGGCACATGGCTCACTGCTATCGAGGTATTCCCGCCGTACCAGAACGGACGATACATCGCCATGTCTTTCGTTGCGTACTATATCGTGCAAGCTGCGATTTACGTGGCTGACCCGTCGTTCGCAACCAGCCACTTTGTATTCGCCGGAATGTGTCTATTGCTCACAGTCTTCATGTTCATCGTATGTGCAAGCTCTAAATATGGTGCCATTGAGCTCAAGAGTGAGAAGAAGATGCGTAAGGATGCTGAAGCCACTCGCAATGCGCCGTCTTTCATGGCCTGTGCGTCTCGATCACAGAACTTTATGCGCTCGCGGTCCCAAGTACGTCGATCCTCGTCGCATTACTCCATACCGTCATTGACGCCGCAAGAAGAGAGCTACTCGAACTTTGAGTCTCCTGCTGGTCGCAAAAGCAATGGCAGCACACGCCGAATGCTCAATAATTCACAAAAACGATTGTAGGAGGAAGCCATTTGCCATTACTCTACAGTTTACAGACTGCTGATGCTCTACGATCAAGAGAAAAAAAAGACAAAGAGCGTTGCTTTGAATATATGTTGCATATACACATGAGAGATGCATTAGTCCATTACCATTGTCACCATTGACGCACGCACGACTATTGTTGAAGTGAGTGATATACTTGATTTTGATTGGTTCATGGATATTCTCTTTCTACCAATCGAATCACGTTGTACTGATTTCAATCTTTTCTGAGTACTAAATCAAACATCATGGAAATTGTGGATGCGCTCGATTCGTCACCTTTGGCTATGAATATGAGCGATTCCAGGCTTGCTACAAGCCATAGAAACCTTAATAATGACGTATCTTTATCTTCTATTGAATCTACACCATTAGAAACGTCAGGAGCTCACGCAGAAACGTATAGAACAGGCGATGAAGAAGATGGTTGGATGCCAAAACCTGTACGATTACATTCAGGCAAAACACGATCATGTGTTGTCTGTTTGACTAGTTTAGAGTATACATCCTCTCATAGTTGGGACGAGTATTTACAGAGTGAAGCGTATTTAGATCAATTACAAGCCAATGTCCTACAAGATGCTTTCATCTCGTCCGTTATTTGTGGAGAGACTACAGCAGGAGGTGATGTACCAACCGAGCATCGTATGCATAAGAATCGCAAATTCAAATGTCGACAAAATGTAACGGATTATAAACATATGACAAGTGCTGGTGTTGTGGATCAATTGGGAATGGAGAAAGGATCGATACGAACATTAGAAGAAATGCTGATTGAGACACTACCTACACCAGTATTTACTCATGTATTAGAACGACGACTGGCTGTGATTTCACATAGTTCCAAGATTGTTTGTAAACTCATGAGTCGTGAGAAAAGCATAAAGATATCAAGACCTGTGGAGAAAACAATGGATACTGAAGAATTGCATTATTTAGCTATTCAGACATTGTCAGCGTTATTAAAAGCTTTTGATTACAAGAATCCACACGCACTGAGATCGTTTCAAGAACTGTCGCACCTCTTAACGTGCTTTCCTGTGCTGTCGTTGTACCCATTCTGGAGTCCCATGAAAAAACCACCGGATAAAGTGTTGAGGTTGACCAAGGACGAGGTAGAGGTGTCGTCGGTTACGGCAAGTTCCGACGCGCATGGACCACACTGCGCGCTGGATGGAGAGGAGGACACGTTCTGGCAGTCGCAACCAAGACCAGGAGTGGTATATTTTGTGGTGAAGGCGACGGAATTGGAGAAAGTGACTTCGATCTTGATCGTCTGGCATATGAAGTATATTCCACAAACTGTTGGTGTTCAGTATCGTCCTGACGGGAGTAATAGTTTCATGCCAATTGTAGAGGACCGAACAGTCTCGTCGTATGACCCCACTGTGATTGAAACCAAATTTCCGATGTCCTGTCGAGAAGCCCGAATTGTTATGGCGGGGACGCCATCTTCGAATCGTAATGGGACATACGCAATTAAACACCTGCGACTGAACATGCCCGCTCCTAGCTCCCTTTTTGTGGACCCGAAGCTGACGTTAAGCGCTATTGCTAATTGGCTTCTTGGTGCTTTGGATACCGTTGACGACGTCATGGCTACAGAGGCTATTGGGGCACTTAGGGCCTGGGCTTTGTCAACAGCATCACTTAACGTCACGATGCTGTTTGTCAATATGCTACTGCAGCTTGATGCCAGCGCAGAAGATCATCGTTGGCGCCGGAATGCAGCGCTTGCATTAGAACAAGGTCGCATTTTGCTGAAGGGAATTGAGGCATATCATCAGGAAAAATTACATCGGTTGGCGCATGAAGGGGGTACGGTCGGTCATGATGACGTTCGCAAAGTTGGGGCCGTTTTTGAATCATCAGTTTGCTCTACTGGCGTAGTTGTTGAAGGCGGTGGTCTTATTGTGAGGACTCGGGAAACGAGTTACCAATATGCAGTTGTAAATTGCGGAATATCTACTGGAAAAGCCTCTTGGAGATTGCGTCTTGATACTGACACACAGGACGACGAAATGACATGTTTTGGTGCTGCTATACTACCCGTGACCATCAACGGTTATGATTCGTCCCCCAGTCTCTGGATGCTGAGAGGCTATAATGGCAACTTATATGCTCGTGGGCACAAGCTAGGTCGAGCCATTGGTAAGGTGCACCCTGGCGATATTGTTCAAGTAGACGTTGACATGAGCGAAGGCACTTTAGCGTACAAAATCAACGGTACGGACTACGGTGTGGTGTTTACAGATCTTGCTGGACATGAAGTACACCCTGCTGTTTCGTTCTACGGCTCAGGTAAAGTAATTTCTCTGCTTGGAGTCACAAAATGGGACTGCGCCAGCTCTGATTCAGCTGACGTAGACTCGATATTTCTTTCGAGCATACGGGAGAGTCACTTTTCGGTTGGATACGGAACTTTAGGGAAGGGTGGCCAGTTGGGATATGCCAGCGGTGGTAGTCCCAACATATCGTCGGGCAACAACACATCAGCCACAGAAAGCACTTCAATTTACATTAACGGTGAGGCTAAGCAACGATGCTTGTCAACACATCCACCTTCGCATGGCGACGCCTACGTGGTCTACGACTTGTCTGAAGCCTATCACGCGATCAGTGGTGCAATCGCTATTAATGACAACACACGTGGCGAGCTTTTTCAGAACCATCGGGTCGTCTTGATGTTTAAAATATTGGGCGACGACAAGTTGCTGTGGCAATCAAAGCCATTGTGTGAAACTCATTTGATTGAGCAATTTGAAGTCGACGTGAAAAATGTGCGCGTGCTAGAGCTTAGGGTGTCATGCGAAGGGTCTAATCACTGTGCGCAAGCGATCTGGATAGACCCCTGTTTGCATCCAGTTAAAGAGTGGATTTGTTCAAAGTGTTCTTATGTCAACCATGGCTCAGCAAAAATATGCGCGGTTTGTAGAAATGGAACTCGTGATGAAAGCTTGAAAAAAACAGTGGACAAACTCGCATCAGGAGACGTTTCAAACGAATCAACACCACCGGCGTTTGGAAGTGATGGTCTTGTTCAAGATCCGAAATCACTCAGTGAGCTTGGCACGAATATCATCCGACAAATTTACGAGTTATATCAGCTCGAGCCAGGACGTTGCATGTCTTCAGCGAAGCCTACTGTCCCGTTTGAGGAGCCATTTTGCCGCCAGCCGACCAAGGATGTAATTTCTTTATTATTGCTTATGCTTCAACGATTCCATACTAATTCTGGCCTGGACGCTAAGGCAAGCAATGATGCAAAGTACAATTGTGATGGTTTTGTGCATGTTCTAGGAATTATTAGTGCCAACTTGGAGAGTATTGCATGTCATGACGTGAAGGATTCTACTACGGAACTAGGCGTGTCGTTGGTTACTGAATTACGAGAAGAACTTGAAACAATTGCACGTATTCGCGAAGCACCTCAAAGGGTAGCAAATGAGATTGAAGAGGCCGCTGCTCAGACCATTGTTGCTGGCATCTCCGTTTTGTATCCTTCCGCGATTGAAAAGCTGCAACTACTGCTTCAGTTATTACGATCATACATTTTACGTCCAATCGATGCTACCTCAGCAAGCTATTTTGTCTTGGCATCAGTGATGAGACTTCTTGCTACTCCAGGACAAGATGGGATTTTGACTTTTATGCCTTATATGGCAGCCGACAATGATAAGTGCAGAGGATCAAGTTTTGGGGAGACTGATGAAGCGGCATGGATACTGTCGGTAACCGAAGCAGTTAAACTTCTTATGCAGGTTGTAGTAAATGTGCACCGGAAACAGCTTTTAGCTGACACCGATACTTCAAGCGAGGAGGATGTTGGTAGTGACAAACTAACTGATGCCGCAATTAACCTTCTAAAGACGTATCAACTTTATCTGCTTTCGGCAGCTATAGAGTTGACGAAAACAAAAGCATTTGAGGGTGCCACAGCTAATCACAGCGATGGTAAAAGCGCGAAAGCAATGTCTCGACGTAGACTTCAGGTCCAGGAAGCGACTCTCCAGTTTGGTGTTTTTTCTTTGAACGTATACCGGAATCTGGTTGACAGTATTGTTGCCATTCAGGCAGAAGAATCGTTTGTTCTTCCCCAAGCAACAGTGGCTCGTCAAGCAAGCGTTCGTTCGTATCAGATTCCTCTGCTCTCGGAGGTGCTACCATGGTTTATTGCGTGCTTGTGCCTATTACGTCGCCATACATGGCTTGCCCGACAGATACTCCCGGCGGTGGTAAGGCTTCTTGAAACGCTAGACCACTTTTGCTCGGAATCGCAGGCTGTAACAAAGTCTGCGCATCGATTTCAGCAGCTGGAAGCACACCAAAAGGCACGGTTGATTGAAACACAAGAAATAGAACGCGTTGCTGCGCTTGAGAAGGAGCCGAGCTGCTGGCCCCACTCAACAAAACGTCTATATAATGTTTTTTATCAGCTCTACACCGGCGAGAAGGACCATTTTGAAGGGCAAATTGGGTTCCAGTTTGAAGCAATGAGCTCCTTCACCATCGTTGCTCTGGGACGCTCTGTCAATCCAAAGCGACATGGTGGAAGACTAACGCGTGAACATCTGATTCGACTATGGGAGGAAGGATCGCAGCTATTAGTTGCAGAAGTCACAGTCGGAGGGAGATCAAGAAAGGATGCTTTGGGTTATGCGCTAGAGATGCTACCATTTCCTGCAAAAATTACTCAAGGAAAACTGTACCGGTTGACGACGCAAGAGTTTGCGAATGGTGGAGACCCATGGTATAAGAAAGAAAACCTACCGGATGAAGAGTATGACGAGTCGTATATTAAGATTTTGCGGGATTGCTACGCATCCGGCTCTGTGGGATTTCCTGGGTCTCAAAACATGATGGGTGCTGCGTACGGCGTCCCGACATTCATGGTTCAAGACGAAACTCCTCTCGGTAGCCTTCCGCGCTTTGTGCCTCCACATGGTTGTCTTTCACTACGATTCGACACGAGAAAAACGTTAAACTCAGTCTGTATCAGCCACACAGGAACATCCGCCGTCGTCAAAGACAACACCGATACGTGGCGAACTTGCCTGTTGCGAACGGCGTTTCTTCACGGCGTCCATTCGGTTGATTTCGCTGTCAAGTGCTCTCGTGATGGAGGAACAGTATCTGGGCATGTTTGCGTCGGAATTGATTGGAGACAGCCACGGGGAGAGCGCTGTTTGAACTCACAGCAATCTGCGTACGATACTTTTATGGGAGAAACGCTGACAAGCATCGGGTGGATGCCCTCAATTGGCTCGGTTTGGGTAGGAGGAGTGCGATATGATTACGGACCAAAGCTCTCAGTTAGTGTCGGCGATATATTCACGGTAGTTATCGACTACGACTTGCATCTTTTGTCGTTTGCGTATAACGGTAAAAATGTTGGGATTGCGGTGGGCCCTAAGGAATTTTGGCCTCTCGGAACAGCAATTGAAAAACTTCCAGAAGTGGTAACTGCTGGAGTATCACTCTACGGCTTTCAAGATGCTGTCCAAGTGCGCCCGTCAGGTATAGCAATGTCAAGTCTTCGTGTTCACTGGCTATTTGATTTGCACAACTCATTGGCTTCTCTTGCTGGCCGTATCGCTAGCACACTCATTGCTGGGCATCCAGTAGATGCGGTGGAAGAAGAGCTGTTACCTTGGCTGCAATCACCGCTGCTTAGTGGGGGCAATGCGGAGCCTTCGGCCAGGCAGGATCAGTCTGGCGTGAACACACCGTTGCTGTGGAGTGATGTACTTCAAGCCGAATGCGCTCGTTATCCGTCAAATCAGCAAGAAATTGGAGCTGAAGTCTTGGCAGGTTTTTCACCATATACGCCGTCAAGTATTGACGAAGATTTAGTACAGAGAAAGCGTGGGTCAGAAAGACGCTTCAAAACCAGTGAAGCTGTAAGTCAGCGCGATCCTGTCTTTTGGGGAAATTGGACGGCGGACATGACAGAACGTGGAACCGTCCAACTTATTATGTCATGGCTAGAGAAGCACTGTCCAGATCGTACTTTTCTAAGTCGACTTGGAAGATTCCCATTGTGTGAGAGATGGGTGTGCGCTGCTTTGATAATGCATGCACCATCTCACGTGCTCCAAGAGGTGCAAGCAATCGCTGCAGGAGCGGGGGTCAGTACGGGTGGCGAAGTTGTTGGGGCAGATTTTTTTGTTTCCCACGCACATTTTACCCCATCCGACGATATAATTTGTGTTTGGAAGCGGATTATTATGCTGCGACACTGGCTAATAAAGGTTCGACAAGGGTATCGCGCAAAAGAAGCTGACGAAACATCAGTAAACGAACGCGATACACGTGAAGGGACTGTTGAAAACTCTACTGCAACAATTATATCGCAATCCGATGAAAGCTCTTCGCCGAAGCGGTTTGATGACGACATTAATTTGGAACAAAGCGTGGTGGTACCACAAACCTTTGACGACCTCTTAAAGCAAGTGGTTCAACGGGCAGAATTTCTGTGTAAGTTAGCCCCACCTTCAGGAGAAACTGAAGGTCTCAAAGGCGACTCGCAGATTGCTCTCTTTAATTTGGCGGAAAAATGGAGTGCTCAAAAGACACCTCCATCTTTGCAACCTATGCTTGAACGCTGGAAAACTTTAGGTAAGGCAGACAGCTCAAAGTGGTCTGGAATCGTCGATGTGTTACGAGCTCAGCATCGCTGGAGAGCTCGACGAGCTTCTATACAAGGACTTGCATTCACTTCACCGCAATCCATTGCAAGTGACGACAGCTTGAATGAGAGCTCTGATGATATGCTTGAGACTAAGGGGGAATACGACTACATGAGCAGTTTTTCCGCGATGATGAAAGCGTGTGAATTGTATATTCGTGACGGAACTGGAGCGCCGCCCAAAGTGCTTACATTGCTGCTCGAAAGACGCCAGCGACGATCTGATTCTCGACTTTTTGGTCTTCAAGCGATGAAAAGCATAATATCGTTGTTGTCGTACGACTCAGCTATTCACAACGCTTTAATTTTTTTAAGGCCTGCAATGAGAGGGTTTACAGATAGTGAGAAAGAATCACAAGAACTTAATGACAGGCAGGTTGTAGCAGAGACATTTCGGGCTACGCTTCGCCATCACTACTTGAAAGGACTCGAGGGTTGTAATCGGCAAACCATTGAAAGCGTTCGAAAGGCTTTCTGTGACTTATACACCCACTTGGCACAAATTCTCGGCGGAAGCTCGGGTTACAGTATATCCGATCCGCAGCTAAAACAAACTATACTGTGCGCATGGAGCTTGGATTTTGAGCCGCAGGATCACCAGTTCTTGCTTGAAACCGGAATGTTATCTAAATTACAGGAAATGTTTTCCATAAGATCTGTTCTACGCAAGGCAGTCGCTGTTAACGAGGATTTGTCCGACGGAACCCTGTCACCTGGTTCAGTACGTGGGTACTCGAGTATCAATTGGCATCCTTTGTCTGTAGAATTCGTGCAGCAAGGACTTTTACGAAGTGGTTACATGACCAAACGTGATGTGTTTCAGCTACTTCATCGAGCTCCTCATTATGCATGTCCAGCAGAATGGTGGAAGAAGAACGATATGAAGAACGCTAAAGATGACGTCCCAATAACCGCACGCCACACTGCTTCCTCGCTTTCGCTACTCTATGCTGATATGCTAGCTCGACTTCAACAAAAGCTGCTCGGCCCCCCTGCTTCATACTTCAACTTGTAAAACATTATGTTTTGGCACCAGAATAACACCACCATCTGCACGTGATGCCCAGGCAGCGACAAACCCGAAACCAGACAAAGTAAGCTATGTGAACATGCCAGCGCTAGGTGAAGTGAGAGATTTTACAATGGAAATGTGGATATTTCCAACTGCACTGGTAGGAAATCAAGCATTACGATGTGATGATGGCGTTCACAATGGCAGTGTTTACCTGGAACTAGCTGGGCGGCACTTGCAGCTATCGATCCCAGGCAATTCCCCACGTGAATGGCTGTTTAAAGTGTACCAGCTCCAGACCTTTCAATGGGTTCATATTGCGATCACGTATGATAAAGCAAAAAGATGTCTTCAACTTTTCGTGAATGGAGTGTTATCCGAGAAGATGGAGTTTGAATATGTATGTAGCAGTGTAAACTTTCGCTCTTCGCGACTCGGGTGTTGGATGAATGATGATGACACACATGGCGCGGCAATCACAAGCATCTCTTCACAACGCATATTTAAGGGATCGATTGCTGAAGTTCGAATATGGAAAGTATCGCGTGCTGGTCATGAGATTTTGCGTGATTTTCAGCGCAGCATTCCTCTTGTAACATGCCCTACTGATTCATCGGTAACAAAGTCTAAAGTATTTTCTGATGCTATGATCGGTCTGTGGCATCTGACTGAAGGGGAAGGTATCTGTGGCTATGATGGTGCCCCTGTTCTAAAAGCTGTGCCTGAAGGTCCTGAGGCAAGAGGTTACAATCTGACCATCTCACACTGTCGTTGGGTCCCTACAAGTCTGCCAGTCTTTGGAAACAATGTTTTGGACAATATGTCACCCAATGAATGGAGCCGAACCGTAATGTGTGTTCGTGTCTTTCAACGAAAGGTTCGGTTGTGGTTGATGATCCAATTCAATGAATCTGTTCATTTAGCAAAGCTGGTCTGCAAGTTTGACGAACACAATGCAATGCAGAAATGGAACCACTTATCTCGGATAGATGGTGATGATGGTGACGTTACGCTTTCTGATAGTATTGCTGCGTACTTGCGCAGAGGTGAAACCGAACGTGGTAAATTGACTGGTCAGCCGCTGGATAAGACGACTAGCAAAACAATTTCTCAATGGAACGCATGTACTGATGAGCAAATGATCATTCAAAAGCAAACAAGGCGATGCGCGTGGGTTGTTTTTCGCTTCTTAGCGTCAACTGGCATAAGCGGGGCTTACGATAGGCGAGAGGGGGAAGCCAAGTCGGTAGCTGCTGTTGCAAAAATGAAGCGAAAGCAGCGACTTCAGAAAGCTGGTAGTTCCGGAAATGGGACGTTCTCTACTGTTGGTGGACAACTGGCTACTGAAGATTCACACGGTTCAAGTTTAAGCTCTAGTGCTGAAGATACTGCTATTCGAACAGCTGAAGCTGCAAGCGATGCAGCTAAGAGTGCAGCTACAAACAGAGAATTAGAAGAACCTGTTCTTCAAACATTGTGGTTTTTGAAAGAGTTTCACAGGAAAGTGTTCGAAGTTCTTGAAAAAGAGCTAATTCAAGGAAAAGGGCTAACTGAAGCAGCCGAGGGACTGACGCGTGCTCAGCGAATGCTTCGGTCAGTTTCAACACCTGTCCAAAAGCGAGGCGCAAGTCTTCGTCAGTACCCGAGCGATGTAGCGCGCGGCATGTCTGGATTTGTGAATTTTCATCACGCAACAAGTAACTTATCGGAAAATAGTGAGGTTTTGGAGCCTTTGGAAGTGGAGACGCACATGTTTAAGATCCTGTTGTTCATGCTTTCGCAAAGTCAGCAATCTTCGGCAATCACATATCTAGCACACCCACACATGCTTCGGGGTGTACTAGAAATGCTTCGCATAGCGTCTCCTCGATCTCAGCGTGTCGTCAAGCTGCTTCTTCGTCGAATTTGTTGTAGTGGTAGTATCAAGCCGTCGGACGTTGGTGCCATTCTTGGATCCGAATCCGTGTTAATAGATTTGTTGCTGGATCAAGTGGCCGAGTCGGTATGTAGTACAGCTGCGCCCATGGCAACCCACGCAGTTAACGTTCCAGCAAACAGCGCACAGGTTGGAATTGCGGACAAAGACAACTCGTTTTCATCGTCAGAGTCATTGAGTAACCCAATCGGATTTCGTTCTGGTGAAATCTCTCTTGTAATGGCCTCGGAAAGTGTGGCTTTACTGCGGCTTTTGCTAATGGAAAAGCACTGGGAGCAAGTAGTGTCAGAGATTTTATGCAATGCAATCCGCAATATCGCCCCGATTCTCGCCAGAAAAAATTGTGACCGTTTGTCATCACATTTGCAAAGAAGTGCCGATTCTTCCGATATCAGGGTCCGAGCAGCAATTGTTCGAGCTGTTGGAGCTCTTTGTGTTCTTGGAACTCATTCGGATTGCATTCGAATTGGCGGCAAAGTTGTTGTCACTGCTCAAGGCACTAACGGTTGTAGGTCTGACATTGCTTTGGACTGCAGTCCAAATTCTGTGAGCGCAACCTTGATTGAGATGAATTCACATGCTTCTACGGTCCGTGTTGTTTTTCACCCTACGTCATCAGAATCAAACTTTGATCCCAGTCACAATGTTCAAGATGTGAAGCTGGCAAGCCTTTCTCCATCTGAAGAAATTGTTTTGCCATCGTCGGTGATGCCGTTGTCAATGGACATGCTACCTGTGATTCTACAGCTCACTTCTTTGGAGGATACAAGCGTTTTGAAGGAATTTGACAGCTTGTGGAGGTTGCAAATCCGCTCTCGTGCATTGCTGGCGCTGGAACCTCTTTTGCGCCATTCAGTTTGTGTGACCAAACGTTTTGCTCACGATGCCATTGCACAGAATCTGCTTCGCTTTGCTTTGACTCCAACAAGTCTTGATACCTTTCTCAGTCTGCCATTACTCCAGGAGCGAGGCCGAATGCTTTTATGCCGTTTGATTGAGTCTTCAACTCCGCTTGGTGAAGTAATGTTTCACGGGTTGCAGGAGCCTACAGCTTCAGCACTTGCCGCGTCCGAACCACTACCACTAGGAGGTTCCAGCTTTATTGAAGCAATCAATGATCCCGCCGAAGAAGAAACTGAAGCTCATCGCGTCCGTAGAGGTTTCGCGTCCACGCTGGCTGCCATGGGATTTGACTTTGACTTATGCATGGCCGCATTAGAAAGCTCTCATGATGACCCTAATTTGGCAGCTGAATGGTTAATGGGTGTCGGCGCAACAACATACCAGGAACGCTTAAAAGCACAACGCTTAGCACAGGCAAGCATCGAGGCTCACGAGTTGGCAGAGGGAGCTAATGGAATTCCTGCTCTTACCATTGAAGCAAAGGCGACAGAGCTTCAAAGCATCTCCGGAATGCCGTATTGTCTTTCGTTGTGCGCTTTGGAGCTGTCAAACAGCGATCCCAATCGAGCTATGGAGTGGCTAATGGAGCACGGCAATAGCTATGCCGAGAAGTTCGATTCGCTAGATCTGTTAACAGACGCATTTTTAGCGACGAGGACTGTCGTTTTAGAAGACCAGGCAGCTATGGAAGAAGTCGATCAACCTGACCCGCTCGTAGCTCTTGCTGGACAAGACGCATCAACAGCCGATTATTTGAGCATAACTACATCGATATCTAACGCACCAAGTGCTGATGCAATGGCAGTAACCCTGGCTCCAATTTTGGCACCCATTCCTGTAAAGCCTAACGCGGGTGTGGTTGCAGCACGTGATTCAAATGTAACAGCCTTCTCGCCACTTGATCCGACGTATTTGACTCCAAACGTTCTCTTAACGGTGACAAGTGACGTTGGTCCTGTGAAACAGTTAGTTGCCAGTGGACGAACGGGTATTTACAGGCGCTACTCGCCTGACGATGGTGTGCTAGTAACATTTTTGAACACGGAGTCTGGCGCATACGAGGACGAATTCTTTTCCCCGCAAGACTTGCGCCGGATTGTGAAAATCTTTGATGAGCCTTTAGAGGGTGTAGAAAGCATACATCGCGTTGCAATGAGAACAGAGAATGCTCTTTCTACGTATTATGCCCGACGTGCTATTACAGCTCTGCTCTGCGCTTTCACTTCTCTTGGGAATTTAATTCCGAAGGTATCAGGAATGGAAACTGATAAAACTGATGCCCTTGAAGATAAGCCTTCATCGCTGTCGTTTTCATTTACAAGTGTCGTTGGAGGTCCACGTCAGTTCGTGAATCTCCTGAAGATGGTATGTGCTTCCGAAATGAATGCTATCAAGCCCTCCGACGCCGACGGTACAGACGGCTTACCAAACAAGACCTATGCCAGTAGCAGGTCAGTGACGTATAATACTGAGCAGCCCGTCTCCCTGTTGGCGACCTTGCAGAAAATAACGCTGAGAATGCTTCGTGAAGAATCACTGACTCAAAAGATTGAAAATTCCAAATCGAGCTTACTTCGTTTTCGTGTCGTAGAACGAGTTGAAGGCCTTTCTGATCATATCAGCGATCATCCTCGTTGTCATTCTGTTCCTGGAGTTCCCAATTTCAATAAAGGAGATGATGACGAGGCTTTGAGTCGGGCAACCATGGTGTGCATGGAAAAACCACCAGTACCTCTGGCTCCTATGGCTAGTGCGGGTGAGGATCTGGCAGAAGCAAGACATGATGGATGGAAAGATGATGAAAGCAAGAGTGAAGACGCTTCTGAGTGTATGGGAATAATCTACCAGACGTCCAACTCAGGAGTACAGGAACTTTCTAGTGCATACTCGGATGGTGGAGTTGATGGCGACGAAGGCCTGCTATCTAGTGTACTGGTTAAAGAGTGCGTCAGTCACTTTGTGGAATCCACGCGAATGGCGGGAGACGGTGCAGGTAAGGTATCAGCAGTCCAGGAGTTCCAATCGTTGCATCCATACTTCGGTCGATCCGATTATGCTCGAGCTGTAAGCATTGATAACTCCTATCGATGCTTACGTATTGTGTTTGACCATCGCTGTCGATTGGGACCCAAGGCAAGGCTGACTTTCTTTGCAGACCCAGAGTGTGAGGATCGTATCGGGATGGTGGACAATGCCATGACGGCTTCCGGCCATCCTCTGCCAGATTTGATTATCCATTCGCATCAGTTTTGGTTTCGCTTTACGGCGTTGGAAGAGAACGTTGCAAAAGATAATGGCTATGGCTATCGCTTCCAAGTAAAGCCCATGGCTAATATCCGCTGGACAAAAGAGTCGGATGTGTTGAAAAGCCCCTCGCTGGAGTGGGCATGTTGGGTACTAGAATTTTTGCTTAATGACGCGACGGAGCTGGTAGCACATGGAGCCGTGCACAACCGTAATATCTATGGTGCACTTGTACGCTATCTGCGTTCGCCAGGAGCTCCGTATAAAGGCCGCGTTGTTCGCTTACTTCAACAATTGTTGCACCACTCTGAGCTATTTCCGGTTGATGCAATACCCGAATTGGATGCGTTGGAATCAATTTCTCGATTGGCATTGACTTGTGCGGAGGTCGATCGAGCAAGTGGCAAGGTGTTTCTTTCTGCACACTTGCTGCAACTAGTGGAATTATCCATGATGATCTCTTCCGCTTCATCTGTCTTCGACCGCAAGCTTTCTGGCATCAGTGCAGCATCAACACCACTTCTAACTGCACCCTTTGATTTGCCTGTGCCATTCGAGCGTAAACGCGTGCAAGATAGTCTAAATGACGTGTCGGTGCTGACGAAGTTTTTACTTGGTCAAACAACGAATCTACCTGACCATATCCTAGTTTCAATATGGCTGGAGGTCTACGGGGCTTCTACAGTCATCGAATCCTCCCATCCGTACACTCCAGGCTCCCATTTACACGACGTCGTAGTGTTTGATGGTGCTGAATCTCTATGGATAACGTTCGATCCACGTTGTTCTTTAGCGCCTGGCCAAGGGCAAACAATGTCACGACTCGATCTAGCCAGCTTTATGGTTGCCTCTCGTGACGATGATGTTGATGAGCCAGTCAAAGAAATCCGTAGTAACCGAACATATGCCGGGGAGAGTGGGTGGCCTGAAGGTGCCATCTCTCATGATGGACATCATCTGGAATACACGTTCCGCGCGGATGAAAACGCAGGAGATCACTTTGGTTTTGCAGCAACAGTAAATGCTCATGGTATTTCTAGAGAGAAACAGGTATTGCGCGCCACGGTTGAAGACATGGAGCACATTCGCCGGCGACTTGTAATGCAAACAGGTTCTATTGATCTGTCAAATGGGAATCGCTGGACTGAAGCAATGGACGCACAGCTCGTAGATTGGGTGAACAATCACGTGGAACCTACAGCGTCCTTGCCATCGTCCATCCCAACGACAACTCGGCATTCTGTCGATCTACAACCTGTAGACGTTATGCTTGACGCAACGCTTGATGGATTGCGCTGCTCGCAGATATTAAACCTGTCACTCGAGTCGCTGCAGCTTCGGTTTGCGTTGTTGAAGTACCTGAATTTGAGCCTACAGCACTGCTTGTCATTGCTTGATCTACGCGACACAAAATCACCGTGGACGATAGCACACCGGTTACGAAAGCTAAGCCATTGCATCTTCTTTGACGTGAAGAGTACGCTAGTCGATGCTGCGATCGAAGCTACAAATGTCCTAGGAGAGGAGACTTCTAGTGGAAGCTCGCAACAGCAGACAGCGCGTATCACACTGGACCGGATGCAGGCGCTTGAATCGCGTGATGATCGTGAAGTGGAGCCCTCTGTGTCTGAATGTTTTTTCGCGCAGGCGTTTCGTCAGCTGCATCAGGTCGACACGGCGTTGTTAAGACGTCAGATCGATAGCAAGGGACGACTTTTCAGTGTCAAGTTCCGCGGCGAGGAAGGTGTGGACTGGGGTGGAGTCTATCGTGAGGGTGCCACATCCATGGTAGACGACTTGTTTTCTCCACATTTCAATTTGTTTGTCTTGTGTCCCAACGGCCAGCACGACATTGGCAACAACCGCGGAATGTATTTGCCAAACCCCAAATGCACGTCTCCAGTTGCCACACAAATGCTTGCTTTTGTAGGCCAGCTCCTAGGAATTTCACTGCGTACGCATGGTGACTTTCCGTTCATGTTACCATCGCTTGTGTGGAAGCAATTGCTGGGCCAGACACTCACACGCGCTGATCTTGAAGGCACCGACATTATGTTTGTTCAAATGCTGGACGGCATTGCTAATTGTGAAAACGATGGCATCTCTACAGAGGAAGAATTTGCTACGGCCTTTGCTGGGCTTGAGCTGCGTTTTACTGCCTCGTCTTGTACAGGAGATGATATTGAACTTGTGCCAGGTGGTCGCCATGTCACGGTGGGGTTTCACAACCGATTGGAGTATTGTCGTCTTGCAGAGCTCGCGCGTTTGGAAGAATGCAGTGCGCAGGTGGCAGCTATGGCTCAAGGTTTTGCAACACTATTCCCACGCCGTGTGCTGACACTACTAACCTGGCAGGAACTTGAGATGCTTACGTGTGGCTCGCCCAAAATCGATCTGGATCTCTGGCAAAGGCACACGCGTTACGACGGCTATGCTGAGGACGACCCAACAGTCCGGCTGTTTTGGAAGGCTCTTGCAGAATTTTCCGATGCACAACGGGCAGATTTTGTGCGTTTTGCATGGGGCCGAAGTCGTCTGCCACGCGGAAAGTGGCCACAACCTTTCAAGTTATCCAAGAAAGGTGGTCGTGACGCTACGCGCAGCCTGCCAGTTGCTCACACATGCTTCTTCTCAGTTGAGCTTCCACCTTACACATCACGCGAGACAATGCGCTCTATGCTGCTTGCTACTATCACGTTTGGTCTTGGTGGCATTCTCATGGCTTAATACCATTGTGGCAAAGAATTTTCATGTTTTGATCGTAGCAGAATTACATCAATATACCTGATAAGTGGAAGCTCACGCCACACTCACTCACTACTCATGGAGGCGATAAGACACAACATTACCATGGCCAAGTATTCACTACAACAAAACACGCAAGCGCATATTTGTTTACCCACTCTCGCATATTGTTCGTTTCTTCATCTGGTCACTGTAAAATTGAAAATGATGATGCAGAAGCGCATTCAATTTACACGCGCTTGAAGTTGTCAAGTCCACTGCCTACAACACTGCAATGTTCCACCTCAATTGCCTCGTGTAGAGCGTCCTCGCTAAACTCCGTCGACGGCAACACGATCTGCGCGTTCTGGCTAATGGCAGCAAATGGGCCAAGAGATAAACCAGTCTGTTCACCCGTTAGTAAAATCTTGTCCGTCGCAGTCAGTTTCAAGCTACAACGAGACGTGAAAAAACACAAAATACACAAGAATCAACGTGAGCAATGCATTTCATCAATAACGTATCAGTAAATACGACGTGACTTGTCAACCTCTTTGCAAGTGTCTCTGCACGCTTCAATACGTCACCATGGGTAAGTACGGCACTTTTCTTTGGATTCTGACCTTCCACATCTATAACAAGCAACACCAAAGCCAGTCAATACATACCCATCATAGCAATAGACCAACCTACCAACAAACAAACAATACAGCCACTGACTTGAGTATACAACAGCAAACGGCGTCTTTTCATCCAAAGTCTTGGCCACAGTCTTCATTGCGTAGGGTTCTGGACTATTTACCATCATCCCACTGAGATTAATCATTCCTTCAACTGGTTCCCAACTTGTTGTGATTACACTATGTAAATGACGAAAAGCTTTTGGACGAAAGACCTTCATCTCCTCTCGAACTACATGGAAACAACAAGAACAATCGACATCATTAAATCCACACGCTCTCTCTCTCTTGTTACTCATCCATTAATTCTTACAGGTAGCTAATTCAGGGAATAATCCTTGAATAACCTCCATCTGATTCCGTCCATGTTGAATGGGTTCAAACATGATTCCACTCGCATGCGAGTCTTGTAGAATCAATGCCACGTCCTGAGCTCGTGCAATTTGTGGTTCCATGACAGCAAGTGTTAGACCTGCACGTGCAGCTGCTAATTGTGTCACAATATTCTCGATACTATGAGGCTGTAGCCACAGAGCAAGCGTATCCTTTGGTTGAAAGCCGAGATCCAGGAATCCATTGGCAAGTTCGTCAACACGTGATTGTAACTCGGTATAACTCCATTGTACGTCCTGTTTTACACTACGTAATGCTTCTTTATGTGGTAAACGATCGACAGCGTCATGTAGCGCAGTACTGATAGTATAAAGTCGACAAAGACCAGGAAGACCATGCTTGGGACAACGTCTTAGAGCAAACATGACGTTAAACTGTAGGATCAAAACCCACTATGGAAGAGCATGATAGAATGAACGGCTAAGGTGGTGTGTCAAGTGGACCACTTTATTTCAGGTATATTTGATGTAAGAATGATCCATTCAAGGACTTTGGACCACTACGTCACAAAACTAGATGGATACAAAAAACAAGAGAAGAGAAAATATGCTGATTCCTGTGGTTGTTATGAATGCTGGAATCAAAGAATGGAGTCTACTTGAGTTTCAAGGGGATTTCATACCACTGGATAAAACATCCGATTGTTTACAAGGAGGAATTGAAATTGGGACATTTCGTTACGGACAAAAGACAGCTCAAGAACCGAAAGTGACACTTCGTATTGGAACTCACGTCTTGAGTGGCAGTCTCATGAAGTTATCACGTCCATTTGCTATTATAGAGAAAGAAGATTGTTGTGAGGAGAAGGAGATCAAGTACAAAGTAGTGGGCATTGCACGTACACGTGTTGTATTTGCAACAAGACCAAAACCTGTACTGACGTAGAGAAAAAATAGGTGGAGAAGAAGAGATTGAGACTGCTACAACGTCTCGAGTTTTTGAGTGTTTACCTGCTTTTCTTCCTGTTAAATCCACACTTTGATGATCAATTGAATGAGTGACGATGGCCAGAACTGGAGTATCGTGACTTGTAGACTATCGTGTGCAGGTCTTGTTATCACTCGAAATGCTTTGTCCACTTTAACTGAGTCGCTATCCTCACTTAACTGGATTACTACTAGCGATAAGCAAGCAGCACCAAACGGTTTAATTCTTTGCTCCAACACAAGCTCCATCATCAACTGACCATCAAGTTCATACGCCGCTTACTGGAGATCGCACTTAATCAATCAGTGTCCTCGAACCTTTACCTTCCACTTTAATATCAGATCTTACAGGTTTGTGCATACAATGAGTGACAGTTGAGTGACATATGTCACTCACCACTTTAATGACTCTCTATTTCTTAGCACCAGTGGCCATTCAACATACGGATATCATGACAACAGGTAAATTAAATCCATCTATAAATATCTTCATGTGATTCTCTATAGTTGTATTTCCATCAATTGATTTCTTTCCTTACAAATAAAATACAATCTCATCCGTCTAATTATTTTATATTACGTACACATATATATATATATATATTAATCGATTACCAGCTACGAATAAACATACTAATACCAATACCAATAACCATATCCATAACGACCTACCACGTACGAAATTCTTTCTACGTAGTAAAGGCAGTATTGAAGCTATTTGGGGACCACCTTCTTCTAGTAAAGATACGATTCAACTCGTACATGATGAGACCTTTCAACATTTAGAAGCTGCTGATCTTCTCGAGTTTACAGACGATGGCAAGTTCTTTGTGCTTGGAAATACCGTCTCAGGGTTTAAGGTCTACAATTCGGACAGTGGCGTTATGGTAGTAAATGTGACGAATCCAGGTATTCATGCTGTATCCTGGTCACCACTTGGTTCACACTTGTTGACGTGGCAACGACCACAGAAGGATTCAGAGCGTGGTAATTTGATTGTCTGGGACGCTGCCACTGGCAAAGACGTGGCACGATTTCATCAGACATCCTACTCACGTGATGTATGTGAGGCTTCTTGACTTGACGTGATATTGTTGGAGAGAGATGATGATTGTGGTGGAAAGTGGATTGAACTCATGTGGATTGATGTGTACATGATTGTAGAAATGGCCACCACTGCAGTGGTCGTCGGATGAAGCGATCTGTGTACGTCAGAGCGCGAATGGTGTGGTGATTTATAGTGGTCGAGATATTGCTGCAGGCTCCATTGGCCAGATCAGCCTTCCAGTATGTAATTATACTGTGACTCGTGTACGTTGAATCAACTAGACTGATAGTGTGTGTGTGGTTGTAATTAGAATGTTGCAAACTTTAGTGTAGCTCCTGGTAGTGCTCCATACAAGATGGCTCTATTTGTTCCAGAGAAGAAGGGTAAGCCTGCCAGCGTCAAGATTTTTCAGTTTCCAAGCAATCTAGAGGTACCTACGGCGACTAAGAGTTTCTACAAGGCTCAGGATGTGACGTTAAAGTGGTCTCCGACGGGCAGTGCGCTGATTGTAGAAACTCGAACGGACGTTGATACGTCGGGTAAATCATACTACGGCGAAACAGGCCTCTTCTTCTTGCAGAGCGATGGTAAATATGACTGCATTGTGCCACTCACGAAAGAAGGCACGGTGCACGACGTCGCGTGGGATCCTACCGGCCGCGGTTTCGTCGTCATCGCCGGTGCAATGCCTGCGCACGCCACTCTTTACGACAACAAGGCGCTACCAATCTTTGAGTTTGGTGCAGCACCTCGGAATCACGTCAGTTGGAGCCCGCATGGACGTTTCTTGTGTCTTGCTGGATTTGGTAACCTTCGCGGTGACATGGATTTTTGGGAGCGCAACAAGCTGAAAAAAATGGGCTCGGCAACATCTAACTCCGCCACTACGTTTGCTTGGTCACCCGACAGCCGCTACTTTGCTACAGCGACTACGTTTCCACGTCTGCGTGTGGACAATGGCTTTAAGATATTTCGTTACGATGGCACTGGTCCCGTTCACCAGGAGGAGCGTGGTGAGCTGTACGACCTAAAGTTCCGCCCGGCAGCTCAGAATACGTATCCAAACCGACCTCAGTCTCCGAAACGAAAGGGAGAAGAGGCGGGCTTTGGCTCGTCGTCTGTGGCTCCAAAGGCTGCGCCAAAGCCGCAGGCGTACCGTCCACCGAACTCGACGGGGGCTCTCGCCGCTATGATGCGAAAGGAAGAAAGCGGCTCGAAGAAGTTGGACCGTAACAAGTATGCAGCTCCTCGCAGGGGGTGCTCCCACGACTCCCGGTGCTGCGCCTCGTGTCATTCCAGGCATGGGAGCAACTGCAGCACCTAAAAAGCTTAGCAAGAGCGCACGCAAGAAAAAGGCGCAAGAAGCGGCTGAAGCCAAGGCAGCAGTGGACGAGGCTCTTGCCAAGGTCGCGGGTGCCACTCCCAAGGCTCCTCAGGTGTCAATTCAGCTGAGCTCGGCAAAACCAAGCTCTGCTGAATTGACACCTGAGGAGAAGGCCAAGAAAGTGAAGGGTTTGCTGAAAAAGCTGAAACAAATTGACACGATCAAGGCGAAGAAGGAGGCTGGTGACTCTCTCAACGAAGATCAGCAGCAGAAGCTTCAGACTGAGCAGGCTCTACGAGACGAGGTGGCCAAACTCTCCGCGTAAATACCATGTAATGCACCAGTCGAAGCTTTGGGCACGGCGTGTTGGTGAAGAGAAGGTAGGTGATATAGAGCAACACTTTGAGAAAGAAAGACCCTTACATCCAGCATTTGACGATAGCATATCTTCTACACTATAATTGATCACAATCGTTCTCGCTGGCGCCACCATAAGCTTCTAACATTCTTGTTGGTCTATCTCAATAATCTCTAGCTAGCCTTCAGTACCCGAATTAGCAGGGATAGCAACATACACAGCCCATTGTATAGACGGCGCAGGTGGTGGAGGCACAAAATGCTGTTGCAGAACAGCACACAAGTGAGTCAAATTAATCACATGTCACTTCGTTATAAACTGACAAACGGCAATATACCGGAGGAATCGCAGATGCTCCTGGTGTCTGCGGTAAAACAATGAATGCGTCCCAAGCTCGTCGCACAGCAATCAAAGCGTCCATTGTCAATGCGTCTGGATCAAACGACGACTTGAACAAGCTGCGTTCACTGCTTGATCCATCATTCTCCATCTGTTGCGTAGAAGCAGAGCGTTCTGCAGAATAATCATCTGCATTTTCATGACGACAAGAAAACTCATTCTCTTCCAACATCTTCACTCGTTCATCATTGTCCATAGATTCCACATCTTGACATACAACGTTCAAGTGTTTTTCTTCTGTTTGACTACTTGCTTCAGCACGTCGTCGTTGCTTTGATCGCTTTCGATACATCTGCTCATCCATTCAACAGATAGAGAGAGAGAGCATAGAGACATCTTTAAGCAACAATACAAATAATCATCAGTACAAATTCCTTGTCCAGACCTGTTTCTTTTTGACTTTCATTGCAAACTCTCGTATCTCATGCAGTTCCTGCTTGGAAAAGAGTCCTGACGTTGCATTCCTTTCTTCTAATTGTGTCTTTAGTGCCTCACAAACTGCAAGTTTTGCTTCATAGGACGTCTGTAATTGCCACATATGAGTATATCCATGAGTTTGTATCGTATCTTTTCCATCAAAAGCTCCACGTAGTGTCGTGATCTTTTCCTCAATATGAGCCAATTCCATTGCAGATACTTTAAGTTGCTGTAAAAGTTTCTGAGTCTGTACAATTCGGTATCGTAATATTCGTAATGGAGGTTCTTTCCACTTTTTATAGTGTTTTACATTATATTGAGTTTCAAAGTCACAATGTGTCCGTTTAAAAGTGTCCAGCCAATATTGTTCCGTATCCACGGGGAGGACGAAGTGGTGGACGTGGTGGTGGACGAGGCATCATATAAGAAGTAAAACCTCTTGGAGAAGGTAGAGGAGGTCTAAATCCACCATGAACAAGTGGAGATGGAGGTGTAAATACAGGAAAATAAGCTACTGGTCTTCCCCATGGCATTTGCAGTGGAAGGTATGGCGGTGGAGGTGGTGGAAGCGGACGTGGTGGTGGACGTGGTGGTGGACGTGGCGGTGGCATTTTTCTAATGATAAGAGTATCTGTCATGTGTCGGAATAATGTATACCACACTATATCGGATAACTTCTGATATGATGTTTATCACACCATTTACAATAACTAATTCATAATGACCGATGCTCATGATGAGCTACTCAAGTGCGTGTTACAATTAGCAGCAAGTAGTGACAAGGTCTGCCATTATATCTAAACATCTTGTTCTTGTAATTGATTACGAATCATGCATCTCTATGTATTTTCTGTCTTGTTCGTTCTTGTAGCTTCGTACGACCAATGCAATACTTGGAACGTCCTTGGGACGAATGCAACAGGCTTTACCAGAGTCTGGAATGCCTTTACTTACATCTAAATTGGCAGTCATAGCTTCCAATATGGATCGTAAATCTCGTACTTTAGAGGAGAAATTTCAAGAGATTTATGACCTTGGAACAGAGACAACAGAGCGAATGGAACTTACAAAGACACGAGTGGAAAAAGAACTACGACGTCGATCAGAGAATGTAGGAAGAAGTATTGAGTGTGGAAAGGATATGGATGTACATGCTGATACTAGTACTGTACTGTACTGATGATGTTGATGAGTGATGTTGTATAGTTTCGTGACTTGGTCAAGAGTCGAAATACAGATATCCAGGAAGAATACGCACGAATGCTAAAGGAGCTAGATGATCAAGCGGAGTTACTAGACGAGCAAATTTCAAAGGAGAGAGAGGCAGTAGCTGCACGAGCTGAACGACGTCGTCAGGAGGCTATTCAGAGAAAGTCTAATAAGAAACAGCAACTTGCCGAAGAAAGCGCGGTTTTGAAAGCACAGTTGGATGAATTCACCTTGGAGATCAGACAGTTGCAAGAAGTGTTTGCAGCACTGGAACACGAACATGACGACATCTCGCAGGATGCTCAAAGTGCTGAAGAACGACGTCAACTTGAGGAAGAGCGTGCTCAGAACGAAATTGTCGAGCTTCAGCAGGAAATTGTACTGCTGAAGGAGGTGCAGAAAGCGACTGTAGAGAAAGTCGACGTACGTGTGTTAACGTCGTTGTCGTTATGTAGAACTGAAACTTAACAGTTTGTTGTTATGCACTTATACTAGAGACAATCACTGAAGGCCCAGTATGAAGAAGAAAAACGGGAAGTGCTGGAAGAGACGGCGCACGTAAGGGTTATTGCAATTCAGTCTTTGTGCGATTTGCCCCGCTTATTGATCGATTTGTCTATGTCATGTCTTGCAGCTAGAAAGCTTAGTGGAAGACTTTGCGCCTCAAATTAACTCAAATAGCGTTCGTCTGCATTCACTGCTGCGAACACTTGCTCCCGCTCCAGGCATTGGGACGCTCATGACACGCCTGTACCAGCAACTAAGCAGCGATTCTCCTGCTCCGTCATCAACCGACTTGCCTCCTACACCGCGTAAAACGGTCGATTTGAATGCATTTCTTAATGTACGTAAGCATGACGTATGCAAGATTGCTCTCTTGACAAACACGTGTATATGAATTCTCTTGTGTGTATGCAGAGCTGCCCGAGTTTTGAAGAAGGCAATCGCGCAATTGATGAGCTCAAGAAGCTGCAGCTCGTCCATTGCTACGAATCAAGCGGAATCATTGCACTGGCAGATTAACTATCAATACAGTTAAACAAGTTTCACAAACCAAATTATATGAAGAGCTGTCTGGTCAAAGGAGACGTGACTCCACCAGCTTTGTCACTCATAGTTTGCTATTAGTATTGCTCTCTAAGTGCTTCTTGAGCTCGATCGCCGTGGTCAGAAATTCGCCTGATGCCGCACGACGATCCAGCTGCTCAAACTCGAAGAATAGCGCTTCACGGACCTTTGGAGCGCGTTCACGACGCAGTAGTGATGTGTATACCGGCAAACTGGTCTGATTGGAGCGGTTCGTTACGATTGGCGTCAAGTCTGCAAGTACTGCCTCTAGAAATCCATCCGTTGGGAACACCTCGCCCACAATCTTGCTGTCAAGTGCTTCTTTAGCTGTATAAACCTTGGACCGGATGACCAAATTGCTCGCTACTGTCGACCCTAGCAAGTGTGGGAACGTATAAGATGATGCAAACTCCGGCACAATGCCAAAGCGGAGAAATGGTGTCCAGAAGGTGGCGCTATCGGCTGCATACACGACGTCACAGTGCATGAGTAGCGTGACACCAATACCAATAGCCGGACCATTCACTGCTGCGACCAACAACTTGTTGCATTCTAGCATCTTCTGCATATAAGTATACGATGGACTCTGCGAAGGTGGATGAACTAGTCCATTGCCATGGATAGCCATCATCTCCTTTACATCTGCACCGCTCGTAAAGTAGTCGCCATAGCCAGTAAGTACAAACGCATGGAGAGAAGAATCGGTCTCAAATTTGTCCAGTGCAGCTGTCAATTGTTCATACAAAGCATTGTTGAATGCGTTTTTAGCACAAGGCCGATGCATCGCGACCACGTAGATACATCCTGCATATACACGGCAATGTATCACTGTTTCTTGTTGTATGATTGGACTCTTCATAACTGACTGCTACTGAGTTCTTGAAACGTCTGATGCAGAAATGTAAATGCTTTGTTCAAACGAGCAGGTGATTTATTGGTTTTTGTCGACCTTACAAGGTAAAACTGATGATGATAACAAGGATCTACCATACTTTTGCATTGGACAATGTAAGCACGATAGATAACCTTAATCTTCATCGTCGCCAGTTTCGTCAATTTCTACGAGAAGGTCGCCGCCAAGCATGTTGTCGCCAACGTCAGCATGGATTGACGCCACTCGGCCACTCACTGGAGCAGCTACAACGGTCTCCATCTTCATAGCACTCAGAACAAGTAGAGCATCACCAGCCTTCACATTCTCGCCTTTCTTCACACGCACATCAAGCACAACACCAGGCATCGGGGCACCAACAGAACCAGCCATCGTCGTGGCCTTTGGCTTCAACGTCGAGGCCACGCCTGCAGCCTCGTCCTTGACCTTGATCACACGCTGGCGACCGTTGAGCTCAAAAATGACGTCGCGTAGACCATCCTTCTTGCTCACGCCACCAACTGCAATGAGCTTAATAAACACAGTCTTACCGTGCTCCATCTCAATCTCAACTTCCGTGTCCACTTCAAGACCTGTCAGGAACGTACGCGTGTCCAGGAAGTGCAACGAACCGTACTCGTCCTTAAACTTCATGAAGTCAGCAAACACGTCCGGATAGATAGCGTGCGAAATCACATCGACGTCACGGATCTTTTCCTCGCCGTACTGCTCCTTCAGCTCCTTTTCTGCTGCATCGAAATCATACGGCTGCATTTCAGCACCAGGGCGGGCCTCAAACATTTCATGACCGTTTGGTAGCAGCTTGCCTTTCAGTACACACGAACGCAGCGGCTCCGGGAAGCCATGGTGCGGGATACCCAGGTAACCCTGAAAGTATTCGACCACTGACTTAGGGAACGACAACGTCTCGGCCTGGTCAACCACCTCCTGCTCCGTGAGCTTGTTCTGCACGATGAACTGAGCAAAGTCGCCTACCACCTTGGAAGAAGGCGTTACCTTAATGATGTCACCCAGGAGCCGGTTCGCTGTTGCGTAAGCGCGCTTGATTGCCGGCCACTGGCCCGCAAGACCGAGCTGCGTCGATTGGTAAAGCAGATTCGTGTACTGACCGCCAGGCATTTCATGATTGTACACATCAGCCGAACCAGACTTCTGGCCAGACTCGAACGGCGCATAGACGCCGCGAAGCGTCTCCCAGTAATCATTGATTTCCATGATGTCTTCAGAGTTTACGCCCGTGTCGTGCTCTGAGCCCTTCAGGGCCGCGACAATCGCACCCATCGACGGCTGCGAGGTCGTGCCTGACATGGCGTCCGAAGCTACATCAACAGCATCTGCACCAGCGTACGCAGCTTCAAGCATTGAGCTTACACCCGTTCCGGCCGTGTCATGCGTGTGAACGTGGATCGGCAAGTCCGGAAACTCCTTGCGGATGGCAGAAATTAAGATCTTCGCAGCTTTGGGCTTAAGCAAACCTGCCATATCCTTGATGGCCAGCACATGGATGCCCTGCGACACCAACTGACGTGCGAAATCCAAGTAGTACTCGAGATTGTAGGGACCACGGGTCGGATCTGAAACATCGCCAGTGTAACACATAGCAGCTTCGATGATACCACCGGCAGCACCAACAGCGTCAATGCCTAGCTTCATGTTCTCAAGGTAGTTCAGCGAGTCGAACACACGGAACACATCCATACCAGTAGCCTGCGCCTTCTCACAAAACTTGTACACCACGTTATCCGGGTAGCTCGTGTAACCTACAGCGTTGGCGCCACGGAGTAGCATTTGGAACGGAATGTCAGGCACAGCCTCACGCAGAATCGCAAGACGGTCCCACGGATCTTCACGCAAAAAGCGCATAGACACATCAAACGTCGCGCCACCCCACATCTCGATCGAGAAGGCATCACGCATGGCAATGGAAGTAGCTGGAGCAATGGCAAGCATGTCGCGCGTGCGCATACGAGTCGCAAGCAGGGACTGGTGAGCATCACGCCACGTGGTGTCAGTTAGCAGCAGACCCTTCTTGGCACGAACAGCCTTTGCAAAAGCCTCTGGGCCCTGCTCGACGTAGATCTGGCGCAGCGTCTTCTCCTTGGAAGCAGGCGGCGCCGACAGAGAAGGAATGAGCGGGTCAACTTTGGACGGAGCGGGCCCAGTAGCACCTAGTGCCTTCTCTGGACCATTCACAATCGTATTGCCAATGTACTTGAGCATTTTCTGGCCACGATTCGTTGACTTCGACGGCAGCAGCAGGTCTGGGTTTGTAGCAATGAAGCTGGTGTCAACAATGCCCTTAATGAAGTCTGGGTGATTTAGTACGTTAGTCAGAAAGCTTTTGTTAGTCGTTACACCACGCACACGGAACTCAGACAGCGCACGCTTTAGCTTGCGCGCACAGTCACCACGATCTAAAGCACGTGCAGTCACCTTGACAAGCAATGAGTCATAGTGAGGGGTGATGTGAGCGCCGACGAATCCAGGACCGTCGTCAAGACGGATACCCATGCCTCCTGGGCTACGAAACACCTCAATAACACCCGAGTCCGGTTGGAAACCCGTGCTCGGGTTTTCCGTGGTCACACGGCACTGCATGGCATGCCCGCGTGGCTTGATCTTGTCCTGGCTGAGACCCAAGTCCTTGAAAGTCTCACCACCAGCGATACGGATCTGGCTCTGCACAAGATCGATGCCCGTAATTTCTTCCGTAATCGTGTGCTCAACCTGGATCCGGGGGTTCACTTCAATAAAATAGTGACGACCCTGCTGGTCCACGAGGAATTCGACGGTACCTGCGTTCAAATACTTGGCAGCACTAGTGAGACGGACAGCGTCGTCAATCATCGCCTTTTCAGTCTTGGGGTCAAGACCCACCGCGGGAGCCGTCTCAAGCACCTTCTGGTGACGACGCTGCACACTGCAATCACGGTGGAACAAGTGCACGACGTTACCCTGGCCATCACCAAGGATCTGTACCTCAATATGGCGTGGACGGTCTACGTAGCGCTCAATAAAGACGGTACCGTCACCAAAAGCTGCCAGAGCTTCGGAACTAGCACGCTCAAAGTTCTCTTCGAGCTCTTCAGCACACGTGACGACACGCATACCACGTCCACCTCCTCCCATGCTAGCTTTGATGATCACAGGATAGCCAACACCCGAGTCAACAAAAGCACGTGCTTGATCCAGATTGTGAACAGGTCCATCCGTGCCTGGTACGACTGGAACCTTCTGTTCAATGGCAATTTCACGCGCTGCTGTTTTGTCACCAAATCGTTGCAAGTTCTCAGGTGTAGGACCAACAAACTTGATTCCATTCTTAGCACATTCTTGAGCAAAACCTACATTTTCACTAAGAAATCCATATCCTGGATGAATAGCTTCAATCTGATTTTCCTTTGCTATTTGAATAATACTCTCAATATCTAGATAAGCGCCTACGGGTGATTTCCCTTCACCTACAAGAAAACTTTCATCAGCTTTATAGCGATGTTGTGTAAAGCGATCTTCCTTGGAGAAAATACCGACCGTACGAATACCCAATTCATTGCCAGCACGCATAATACGTGTCGCAATTTCACCGCGGTTAGCAGCCATGAGTTTCTTAATCGTACTAGCATCACGTGTCTGTTGCATGGACGTAAGACAAACACCCATGCGACGGTTAACGAGAAGGTGTTTGGAGCGAAGCATGATGAAATGAAGTTGAAGAAGCACGAAAAAATCCAATTGCAACGACGTAGAAGTCGTTTGCGGCTCTCGTGGCAAATTTGCAAATGACTGTGAAGGAGCTGGGGAAGATACAGTTTGGGGTCGCTAGCCATTTGTCGGTGGTGAATAAAGTGATTAAAGTGTACCTCTATTTTTAAATAGTCAAAACAGTGTCTCCATAATCAGATTGGTTTGTACATGATATTAATTTTGACATTGTCAAGACCTGGTCCAATAACTCACTGCCAGCAAGCCGTCGTCATCTTTGAAATAAGGTTGTAAGTATAGTCAGCAGACAGAGCGTGTTCTATTGGAAAAATGCGGTCGGTGGGTCTATTGACGCTGATGTTATACAAAGAATGACAAGGAGCATACAATGATCAGTGTATTAGAAGGTTATTTTCCCTCGCTTGTGCTTGCTTGAAACAACTTTGATGGAAATGTAGGAACTCTGTTTTCCCTTTGCTTGGTCAAATAAGTTTAGTAAGCTGCTCTGAAAGAGCCTTTGACCAGCGCTGCATTGAATTGAGCTCAATGTTGCGCTTCACATTGATACATGCACATTAATCTTTGGTCCTTAAATGCCTTGTGTCTAAGAATGATAGCACATGGTTACACTATCCTTGCCTTTGGCATCCAAACAACCTGATTAGGCCGTAGCCATGGACAAGCTGAGGATTCGACAAAAGCGAGACATGAGTGAGATTAAAAGCTTTGCAGCGTTTTGGTTATGCTATTGACCTAGTTTGTCTGGTTTCTTCTCAAACGAATTGATTGATGCTGCCGAGTAAGCTGAGCTTGTGGTGAATTGCTGCTGGTACGTGACCATTAGATTAAAACAAACCAAAAGCTTCAACGTACGGAGTTGCCTCATTGTGATGATGATCCCAAAAGGTGCTTGACATTTTGTAGACAGCCCTTGATGAGCTAAAAATTTCAACAAACGCACGAAAGCGAAACATGAACTTTAATTTGTTGTCTATATGCCAGGTCTTTGCCATGCTACGCCAAGACCACATTACTGCAGCGCGAGATCGTGAACAATTTCCTGCACATCTTCTACGTGTGTACTGCTTCTTTTTCTTTTCTCGATTGGATTCAGATGCTTTCATCAAAGTATTGAGCAGCCAGTCATTCCTTCGCTTCAGAATCCTTTTGACAATTTGTAAAAACCCCTTGCCAAACAGGGGCTCTTTCAGTCGTCAGCAGTTTAAATGATACCGACCTTGACGTGCATCGTGTGGCGGTCCACCTTGGTCCATTCTGAGTCCTTCATGGAACGGTCAAAATGAAACTTGACCTTAAGCTGTTTCCCCTTCGCAGCGTAAAAGTCTAGTTCGTCCGAAAACTCCACAGGAAGTTCACGCCCGTACGCCTTCTCCATGCGGTTACGCAGCGCCTGCACCACCTCTGTCTTCTGTGACACCTGCACCATCAGGTCAATCTCACCCTTCACACGAAAGATCAGGTAATTATCTGGCTGCGTGCTCATGGCTAGCCCCGTGAGGCGAGCTAGTTCAAACACACGCCGTTCCTTCGGCTGCTGGATCTTGTCAGCTTTTAGGTTGAAAACACGAGTTTCGCTGATCATGAGCACACGCGTCTGATGTGCCCAGCGTTCATTCACCTTCTCCACAGTGCCCAAAAACAACAGCTTTTCTTTATGGCCATGACCGGTGCCTGCCTTCGAACCCCGGCCTTCAATGTGACTGTGCATTATCGAAGAATAGGCAGGGTACTTGTTCACACCAACGTAGTCAGCCTGATACACGCGGTCTAATGAATCGCGGCGACGCTTCTTCTTACCCAAGTAGCGCTCGAACTCCGTGCGCACACCAAGTAGGGCAATCTTGCACGATCTCCACATGTCATTCCCAAGCTGCTGGCGTGTCCTCAGACCACGGTAGCACTTGCTAAACACGACTTGCGCCTTCTTAATCTTCAAAAACTTACGACGCTGTGTACGCGCTTGGATAAAGCTCTGCATGAACAGTATCGAGTTTAGCTCCTCTTCCTTCTGAAGGTTCTTTACTAAGCGGCTATTATTGGCGTACAGCAACTTCGAGGACGCAGCCTCCCAGTTCGAGTACAGCTTTGCAACAAGATCCTTGTCAGCAGAGCCTGGAACGCGCTTCCGGCGGTCCTGACAATTCTTCCACACGACGTCGTACGCGGAAAAGAGCTTCTTAGAAGCAGCCTGGAAATCGCCAAGCGAAATACGATTCTTATAGCGGCGCCAGGCATTCTCAATAATGTTGACAATCACCGGTATGCGCTCTTCGCGTAAGATTTCGAGCGCAGAAAGAGCTTGTGGATGACGCAAAAAGAGTTTGTTGCGACCGAGCGAGAAGCATCCAAGCGTTTTCGAGTCCTCTTCAAACGGAATCAACTCGCTCGGATTGTCCGGGTTTCTCACACCAAGTCCAACAGTCGTAAGCAAATCAACGGCAGCCTTGCGAGATGTGTGAGCAACCGGCGCTGGCCAAGTAGAGTCTGACAAAAAGCTGTAGCGCTTAATGAAAGGACCGTACGGTTGGCTGTAGCAGAAACCCTGGCGACGAACACTCAGGTTTTCCACCAGACCAAGATAACGGACTTGCTCCGCAACAAGCTCCTCGTTCACAGCTAGTGGACGCTTAAGATCGTTTGGCTTGATGCAACGAATGTAGTGCGGGTTACAGCCGTCCAGCTTTTTGACCAAGTCCGCAACCTGTGTTCGAAACTGCTGCGATGTCGACGGCGGACGCTTAAGAGTTTGCTCCTTCGTGCGCGTCTCGAGGAATACCTCACGTATAAAGGCATTCGACGAGTGTTCCATGCCATCCTGCAAATCGTTGAAGAATGTGTCCGCATTCGCATCAAAAAACAGCGTCACGTCGTACTCAACCTTGCCGGCGTAGTGAAGGATGCCAAACGTAGGCCCGCGCACACGCGACGCTACGTAGTGAGGGTTCTTTGAATGCTCACTGTTATAACGTTCAATGAGCTCTAGGTCCGACAGACGCGCAATGGCGCACTGCTCATCCAACAGCGGAAAAATACCGTGCTGCTTTGGGTCCTCAATCAGGTCGCACACAACCTGGTTATTAAAGAACGTGATGTTTTGCCAGCTCAGTCCTTCACGGCGGTAACCCTCCTGCTCGCTCTCGAGCGTTTGACTAATGAAGAGTTGCTGCAGTTTCTCGTTCACATAGTTAATGCACAGCTGCTCAAACGCGTTCACTTCAAAGATTTCAAAACCATAGATATCCAAGATACCAATGCTGTTGTTAATGTCACGCTTCTTGCACGTCACATTTCTGTTGATTCGAGCCACAATCCAGTCAAAAATCTTTTCGTACAGCGAGCGCATGATCGAGTCACATACTTTCTTAGCTTGACGAGCGTCAAACAGCACCTTCTGGTCCTCGCGGTAAATATTGACAGTTCGATACGTCAGCATCGCCTCGAGCTTTTCCTTGTCAATACCCAAAAGTGTAGCAGCCTTATTTAGTGCCTCACGCGCCTCAGGGGCTTCAATAGCAGCACGAGGGTTGTGCGCCTCATCCGTAGTCTGTTCAAAGTGCACATTGCCCAGCCACAAGATTGCCGAAAGCTGCTGAAAGATCTCATGCTGCTCGTCATCCGCGATACCCACAGCTGTCATATTCTGACGGACAGAAAGATAGTTTTTCGCATCATCCACGCCTTCGATCGTCGCATCTTCGTTGCCCAGCACATCAAACTTCTCGGCACTTTCTGGCAGTTGCCAAGCTTCACGCTCTTCCGCCGTCGCACCCGACATGAGCTGATAGAACGAGTGGAAGTTGCGTTCTCCCTCGGCCTGACGGATCACACGACTGCGTTCTAACAGGTAGTTGTCGATGTATCCACCAATGACTTGACCCACGCGATTCATCTGCAGTACAATATACTTACCAAATCGACTGCTATTGTTGTTGCGAATAGTCTGCGCGTTACCAAAGGCCTCGAGCACGGGATTGCTGCCCCACAAGACATCGGTCACATGACTCGTCATGTTGTCAGCTTGTTTGCGCTGTGCCACCGACATGCGGCGGTTAGCCATAACAGCGCTCTTTGCTCTAGAGCGTGTGCTGATAGTTGTCAAGTACCGCATCACATGCTTTGACGTTTCAGTCTTGCCACTGCCTGACTCACCCGTGATGAGCAAACTCTGGTCCAAGCCAAAGCGCATAAGGTTCGAGTAAGCATTCTCAGCTAGTGCAAAGGGGTGGGGTTCACACAAATGCAATTCCTTGCCCTGGAACTCGTCAATCATATTCCGTGCGTAAATGGAGTCACCATTCAGTTGACGTAATGTCATGTACGGATTCATAGCGATCAGAACGGGCCCAAGGAACGTGTAGACGTTGCTTTGACGATAGCGTTTCACAATCTCATCCACGACGTGGGCTTCATCTACAGCATCTACCATTAACAAGTCCTTCATAGTACTTATTTGTATGTGAAATATTCTTCAAGGATAGACAATCACTCTGTATTTCCACTTCCAAACTCTCTTTACCGAATGACATCCGTTGTCCGTGTCGTTTTTTTCTGACTCGACACCCTTCGAAAATACGGCCAAAAAGTGAGACCTGTACAAGTTAATAAACTTGCTTGAAAAAAAAACACCACTCCTACGGCTATTTTAGAAAAAACTGTGTAAACTAATATATTCATAACCTTATTCTTGTGTCTATTTTTAGACCATGTCGAGCGTCGAGCTGTTGTTTACATGATTGGTCTTTTTTTATCACAAAAAACAGAGCAAAGTGGTAAGAAACAAGACATCCGTCCGGTCTCTTCACTGCTACTGCCGCATTCAAAGTCGCACCACACGCGTAATACAAGCCTTTTGCAACGCTTCAACCGCGTCAAGACGAACACGTTGTTCATTTAGGGTTTTCGTCTTGACTGACCCGCTACTTGACGATCTGCTGACGACAGTATCAGCCAGTCGTACGTACCGGTAAAATAAAATGGAGTGTTACGAAACACGTACACTGACTGGAGCAAGGTAGCGTTAACTTGGGTTCTATACCGTATGACGGCAGCAATTGAACGATACGATAGCAGTTGGGTCACGATAAAATTGAAGCTCAGCAACTGCTGAACTGGTATTTGCAGAGGCGGGCTCTGCAGAGAAGGATGTGAACCGGAATGAACACAAATATGATGGATACGTGAAAGCAAAGGTTGACAGCTGCAGTTGCAAAGATGAGGCTCACGAGCGTCTGATTGGCAAAGCAGGTGCGTCAGATAGATATGTTTCTGATTGCATACATGTGTCTATCGTTCTCTTGATACTCAACTAGCTGTGGTATTTTTGTAGCAAGAATGCATGTTCGACGCGGTGTCGTGGCAACTCCGTCGTCGCATCTGCTGCCGTGTGATCTACTTAAGCATCACTATACTATAAGAGTTACGTTTGTTGGCGAGCACGCTTGACTCACATGGTTTTGTCAACGTTTGACCTCTGCGAATATGCAGGACGAGAGAAGTCGCATGTGGTAGACGTGTTGTCGATCACTATAGTTGCCAGCACTTGGGTTGGTGGTGTCACATAGCTGCGTGGAGATGTCTTAAGCGGTCAACAACATCTTTGTATACTTTTGTAATCCTGTCGTTTGAGACGATATGATTAAGATCAAGACGCCGGGTATTTTGGAAGCAAAAAGCACGTTTCATAGTTGCTGCGCAAATACCTAGTGAAAGGTCAAGTTTGGTGTCTGCCTATAGAAGACAAGGACAGGTGTCAATCTGATGACTGGGTACAGGGGTTGTTTACGTCCCCGTTGGAGGTCCAATTCTTCGTGTCGCTGACAAATTATCTTAGCTTAGAAATGCTGAACATGGTGCTCATGTTACCACTGAACAATCGACATTGTTTAGGAAAGTGCTATAAAGAGCTGAGATAGCATCGCGATGAACGAACTGAATCAGTTTTGACAACTCTGGGAAATTGAACTCGTCAATGGTTTCTCTACAGGAAGTTGAATGATAAACTGAGCTTCATCATATACTTGTGTTGACACTTGCTTGACGCACGAAAATTCGCACTACTATAGATGTAGTTATTAAGACAATTGGCGAGTGCAGTAAGTAGAGTTGTTTGTCCATGTAGTAATCACTTTTTGTCAATTTGTTAGCAAAGACAGATGTATCAACGACATACACACGTCTAGTTGAAGAGCTTTGACGAGGTGCGGTGTGCAGTGCATCTCTACTAGAGCCTCTAGACTAGTGAATACAGGATCATGTCGAGCTGCGACTCGCAGCCATGCTGATGTCTACCTTCCGATCCCAATCACATTAGCACTGAAACTGCTCACTATTGCGCCGACAACGCAACGTTGACATGGTGCGGTCCAATGTTTCATGTATGTACAATAAACTGGAGAGAAAGCTGTATTTGCCGCGCAAAAAGTAAGTATACACGACGCAGGTGCTATTGTTCTCGGGAGGGGGGGATGGAGCATTATAGATAAGGCGTGGTACTCACTGATATGATGCTCGTTTGTAGTACATCAACATGAAATTAGTCCTAGTGGTATATAACAGCACGAAAGCTTCGCCAAGGCAGCTGCGGTCTATTGAATGTCGTTATCAGTTCCGTGTAGGTCCAACCAGCCCACCTATGTCCAAAGATGGGCGCTTCTTCTATGCTTTACATATGCTGGTTTGTCAATTTAAGATTGTTGACTCCCTGAGCAACAAGTACAAAATCGTATTTACTACAAGCTTGGGCTCTGTAGATGTTAATCGTGGTGGATTTACATGTGTCCACCAAATATCACAGACATCGAGCGTTTCTGTCGAGCGGGCGTAACGGTTTTGACTGAGAGGCACGTCCTGCTACAACCGACTAGGTTATCACATGAAACGTATCTTCAATCGGTCGTAGCAGTAAAAAGTATCTTTTTGCCTGATATCGCAAGGAACAATTAGTAACGGTCGGTCATTTAAAATAGCACATTCATTGTCTTTATGTTTACAAATCCACCCATTTCATATCCATTTCCATCCCTATTTCTTTCTACCTTCTAGTCACATTTTGTAGCTTACGTCAGTTGAAATATATAAAATCATATTTTTTAACATCAACAAGGTCTCTGCCATTTATCGCCTGGCTGCTATTGCCAATGGACGCGGTTTGCCGTTATTCCTCGAGCTGTCAAGTGCGGCGAATTTTCCGGAGAAGGCATTGAAGGAAGTGACGGGAACGGACGGGCTACACGGACGTGTAGATCACTCGCTGCCTTGCTCTTGCTACATCTCGAAAGTGTCTTTTGAATTTACTTGATTGTAATTCTACGTACGTGGTTGATACAATTCGCGCTTCATTGTGCAAAGAATTATTGTTATTGTAATGTATAATGCCATTGTCATTCGTCATCATCAAGACAATAGCGTTGCTTCTGTGATCATGACAAATAGTAAGAACTGTCCAATTGACAGCGGACCGAATCGAAATGTCGGACGTGCTGACACAATTGTTGCAGTTGACTGTCGTGCTTGCTCTTCAGTGTCCATGTGCGATTACTGGCTTTTGTTGCACTTCCTCTTGAGCTTCTTACTCGTCGCCTATATGCGTTGGAGTCGTGTGGCAAAGCACAACCATGCCGGTAACGAACGTGAGCTGCTCACGTGCTGCCAGCAACATATGCAGCAACATGACAAAGTAGCAAAACCGATTAAGGTGATGATGCAAGAAAAAGAGGAACCAGCTATTGTTACTACCGAATCGAAAACTCTTGTATCAGTTCGTATCGTGTCGGCCGACGAGGAACTTGTTGCAGCAAGGCTTGACACATTACGAAACGAGTACGCAACATATTTGCAGATGCTCAAGGTTGGACTCCCGCGAGTTATTGTTGATCACAAGATACGGGCTGAAAACAAGGACCCGATTGTCCTGGACGAGCTTATCGCAACGACACCAAAGGCAAAAAAGGTGCCAGCTCCCATTGAAATACCAAAACCAGTGGAGAATGAAGATCCTGAACACTTACAAAAGGTCGAGTATTTCCAGCGGATGATTAAGGTTGGCGTCCCGCGTCACGTAGTAGAGTTGAAAGCAAGTAAAGAAGGTGTCGAATCGGCCGAGCTGGATCAGCAAAGCACTCATACTGATCTAGTACTTAAGCCTACCGGTGACACTGACATTTCCTCATCTGCAACTCTAGGCACTCGTTCTAGACGCTCCAGTATCAGTTCTATCATCTCTACTGCGCCCTCGACGCCTGACGCATTGTCAGCACGATCTACCGCAACCATGGCAACAAGTAATGGCCGCACATTGGCAATGCTGGCCATTCGCAAGATGAACACTGGTATGCGAAAGAAACTGCACTGGTCTACAACTCCGTACACAGGGGCAATTGTTCCTGCTCAACAAGACTCACTTTGGAGCCGAGTTCGCATAAAGGCACAGACGGATGGAGTCTGTATCTCAAGTGAAAGCCGCCGTTGGATGGAGAAGCTTTTTGTTAAGGTTGTTGCCAAAGTTAGAGCCGGCCAGAGACGACGTGCTACTAGTGGGAACAATACCTTGCCTCGAAATCAGTTCTCGTCGCGATATTCTGAACTGGAAGAACGTCAGCGTGCAAATTCCGATCCAGCGCTTTTTAGTGACGAACAAGACGAGGTAGAGTATGACCTCGAGCCGGAAGATGGGGAGATGGAGCAAAAGGTAGCAAGAAATTCTGGACACGCCTTCTTGCGACGCAAATTGTATGTTGTGCTCCTTGATCACAAGAAGTCCCAAAACATTGCTATTGTGCTTGCGCGAGTGAAGCGCAGCTTTACGGAGCTCACACACGAGATTTTGACGTTGAACTGCAACGTCTTGTCCAGTCCAGCGTTGCAGTCACTGATCGACATGTGGCCAGATAGCGCTGAGCAAGAAGCCATTGACCAGTTCAGTGGCGATGTCTCAAGTTTAGCTACGGTGAGTACATATTTCGTTGTTTTGCTGAGTGCTGTCTGTTTGTGCTGATCTGACACCTGCCCACTTGTTTGTTTAGGCCGAACAGTTTTTGATGGTAGCTCGAAAAGTCCCAAGACCACAGCAAAAGCTACGCTGCCTTCAGTTTAAAATGGATTTCACTCTACGGGTCGATGAACTTCGGTATGTTTTGCTGCTATCTTTTCTGTATTAAGGAGTAAGAGTACTTACAAATTATATATGAATCCAGTGAGAGCTTAGAGCTGTTGATCCGCGGTATCCAGCAAGTGTGCTCGAGCAATCGCTTTGCTGGGGTGCTAGAGTATATATTCCATTTGGGCAATCTGCTTAATTTTGGCGAAGGGGTGGAGTACACAGAATGGGTAAAGAGCATTTCCATCAGTTCTCTTGCAAAGCTGTCGTTCACGAAGGCATACGACGGGCGGATCTCATTCCTACAGTACGTGGTTCAGTCTGTCGAGGTAAGCGCGCACAGTTTTTGGCCGAATGATAAACAGACCGCGTTTTAACAGGAAATGTTGATACTATAGCGCGATGAGCCACACCTCGCCCTGTTTTGTAACGAACTATTTCTGATTGGCAAATGCAGCAAACTATCCGTCCAAAGTCTTGTCGCGGAATACCACTCACTCAAGGGTGGACTACGCATGCTGATCAACGAGACACAGATGACAGCAGTGTTGGAAACTGATGACAACGACCTGCGTGTGGATTTGGTGCAATCACGGGAAAGCATGAAAATGTATGCCATGGAGGTCGAGCAGGTGCTTACCGTCATGCAGCTGCTAGTCGATGAACTAGAGAGAGAGGTAAGCCATGCCGTTTTGTCATACTTGTGTGTTCTTGCACTAACTGCTTTTCTCTTTACTTTGTGATCTACAGCAAAAACATTTTTTAAATTACTTTGAGGAAGAAGACACCTTGCCAATTGATGAGCTTTTGGGTTTCATTGCCAGTTTTGCGGAGGAATACACACGTGAACGCCAGCTGCTTCTTTCTCGAGCACGCCGGACGCAAAAGGTCAATTTTCTTCCACAAAAAACACCATAGCCTCTCGCGCTAGCCATCGTCGGCCATTCATTTATGAGGAAAGCGCTTGTGGCGCCTATAAATATTACAATGTGATTATGAACGGATCGTAACGATACATCAGCATCAGCTCATTCGACAAGTTTTGATTGGTATCGTGTGACGTGTACGAAACGTCCGGCATTCGAACTCCCGTGTCGAAATTGAACGCCTCTTGATGACCTCTCACACTATCTTCTTCTCCGACCTCCACTACAACCAAATACCTCTACAGCAATAATTGTTGTCGCTTCCGTGTATCCGTACACGACCATCCGATAGAGTGAAGCAACCTTTATCGATGAAGAACGCTGGCTGCTCGCCCGAAATGAGGTTCACCAGTGAACCGTACGTGCTTTATTATTTACATAATGATTTAGCTGCGATAGCTTCATAATAGATAACCATTGACGTCGCACAAAAATCTGCTTGTTTTCAAGTCATATGCAGCTGCTCAAGCAGCATTTTCTTGCGCAGCTTTTCTTCTTGTCGACCACTTCGGCGTTCTTGATGTTTTGTTTCTCAACTGCAAACAACACCTATATCAATATGACAGAAACTAACGTGCAATGGTTTGTCTAACTTCGTTTGTAAATCTCATTTGGCTTGGTTCTGGTTTCTTGGAATGGGGCACAAAATCTCAGCGATAGATTGATTCGGCTCAAACTACTGTAAATTTATGTGACCGAAGCCGTGAAAGTGAATCTGCATTGCTCGGATCTCTTTGCTACTGTAAACAGGTACTAAAACAGACAAGCTGCTGCTATGTGGTTTGCTTATTACCAACGTCAGAGTACGTACGTGATAGTACGTGATGAAGTATGCGGAGGCATTTCAAAATCAGTATCACGATGACTCAAGCAAGGAGATTTTTGCACCATAGAAGAACCTCAAGCGGAGAAAGTCTGAACTTGATTAAGATGGCCCACTTGCCATCAATTGCGTTGGTGGGGTTGTTTGCTATTATTGAAGAGTCCAATGGCACCTAAAACATAGGCTTCTGAACAGGTTCATGGTGAATTGTGTACATTAGAGAAACTAAAGCTACTTGGGTGGAAGACTACGATGTCGCTGCACGGTGATTTGACATTTGTTTGGCTCACTATTTCAAACGACTCGATGTAGCATTCATGTGAAGGACCTGCAAACGTCAATTTGTGAATGCAAGAAAACACGTTGCTCGACAGCGCATTGATGCGAGGAACCAGGCATGCAAAGGAAACACTGAAGAGTGCATCTAACAACTTATTCATAGCCAAGTGCATCATTTGCACGCGGATGGACAATACAGTTTTGGGAGAAGGCTGCAGCGTACGTTGTTGATCGATCACCCACGAATGCGGGCCCGGCATTGTGGCTACAATGACACGGCGTTTCTAGGTAAGAAGTGGATAGAAGGAAAGGCAAGAGAATGTAGATATATAAATCAGTACCAGTTTCACATTTACACTCAACACAAGAGGCTGGTTGATAATACGTGATAGTTTCATTGTCTGATTCACGTGATGGCATTCGAAATACGATTACATAGTATAGAACGCATCCGTGGCTAGAAGACATGATCAATATATTTTGGTGTTGAATAATTTACTTGTAGAGTGGCCAAGTAGCAGTGCTTAACGCACATTAACAAGGACAAAGAGAAGATTGATAGCAAAAGACTACTATACATCTGACATTAATCACAATGATCGATTGTGAACAATATTTCATGTAACTGATGTAGCGGTTAGCTATACTAGATAGCTTCATGACACATTCACGTGTCTTCTTTGACAGCACAAATACATCAAATCGTTGAAAGGTTGTCTGCATTGCATCAGACTTCTTGACAAATGTACTGATCGTTGTTGAAGTTTGTGACCTCTTGACACCTTGTGCTAACTATGATTCAAGTCCTTGACTGGAGCTTCTGATCGATCACCCTATGCAAAAAAACCTCAATCAAGTTTCGCAAATCGAATGATTCTGTGGACGTTAAATATTGTGCAGACTAGAGTGTCTGTCCCAACAATATCGTCCTAGTACCACTGTCATCTCTACCCATCTTTTTCTGAGTCGTAAATAAATCAATCAAAGGTTTGTGATTGGTAGTAAATAAGAACCAAATATTAAAAAACTCGTTAATGTCGCATTATCGAATAAACCATCCGTCGAGCTTCTTCTTTCCAGGCGACTCAAGGTCATGACGCTCTCTTCACCGACATTTGGCACTCGTGGCAATAGCGGTAGTGATCACCTCATTTATTTGGCTAAACCTCGACGTGCACGAAGCAGTATTGACTCTACTATCTCATCTGCAAGTGGAAATAATGACAGTAGTAGCAACTCTGTTCTTCGCGTATCAATGGAGGTCGAGAATATTGGCGAGCGTGTCGCCATGTCCAAGAAACGTGTGACATGGCGTTTTGTACTTGCCGGATCGGAGAAAGTGCATACGTTAATGCTTGAACACAGTCGCATTTCGGCAAAGAAGCGACTGAAATTAGATGGCCGTCAGTTGTTTACATCGGAGCAATATGCGACGAATTGGTATTATAATTTTCATGTTGGAGTCGATCCTTTGACACCATTTTGTGTGAATATTTATGATATTAAATCATCTTTTGTGGGTCAAGGAAGATTTGAAACGATTTATAATTTGGTAGCCGATGGTATTGATTGGGATCAATTGCCAGAACGATTTCTACCAGTTGCTTTCCGACATCATACAACGTCAGTGTGGAGTAGTGACATGTATGTACGACGTATGGAAGAAACGTTTGGTGAGTTGTTGAGTGATGGGGAGGAATGTCCACCAGGTACATTAGTAACATGGACATTTGCATTTGGTGTAAACGGTAGCATTCACAAGCTGGAGTTACGGGACTTGGAAAAGGGCGAGTTTGTAGTCGTTTTGGACTGTCGCGAACTCAAACGTGTTAATTTTGATGATATTGATGGAGATATATGGGAGTTTGAGTACGATTTGGAAGATCAACATGAACTGGACTTAGTTGTGACCCTTGTGGACGATCACAAAACATATGATTTTTTCATTGATGGCAGCGCTTGGAGTGACATTAGCCAGACCAACTTTGTGCTTGAGTCCGGATGGTACCCTGTGTTTTCCCGTTCGCGGAATGCCGTGTATTTTCGTCATGAAGGAACAGGCAACACGCAGTGGGAGAAACCCATTGTCGATCGTGAGAATTTGTTAGCCAACCGACCGTCACAGCAGTTTGAGCAGGTATCTCCAGGCTCGCAGGGGTTGGAGGATTTGGTCCATGGAATGCACGCCGTTTCTGTGCCGGACAAGATCTACGAAGAGCCTGAGAGTGAATGTGGTCAACTTGTGCCGATGAAACAGCCATTACAACCTGTGCTGGAACTACCGGAGGGACCCGAAACGCAAGAGACTAATCTGATTGACTTTTCGGACGCCGTGATGCCGATCGAAAAGGAAAAAGAATAGGTGGTGGTGACGAAGGTTTTGAGTCATATAACCCTGCCACGCACAGAGAGTTGGGGAAAAGAAAAAGAAGGAGGACCAGTAGGCCGGTAGAGCCTCTAGCAGGAAAAATGTCGGCGACAGGCCTTGAAGCATGTTAAGTATTTATGTTTAGGGAAGAAAATTTGTAGCTGCATGCAAACGAGCGACGTTGATGGTCGTCTTGGCGGTTGAGTAATTCACGTAAGCTGATGTGTTGAAGTCTGTAGAATGGTGTTTTGTGCACTGCAAGTTTCGTGCACTTGACGTCTTGTGCTTCTTGTCATTCTTCCAGACGTGAGTCCAGTTCGTATTTTAAAGCAGAACGTGAGCGTACAAAACGCTAAAATCGTACGTACAATAACTTTATCCTGTTTTAAAAATGATCCCACTGACTCAAATACCGAACTTAATCCGCACTTATAGACGTCTCTTCACTCCGTCGGTATCATTCGAAGCACATATGATCCGCAGTATTCATGAGCTTGTAGCTCCTGAAGATGTAGGAACGACACTTCCCCATGAACATATATTACATACGATTGGATCCATTGCATCATCAAGTGGTTCTAGAGGAAATCTCGAGATTCGGTATCAAGATCTGATTGAATATCGTCGAGCTCCATTTGCTCATGGTGGTCGCAATTTGTTACTTCAGAAAGAGGACGAAGCTTTTCGAGAACTTGAGCGACTCGAGCAATTAAATGACAAGAAGTCCAAGGTTTTGATTGTAGATGTGACGCTTCCTAGTGAAGGACGTGATGTGTTGATTCCAGAACGACTGCATTTAGTCAAGAGATTCCAAGACGTGATTTTCGTGACTGTTACGACATTTGAACTCAACCAGATGAATGAGAAGTTTTTGTACAGGGGGGTATCAATACAAGAGACAAGTGAACGCATTGCTAGGAGATTGGAGGCAGAATTATTGTTTGGTATGGAGAAAGGAGGCGTTGTGGTATTTCCTGGGGCGATATACCAACAGATACATGCAAACAGTCAAGTACTTGGTCCTGAGGAGATGATTCTTGTGCAAGGTCTAGCATTGGTAAGTGTTTGTAGTACGTACTGGAAAGTGAATGCAAGGTGTGGTCAAGTTTATTGATGGTGACGACTGTATTTGTAATGTCAGGCTCAAGCGAGAACGCATTGTCCTCTGTATCTGTCGATTTCTTATAATGAATCGTGTGGAATGTTACATGGAACATCATCTTCATTAGATCAGGTAGTTCGAGCTTGGATTTGTGCTTTGTTGGACGCTGGTGCTGAGGGGAAGAAAATTGTCGTGTGTCACGTAAATCGCTGGTGCCACGGACGTTTTGAAGAGGCTGGTTATGCGTTTCTGTTGGAGCTGTTGGATTTGAGTGTCACCGTGCTTTTCGACATGATTGGTCTGCTCGCTGTTAGTGAAGTACTGCTGATTAATCCAAGCTTTACACAAACAGGACTAAGTTCTGATAAGCTTTTGGTAAAAGATAACCAAGAGCCGATTTCTGACAGTCGTATCGTAGAGTGGATTGTAAAGCTTCTGGAGCACAAGCCAGAATACCTTTTCCAAATACTATTGTCTACCAACATACACCAGCGAGTACAGTATCGTTGCTATGGAGGGGAGGCTACGCGTATTTGTTCGAGCATTTTAAATATCGTTGTTTGCGTGAAGGAGTCACTGCAACTCAATGGAACCAGATTGTGTGCGCCAACGTCGTGAACTTGTTAGCTTGGTACGTTCCGCCGGAAGCACCGCCAATTCCAAAGAAGTACCTGCAATGCTCGATCTGCAGCAACTATTTTGAGCCTGTTGAGGGCGAATATTTTACCAAGTTTGCGTTTACATACTGTGGTACGAAGTGCCTGCGTCGTCATAGCCGGCAAAAGTTTGCCCCAACTCTGGCCAAATCATAATGTGTTGAATCTGCACGACGGTGGGTGAAGTCATTATATCAGTGTTCGTGAATGGAACAAACAAACCCATCAATGCTGTACGATTCGAGCTCAAAGCAGTACGACATACTCGGACCTTTGTTTGGTGAACGGATCTACGCATTAGTATTTCTTTATGACAAGGATGATTGTAACCACGCTAAGAATGAGACCAATGCACTGATTATAATGGGGAGGGATGCGTTCCGATGCTATTTCTTCCGTGCTGTACGTTATGATTAGTCAAAACGTAGGATGGAAAGTGTTTTCTATAGCTTGCTGTGTATACGGGCTCAGCGTTCACATCACACGACTCTTGAGAAAAGAACCACATCTGACGATTCTAACATGGATTGCACCACCCACTGAGACCTTTGAGCTATTTGGCGCTTTAGCGACGTTGGCAGCACCTATTGGATCGAGGAACCTTCGTTCGGTGTGAACCAGATTCTGCAGAGCAACACGATTCTCTTGTCATCTGCATCGTAGTTGCCGTCAAAACAACAAGAAGACCGAGAGCTAAAGCAGCTGCAAAGTAAGGCAAAAAATACTAGCGCATTGTTGAAAAAGATGGAACTCACCCGCGCGAAAGAGTGCGATGTACAAAGAGCACAAGAACCAAGTGTTAATAGAATGAATGCAAAGCAGGAGATAAGCAGCTGCTAGTACAGTAGGAAGTAAAAGTCGTTAAGTATCGATACAATTCACAAGTCATTGTTGTCCTTGACAACAAACAATATCTTACGAACATCACCATGGGGAACGTTTCGAACAAGGGGTTTGTATACTCGTTAAATGACTATCAACTTGCCATTGAGACGTCCAAGGAGCTCGAATATCGACTGGAAAAAGAATTTCATGCACGTGGTCAAGGACTGCATGAGAAAGTGTCGTCTGTAGAAGGCGCTATTCCAAATGTTACCGTTCGTTCAATCCGTTATGTTGCAACTCTTCGTAACAAACTCATCCATGATCGAGAAACAAGAGCGTTGCCTGACCGTCAGCAGTTTATCAAGAAGTTTAATGATGCGATGGGAGAACTCAATATCATTATTGACAAGAAGCGGATGGATGCACGTAGTCAAGGACCTCATAGCTCTCCTGTATGTATCATCTCCTAAGTATGTTTCAAAGCGACATCCGAGCTGATAACACAATGACTTGCAATATGTTGAAACGCTTTCGACACCCTCTCTTGTTCACTTATTGCTTGGCTACTACAAGCTCAATCTGTTGAGTAAGCATTGTCAGGTACTTGTTACAATCTGCTTGAGTTGTGAGTGGAGAGCACATCATATACAACACATTGCCTAGTGCACGAGCGTATATGCCGTTTTGGCGCAAAGCTTGGATCAGTTCTGCAGCTTCTGTCGACGCATAGCCTGCGTTCTCCGAGGCCAACTCTACGCATGCAACCGTACCGATAGCAAACGTACGCTTAATGTACCGTTTGGTGGATAAATCTGTGAGAACGTCGACGTTCCAGTACACACGCGTAGCATCCTTGATGGGACCACTGGCGTCATTGAAAATCTGGTACATGTCTAGAGCAGTCACGGCAGCAGCGCAACCTATTGGGTACGCTGTGAAGGAGTGACCATGCAATAGTGCTTCGCCCTTGGAGTCCGCGTAGAAAGCCTGAAATACCTCCTCCGACGCAAGCGTAGCAGCCATCGGGACCACGCCGCCAGTCAGTAACTTGGCATAGCATGCGATGTCCGGGTCAATGCCAAGCAGATCACGCGCTGACTCCACACCCAGACGCCACCATCCCGAAAACACCTCGTCGTAGATTACCGGGATCTTGCGAGCACGGCATTCCTGCACAAGCATACGCTGATACAGCGGATCTACCAGGAACATGCCACCTGAGCCCATTAGTACAGGCTCAATGAGCGCAGACCCCACACGAACGTTATTCTCCTCGGTGCTATCAATCATGTGAGCCACATACTTGCGATACATTTTGGCCAAAGAACTTTGATTACGCGAAACGTCGAAGGCAGCATTCAAAGAGGTAAGCCTTTCCTCAGTCAGCTTATTGCCGGCAATTTCAGGATCGATCGACATTACGTAAGCGCCGTCACGCAGCGCCATCGTTGGAACCTTCAGGAAAATACCTTCAGGTCGGTACCACGGATGCTGCTTCTCGTTAAATAAGCTCTTCTCCGCAACGTTCATGACACCAAGTGTGTCACCGTGATAGCAGTTAGCCTGGGCCAGCGTGACCATTTTGGACCCCATTGCCTCATCAGACATGAACTCGTTGTAGTTCAGATTGTGATCGAGTACATACTTACGAAACGCCATCTTCAGAGCGACCTCCACAGCGGTCGATCCATCGTCCGAATAGTAAACCCGTGAGGCCCAGCCCTTACCAACCGATGCAAGCAGCCTTTCACTGAGTTGCAGCGCAGGCTCATGCGCATTCTCAGGGAACATCACATGACCGTAGCGGCCCGCCGCGTACGCCAAAGCCATCGCCATTTTCGAGTTACCGTGTCCAACACCCTGAGTCCACCAACTCGCGCACGCATCGAACAGCGGTTCCACCGCGTTGTATTCTGGACGGTACACACTAAATTCATCGCCGTGAGCAGAATCAACCATGGAAAGCCTGCCAGTCTTTTTGTGCTGGGTAAACGGCCACCAAAAAACTTGCTCTGCACGTTGTTCCATGTTCGTAAAGCTCTCGAGACGAGTCTTGTGAAACAACTGAAGGGCCTTGTACACATCGTCAAATACGTCGCTGTGCTCCATGAACCACTTGTCCAGCGGTTCCGGCATTGCTGGAATAGCGTTCATAGTGAAGATCGGTATGCCGAGTTCGCTGGTCCGTGGCTCTAAAGCTACAGCATTATCCAGACCATCTTGCTCAATAAGACAGATGGCAGCCACATCATAGCCACGAATCAACAACGACTCAAGTGCCGACATTGTCGTAGAAATACCACCGAGCTTTCCGTCACCAATGAGCACTACAGGTAAACGAAGTCCACGATACACATCTGCCTGGCATGTCATCGAAGCTGAAGGGCTACAAACGCCTCCTGCTGTCTCTACAAGCACCAAACTTTCCGCAGCTTTATCTGCATTCACCTTGTTAATAGCTTTAAGCTTATCAGCCAGCAATTCCAGCAGCATTTCGTCCGTGATCGTATGTCCCTCTATCTGTGCCGCAAGATGCGGTGACACGGGAGTTTTCCACGAAAACAGTGTCGAGCATTCAAGTGTTCCTTGTATCTGATTTGGTAGTAGTGCGTATTGTTTGACAACCAATGCATCACCAGGAAAAGATCCAGGAATGTCGTCGTCAGTGCCAGTCTGCAATGGTTTAATGTACTCCACACGTCCCCCATTAGCTGCTGCAATGATAATAGCATTTCGACAGATTCCAGCAGATACAATCGTCTTTCCAATGTCCGTATTGCTGCCAAATACTTGAAATACAGGCGTATCGAGACTTAATGATACAGCACCTTGAGTCCGTAGCTGTTGCTTCTGCTTAATAACTGCATTAAGTCCTTGCTTTTTCTTTTGAACCCCGGCATGATACTTCATAATGTTTACACTAGATTGTTGCAGTATAGGACCAACATGACGATGGAGAGCTCTAGATAATACCGTCGGCATTTGTCTTCTGCTTGATTGGACGTAAACCTGCAAGAATTGATGGAACGGATCCAGACAGAGTTAATAATGTATTGGTAAAAGGATGTGCACGTGGGTTTTATAAAGTTCTGGAATACACAAGGTTGTAAGAATGGGTTTTACAATGACTGACTGATAGGTGAGAAAACGTATAGAGTGAAAGGCGATTGTGTTAAATGCAAGAAAGCAAGTGACATCCGTGGGCATAAATGGATGGACGCAGGTGCGCTGCAAGACCAGCACACAATCGAGTCTGCTTTATATCCTGGACTCTGATACCCTTAGAATGGCCAGCTATAAACCAAATCACGACAGGCAGCATCGATTGAGCCTTGGCTGACGCCATCAGCCAATTTGACTCCGTTAGTGCCATATGCTTCGTCCGACCGATCCGAGAAGCCAAAGACAGTGGACTTCGACGATTTGCTTGGTTGCATTGAAATTGAAAACTAATAAAGTTGACAAACAAAACCCAGGAGGGCGTTCACGAGTAAATGCACCTTTATGATGGGCACTTTCGATTAACAATAATGGTCAGTTACGTCACCGCAGGTCGTGCAAATATATGTATTCGTGTAGTTGTTAGGGAGAGGATCAATCTAGAATATGACTAGCAAGATGAGTTGAGTTTTCTGATGAGCAATTTCGCGTGATAGCTTCCGACGTTTGAGGAAAATCTGTGCTCCAAGCATCAGGGTTCGACTTTAACACGCGACATTTGCCCACTTCTTGAGGCAGTCCAAGGTCGTCACTGCTCATCCTTGAACATCCGACCAGAGAAGCGACTCCATCATCTATCTATCCACAGAGTATCCCTCGCTACGAACAGCTAAATTTTTCAAATCCAATTTGCTACCATAATGCTATGTAAATCACTTTACGATGAAACTCAACCGACAATCTACCATATAAAGTGTAAGGTGACAGCCAAAGACACAAGCTGCTCAATATTGCGCCAATTGTGCATACGGTGATGCAGAATAACCTTTGAATGAAGAGTCTTGATAGTGCTTTGAGCTTCAAGTATACTTGCCGTTTAGCATCACGCTTGTTCCAATCCAACGTAGTATTACAACAAAACGGATAAACAAGGCGTGAGTTTCAAGCGTGACGACAGATGAGAAAAATACACGTAACTTTCTTTCAAAGATGTACGTCGAGTATCTGTACGAAGCAAATGTAACAAGCAACAGTTCATCTGATATTCTAGCGGCATGTTCATGTCAATTACTTGTCTCTGCCGTATTCTAGCAAATCAGCAAAAGAATGGACCCATCTGCTTGATACACACGTATACAAACAAATTTTCAACACAAGCGTTCCATGTTTCTCTGCCACTCTGAGCTTGAGAAGACAAGCGTTCCATAATTCTCTGCCATCCTTAACTTGAGAAGACAAGCATCAGTTTTATTTTCCTCTTGCTCCAGTTACAGGCATTATTGATAAACAATGGTCCAGTCTCCATCTCAACACTATCACGCTGCATTGGAAACGACTGCGTGCTATTATCCTCCGGACAACACGGATCCTCATTACGTGTCGCTATCTTCGAATCAAGGTGTTTCTAAACCGACACAGCGTTCAAACGTCATGGGACGCATCATTCCGATCGTTTGCGGAGTGATGGTGATCGTCGTTGTCATTGTAGCGGTGACTTTGTATGTTAATTCCAGCGATACTTCAAGCGCTGATAATAGTAATGAAAGTTCCAATTCAGCTTCGTCTTCGACTCTATCATCATCCTGCCCCCGTGTCGATGCAAATGACCGAACTGTAGCGTTCTGGCAAAGCGAAGTTGCTGGATGTGATACTGTCCCGGACGGGGTCACTCACCTTGTCTTTGGTTTTGCACTTGTTGCTGAAGGAGTTGTCGTACCTACATTTCAATCTTCCGATGAAAACATTGCACAATGTGTAGAGAAACTCCATGAACGATGCATTTTAGCTTTGGGCAGTATTGGTGGGTCGACCAACAACGACAACATGTCGGCAATTGCAAACGCTTCGTTGTTTGCAGAATCCGCAGTGACTTTACTGACCAAGTTCGGGTTCGACGGAGTAGATCTAGACGATGAGACTGTTGGCGCACAATTTAGTGCTAACCGAACTGTTGGATTGCTGAAAGCTACACGTGAAGCATTGGATGCAGCTGGTAGTAAGTCGGCTTTGCTAACCTATGACGCGTACTTCACTGAAGGAGACACCTCGGTATGCGCAGCCGAGGAGGCAGCAGCATACTCAAGGTGCTTTCCGACTGGAGTTCTAGACTATGTTGATTGGGTCAACATCATGGCGTACAATATCAATCAGGATAACGACACTGCTGCGGCCGTTTATGCTACAGCTGTGAACACGACTTTTGTTGCGTGGGGTATTCAACTCGGTGGAAACTTTTCATTTGCTACAATCGGATTTTGTGTCGAGGGAGGGTGTGCTTTTGGTCCTGGACCAAATGCTGCAGTGATTGCTGAATGGGAAGCATTTGCTCGCCAAGATGGATACGGAGGCATGATGATTTACTCTGCATCAGCCGAGGTAGCTCACGATTTTCAAGTTACCAGGAGTATCATTAGCACGACGTGAGAATACTTATAGCCTTGAACTGAATAACCGTAGTAACAATAGTTTTTAACGGACATTTATCCCGGATCACTTTTCAAAGCATGTGAGACCAACCTAGCTTATACGTTTTGTGTATGATGCTTATGGTTGGGTAGACATCAATGGCCGAGCTTTACGTCGCTCCTTATAGTTTATTTGTGCCATTATGATTGCCAGAGGTATTGCAACCACCAAGCAAGGTGGTAGTTATCCCGTCAGCATAGAATCACAGTTAAGGACATACAACTGCAGCACTGGTCGCCTGCTACGTCAATGCAAGTGTTACGTGGTAATTATGAGCGTACAGCCGGTCCGGCATATATCAGCATTCAGCGAGGTGAAAAAACCCAAGCTATTCGTAATGTGTTTCTTTTCGATTTCATGAACTTATTTACTGACGTGCACTGTACCCACACAACAACTCCCTCTCACTCTCTTCACCACTCGAGTGTCTCGGGCAGATATTTCTTGGCAAGCTGCAAGTAATACTCAAGTTCATCATCGACAACGATGTTCTCCACAGTACTCTCCGACACAGAAGCCACTCTGCCGAGTGAGCTAATCCATTCCTTGGTGTCCGCATTCTGAGGTGCGCACAAATCCTCGTAGTTATCCTGCTCATACCACGTTTTAAGCGACCAGAAACGAACGATGTCCAAAGCTTCTGCAGGAAGCGTGGTCTTGTTAAGGGACAACACACGATGTAGATATTCATCCGGAGTCCATGGCAGCATGACGTGCTCCAAGCCACAATGACTAGCAGCGCTACATTCACTCTTCAAAGCATTGCAATGGTCCTCATTCAGCTCATTCAGCTCCGAAAATCTGATCGAGTGTGGAATAGCCTCACCTACAACCCACGTCGAGTTCTTGGCCAGCCACTCTTTCGCTGAAATACTGCGCAACGCAGCATTCTCGTCGTCTGTCCAGCACAAGAACAACATTCCTAAAGCGCGAAGAAAAACAGTCAGTTGCAGCCAATCGGGGTGTCCGTCCTTCTTCACGGCAGCTGCCGTAGCTAACATGTACTTGATCACCCAGCTCTTCGTTCGGTCTAAGTCACCAGTTAGTTCCATCACACACTTGCAAGCTTCTGGGACTGACAATCTTGCATGTTGCAAGTCCCCGTACTTGGCTATTTGTTTCTTTACAAACGCAGTCGTTTGATACTTTCGCATAATTTTGTCGAGAAGCGGGTATGCACCTGCCTTGTTGCAAACCAACGACATGGCGTCACCACCATCCCAAGGCACGGGATGATCTAATACCTCGACTCGTTTTGCAGATGAATTGATGCACAAATAACTCCCGTGGAAGCTACGAAGTGCCACACCACCAGCAGTTGCAGCAACCTCATCATCATGTTGTGGTACAAGTTGAAATGTCTCCCAGGTTGAATTCAGCGCACGATCGGCTAAAATCGTGCCATCTTCTTCCACACATAAAAACTTACCGTAAACACTGCGAAGAGAAATTTCTCCCGTGGCACCAAGTAATGTTTGCCACATGCATCCATTGCTCTTGGAGCTCAAAGTCACGTCTCCGTCCTCTCCAGCCACAAGACAAGCACCATCTGGAGTCTGCAACGTTATCATGCAGAACCACGTGCTATCTTTGGGTTGAATCGGAAAAAAAGTGTCATTCTCGAAAACCGACACCATTGACACTTTGCGAAAGCAATCGTTGCCATTATAAAGGAAAAGTTTCTGTACCTCGGGCATTTCAGAAAATCCCCATCCATGATAAAGTCCTACCAATTTACCAAACCGTTTCGAGTCTTCTTCGGCTTCTAAATAGAGTGCACGCACTTGTTTTTCCTCTAACGTAGCAAGCGTTGCCAAATAAAGCACACGGGCCAAGCCTAAGCCACGAAACTCCGTATCGACCACTACAGACTTGACATGAGCCGTTCCATTCTTCTCTAAGGTAAAAATAAGTTTTCCAATGGCACCACGTTGTGTTGCTATTGTTGCCAGTACAATATTTAGCATACAAAAACGTTAGCAAATGGTTAGTCATGTGGGAAAGGAAAAGTAAATTATGTTGTTACATACAAGCAAAAAGCACCCAACGTAGTTCCTTTGTACGACGATCATCAGTAAATTGTAGTCGGAAACGGACGATAGGGGCAGCAGTTGTAAACACATCTATAATGGACGCGTTCGTGCCCACCGGCAGCTCTGACAACTTTAGTTTCATTGTAATGTTTAGTCTTTTTGGTAATATAAAGAATGAATGTAAATAGGAAGAATAATTAAACATTGGGTACTACTGACTGGTTGAAGAATAAAAGGGTTCATTACTTATTCCATCATCTTATTCTTCTTCTAGCACTTTTTTTCAGCTGATGGATGTTTTGCAGCTAAATAAGTGTCTTGTTACGTATTAATGCTTCGTCTGATATGCAGAATAATTGCGACAGGTGGACGGGGAGACAGGACAGGTGGTACATTATTTTCATGTGTGCAAACCGGAATTTTATCAATAAAATCAACAGCACTGTAATCATTTGATTACAAGAATTTTTAGAGCTGCAATCGCAAGCTCAAAATGTAATAGCCGGTACACTCAAGGTCGTTAGTCCTTGAAGTTCAAATAGCAATGCACCGACTCTATCACAACCACCACCTTCGACCTCACTAACTTCGTCGACATTACTGTTTTCAATGCTATTGGTGTCCAAGTAACGAGTGGCATGATACCTAATGATGGCCAAGGTTTCTTCTTTAATCAATTGTTTTGTTTAATAGGTTTGATCTGTTCTCATAAATTAATGGGTTCGTAAGGTGAGCTGCCGATTACCTTTCGCACATAATCACGGCTTTTGTCTTGATGTTTGCATCTTCGGAGTGTTGTACAAGAGCTACCGCTGATCCGCCATCGACTTTATCAACTTTTGATGTACCAACAGGTGATGCTGATGCTTTTATGCTACCCACATGGTCAACAGTTACTGCGGAAATTGGTTGCGGGAGTAGCTGAGGTGCAATGAAAGAACGTAGTTCGAATGCGACCTCCATTGCAGTTGGTCGGGATGCCGGATCCAAACTCAAGCATCGTTGAGCGAGAGCACGAATTGATGGTGGACAGTCATCACGGAAATTGGGCAGCAATTTACCCTCTGATACAAGATGAACGATCTGCATGCTGCGCATTTTGGCGTATCGGCTGAAACTATAAGGCAAAGCGCAAGTATCGATCTCCGATAGCACCACACCAAACGAAAAGAGGTCACTCTTTTCGTCGTAACGCTTTCCTTCCAACACTTCTGGTGCACTCCAAAGGATTGTACCAATGCCGTTCGTCATCGTATCTTCGACGGACCGCTCACGACTGAGTCCAAAATCGCTCAGCTTGGCACGTAATCGTCGATCCAGCAGCACGTTCTTCGACTTGAGGTCACGATGTATCACGACTGGTACAAGCGAATGTAGATACACCAGAGCCTCAACAATATCACTGCTCAATGTCAACTTTTCTCTGTCCCAGCTCAGCTGCTTACGAGCAACTGGATTCGCCAGAAGACTCTCTAGGTCGCCTCGTGGCAGATATTCTGTCACAGCACACAAATGTAGCAGAGACTGCCAGGCAACTCCACAGAAAGCCACAATACGGGGGTGCGCTAAAAGCGATGCCATCCTTAACTCCTCTGCAAACTGTTCAAGCGCTTCTGGATTCTCACGCTTTGCTGGCAATAAGCATTTCATTGCCACATAACGAGTTTCGTACTGGCCTAACCAAACTTCACCGCTACCTCCCTTTGCAAGCAGCCTCAAAAAGTGTAACTGCGCAAAGGAGATGCGTTTAGTCACAATGGCTGGATCTGACACAAAGGCGCGCAAGATCTTGCTCTTGCGGCACAGCTGGTCATTGGATAGCGTAATCTCAGCTCGCGTCGTTGCCACGAGCGCAGAAGTCCGATGAATACCCGGAGAACGTCGACTGCGTGGTCGAGCACCGAAGAATACTTCCATCGGGGTAAGTCGTTCTTCCTCCGACGCCCCAGCGACGGCTAAAGATGGAGCCAGCGGTCCCCCCCAGAAGGTGCGATGTCGGTGACCAGCGACCATCATCCCAGGAACCTTCAAGCTTCACCCGGTTGTAAGCATCCTGTACGCAAGCACGAGAACGGCTTAACCACCAGACAGAGGCCGACAAGGCTACGCAAATCACCATCAATACTGTTAAAAGCACAATGGCCGTCGTTGAGAAAGTTTGAGGTGAAGGCAGTGATTCCATCCTAAGCCACGTGTTCATCATTACTCCATGCGACGGTAGACATAAATTGACTTCTGTAAAGCTGCTGCTATTAGCTGTAGAGCTGGTATTTCCGCTATAACTCACGACATTCACATTATCCGCTACACCTCGACACGGTAGAATAAAGTTCATGTGTGGCTGGCACGACTCTAAGCCCGTAAATGTCGCCTCTGACAAGTGAACAGCAAACAGTGATTGACTGGCCTCCACTCCAACGGCTGTATGCCGTCTCAGCACAGGCTCGGGAACACTCGTACTACGCCCATCTTCAGCCCAAAAGACACCTGTCGCCTGATTCTGCCCATCCATAGCTGATGCATACACTGCACATCTGGTAATGGGTATAATCTGTCCCACTGGACAGCCGTCCGGCAGGAAATGTCCGATAATCCCGCAGTTCTCCGTGGTGCAATTGCCTTCACTGCTGTTATCTGGGAGTGTATTAATCTCCGCCAGTTCTGGTACTAAATTATCCATCCCTTCACTGCACGCTGTGTATATTTGCACGAGTTTCGTGTCGTTTTCTGCTGTAAAGGATGAAGATGCCCCGACCGGCGGCGCGAATACAAAGCCAGAGTCCCATAGCAGCGCGCGCTGCATGAGCCCCGACAGATCATTCCATTCTAGAGAATATATAGACAATCTGTTGGTCACAGTGCTTGGAAGCGCGCTAGAACTGAGAGAAAGCTTGGCGACGGAGCTGCCGGACGTCTCTAGGTCGTAGAATCGGGCCACGAGGTCCCCAGCAGCCGTGCATTCGCTAAAAAGAAGCAGCAGACACACAAGACAAAGAGGAATGTGCACAGACACGAGGTGACGATGTTGCCGGTAGCGTGAAAGTAAGAAGAAGGCACCACGCCGCCGCACTGGAACCATGTGATTTGTTAAACAAGACACAATGTCAAGAAACAAAGGTTTCTCTACAAACGTGAGTAATAATGTCTAATTTTAAAATGACTGATTGCCACTGGGGACGTAGTCGAGTCATTATTACAGATGGAGATTAAGAAAGCTAAATTTCTGTTTTAATCGTTGTAAGCATATTACTTTTCCAATTAATGGCTACATATACAATTCTGCTTACTGCGTTGTTGATGCTTGGATTCATGTCACACAGCTGCGTATACAGCAATAGCTTCCACAATTTAGCATTTGCATTCAAAATGTGATAACGTCGCAAAACTGAAAGATATATTGTCGTAGCAACGCTATCGTCGCCTTAATCACAAGAAGCTGGGAGTAGTCCAACCTAGATCTCGTTACCGTTTTTGTGTCCAAACAGTAAAGCACAGCTGCCTGGTGGTGGTACTTCATCAGTTTGGGTTCTGTTCAAGAGACCTCCAATCTCGGACTAAAGGACGGTATTACTGAGCGACAAGCAATGTCGTGTGGGACAGGACCCGTTACGTGTACGCAACACGGTTACACAAATACACGACTCACTTACTCCCGCATTCATCTTCTGCGACTCGTAGACTGCAAGTGGTCAAATTCTTGACGAAACATTGATCGTGAATTCTTTTGACCTTGTTTTATAAGGTATCGTCATCAGAACGACGGCCATAGTCGCGGCTTCAATGCTTGCCTATGAAGAAAGTAGTAGCTGTACATGTAAGCTAAATATGTGTGTGCTCGCTTCGTGCGCTTACACAACTAGTTACGTATTAGACAATAAAGGGCTAAAGCGTATTTTACTTGTACCTTCTTATTGATATTTTCTTGTGATCCACTAAAATTGCGAAAACGACAAAAATTGCTAATTGATTATTTTATTGAGTCAACAACGCTTCTTAATTGAAGCAAAATTAATATATGCATTCTCACCTCGCTATTTTATGCCATCAATCTGACCATCACACTATCCATTCGTACGGATTCGCGTCGAGTTCGTATTGCGAGCAATGATGCAAAACATAACGACAATTATAGAGCGCCACTTTGCAGTAAATCATCACGAGATTCTACTTTCATCCGTTCTCTAACGTTTAGCACGACGGAGTCTTACAAAAGAAACTATAGCTTTGCAGAGGACTCGTTCTAGAGTGACAAAGGGAGTGATATCTGTGATATTTGTCTCGTAGAGGCGTTGGTTGTATTACCAAGAATGCATAAGCTTGTGAAGCTAGCCTTGAGAAGGTTAGGAATCCTTATACGTAAATGTCGTCGAGCTAGTCTTTTTCTGCACTTAGTGCATTTTATAGCTTGGATACGGTAGCTTGGCTACATCTGGCAGCACTTGCAATCAATATAGCACCTGGGTCTGTGAATACTTCTCTGTGAGAGTGCCTCCAGCGTCCACATGCACCTCCGGTGGCGTATTACCGCCTCTTTTGGTTGATGTATGGAACAACCCCTGGAATTTTACCGAGGCTGGGTTGAGACATGACTTTAGTAAGCCGAACAGGGTGTGTTCGCATCTTCTTGGGATGGCCAAGCGTATAGGCTAAGCCCTTCTTACTCTGACATTGAAAGGTTCGATAAAGCGTGGACGTAGCTTGATCTTGTATACCGCAGGCACTGCGCGAGTAGGTAAATTCCTAGCTTTTAATAAAACCAAATCTCCCACTTTGAGCTCGTGTTTGTTCTTTCTGCCTTTGGCATCTGCTTCTCCCTTCTGATCATCTTGGCTTTCAGCCATAGCGCCTTAACGCGACGTAAAAAAAAAATACGTCAAAACGCGTTAAAAGAAACGCTCTTACCTTCTTGCGAATTGCAACAGGGCTGATATCAGCCAAGCCTGCGGCTATCTCTCCCCCCACTAAGCCCTGAAGCGGCAGGGGGTTAGCGTTAGCGAAACACGAGGATTAACCAAACCGTTCACATAGAATGGGGTGAAGCCTGTTGAGACATGCACCACATTTTTTTAAGCAAACTCAATTAGTGGAAGCATCGTACTCCATTGCTTTGGTGTTTCAGCACATACACTTCAAAGCATATCAACAATAACGCGATTCACGCGTTCTGTCTGACCGTCGGTATGCAGGTGATCTGCCGTGGACATGTCCAGTCGAGTGCCCAGAACTTTAAAGACTGACGCTCAAAATTTACCCGTAAAACGGGGGGGTCTCTATCAGAGACGATTGCCAAAGGCAATCCGTGTTGTCTAAACACGCGATCCATGAACAGATTAGCTGTTCCTTCTCCATCGATGGATTCCAGCACTGCCGCTAAATGAGCCATCTTGCTGACTCGGTCAACAATGAGCACAGCCCCAGTGTTGCCTGCCGCATCGCGCGGTAGGCTAAACAAAAAGTCCATACAAATGGACGGCCACAACCCCGAGGGTACAGGTAACCTCGCGAAAGGCGCAGTCATACTAGGCGAGATATTTACCATTTATTACGTTTCACACGTGCGTACATACGTACCAACCCATTGACACAACTTGGGCCACCAATAATGGGTGCCCACCGAGCTGTAGGTCTTCTCACGACCTAAATGACCACCAAGTGGTGTATCATGAGCCTCATAAAGTATCTTATACTTGAGATCCTCATCATGAGGCACCACAACACGAGGCTGATCATCCGACCCTTTATTATACCATCGGTCAGTGCATAACGATATAATCTTGCATGATTACGTGGTGACAGCTTTACCTTAGAGTTTGCAAACTCTGCGCTACCCAGCGCCTGAAGAGTAGAAACAAATGCTTAATCGCGCGCATACACCACACGGATACGGTTTGTTACTGACGAACTCACAACAGTGAGATGAGCAAGCTCATAGCCAGGTCTATGTCATAACGCGTCAGCCAAAACATTCTGTTTTCCCGGCTTATACTTCACCTCGAAGTTATACTCCACGAAAAAGGAGAGCCAACGAGCCATTCTCTGCGAGAGATGAGGCGACTGTGTTGCTGTGCGTAACGACGCATGATCGGTTTAGATCACAAACGACTTTGAGCCCAACAAGTGTACCCTTAACTTAACAAGGGCTTTTTTCATGGAAAGTAGCTCCTTATCACTAGAAAGTTCTTCTCTGAAGATTTGAGCTGGCAAGTCTCAAACGCAATGACACATCACGACCCTCATCTTCTACTAGCAGTAGCGCACTGCCAATGGCAAAGTTCGAAGTGTCACACACGACGCAAAAGAACAACCAGGATCAGGCAAAGCCAGAATTGTCGCCTCAAGGAGACTCTCCTTAATGTCTTGAAAAGCCTCGTAGTGCTCGGTTTTACAAAACCATTCCACATCCTTTTTAATGGAGATTCGACAATAGATTAAGCTAATTCCGCATAGTTGTGGTGATCCTTATGCAAGTAAATCGCCAACCTGAATTTCTTGAGGAAGTTCTTTTGGCTCCGAATCGTCCAATCCACTAAGGCTTTGACCTTGACAGGGTCTGCTCGATAACTCGCATCCCAATGAAGCACCCCAAAAAAGAGAATTTCTTCCTCACCGAAGGTGCATTTGTCAATGCTCGCATAAATCTTGTGCATCCTCGTGCAACCGAGCATAACTAGCAAATGCCACTGTGGTTCTCCACATCAATCTTAACGTCTTCGGTTCCACTGTGGACGAATATATTGTTGAGTATGCCTGCGCAATACACCCCGTAGGGCCACAATAACAGCTTCACCATCTGATTTGAACGTTCCAGGTGCATTAGACAACCTTTACGGCATTACTATCCTATCCCAGAGCATAACGCTTGTAATGATGACCGCTGTGAGTGGAAAATCACTAGCTTGCATGAGCAGTTGGTAATATCCATCGGCTAAGTCGAGGGCACTGTAAAATGTATATCCCACAATATTGTTCTGAGAAAATCCTTGCGAGAAATCGGTGTTTTGAGCCGGGATGATAGCTGCATTCAGCTAATTGTAAGCATGCACTATTTACCACTTCCCATTAGGCTTTCTCACACAAAACGTGGGCGTAGAGTAAGGAGACTTACTCTCATGCACCATACCAGCCGCGTGCTTTGCACGAAAGAACTGGTCAATGACGTCACATTTTTCTCGTGGCAGCGTCTACTGCCGCGTCACGCAGTATTTGGTTCCTGGAACCAAGCCAATCTCATGACGTACACCTCTTTCCGGAGGTTGCCTCGTCGAAGATTGTTTAGACATGACATCGCCGTACTACTTCAGCAAAGGAAAATACGGATCAGATGGGTCCTTCAAGATCTGCGATCCGCTTTGCGCATTCAGCGCCTTATTACTATTTTCAAGATATGCTTTATCCAAAGGCTGTGAGGAGCTCGACTTACCTTCAGGTCATATTGTAAGGTGCTTGCACCTCGTTATTCTTAAAGAGCCCATAAGTTGGTAAATTCATCCGACCCTCCAGGGTCAGTACCTCGTCGCTTATGTCGCTTGGACTCTTGTCCTAACATCTTGGCTCGTAGCCACTCACACTACTCATGGTGTCTAATGATGCATCATCAATCTTTTAAAACATGTCATGTGTATCGTCTAGTGTTTTCTCAACCACACTACTTTCCGCCCATAGGCCTCGCCCGTGACTGCTGTCCGCAATACTTACAGTGTCCACAGATTCCGATAATTCAACATCCAGCATATTTGCCGATTTGGTCCAATATCCGCGCCAAAAGCGCTTTTGCTTCCTAGCAGAGGTGGGTTCATGACTCTCTAAAGCCCCACCAGGTGCATTGCGCGTTGAGCCTAAGTACGACCTCCAATCAATCCATGGCTCATAGCATTTTAGCCATTACATGCCTAGATGAGGTCATATCTCGCACCCAGGTCTAAGGCCAAACAGCGTTCCATACTGTTAAAGTCCAAGTAGTACATAGGGACTTTTGGTAAAGTAACTCGCGTTACCCGTCGATAAGTGAACTGCCGCGTAAGTCGTCGGAAGCAGCTGCTCCGACGTGATGTCTTCCATAAAGACTGAAACGGGAGCCACTGCTCGATCGTGGCGCATCGATATCTGATGCTTAGATGAAGTTGGGGTTTAAATTGCAAGCACTGGAAACCTCGGCTTTGGCGCAACCTTCGCAGATCCCATTCTCACGGGAGACACTGCTCGCTCGTGACGCACGGAAGGCCTCCACCTTCTAGCGGTTTTGATAGAACGCAAACGCATGGAAGCCGCTACTCGACCATGAGACACCCGTTGCCACTTCTGCGTGTTAGATTCTTGACTCAGAAATCACTTTTTGACTGAGGGGGGAGCAGGTTGCTGAGTTACACACCACACTCGAAGGGTCATCGCACACTTCAGGGGAATGATCAGTCGTGAAGTCAGGGTCCACGACAGCAACATGCTCCCGAGTACTCGTAGGTCATTTAATAATGGCGAGAACCGCATTGATATCAATGTCACGTGGTTGAACCGTGCGATTCAGCCAATCAATGTCAAGTCGATGCCGTGCAAGCCACGGCATCCCATTAATACAGTCGAATGACCGCTTAAGTCGATAACTTGGAATTCATCACTGCTCTCGAAAGCATCGAGCCAGCAAGGAAGCACGACCGAACATTTCGGTGCATGCGGGGCTTGCCGTCCGTACACTCGACGTTCATCTCCCCTGAAGACTCGCGGACACGCAACCACGACGGGAGAACAGGTAAACTTTCGGACAAAATTGATCGTCGCGCCTGAGTCCAGCAATGCGCGGAGTGGACGTGACGTATCGTCAACGTGAAAACTAAGCACGATTAAACGCGGATCATTGCTGAACGTGGAGGCATTCAGCTGTGCATAGTGCACAGCGGGGATAGGAAAACGTGTCGCCGCTGTAGACACGTGTCTCCTTTTCCACCTAGTAGGACGCCCCGCCCTACTGTTTGCCGTCGTTTTTGGCTGATCAGCGGCGTTGAAGACGACGTCGGACGCAGCGACAGCAAGGACTGGTGCAGGTGAACGGCATAAAGCCGCGTGGTGACCAGAATTACGACAATGGAAGCAAACCAGCCGTTTCGATGCTAGAGGCTTCTGGATTCAGGCACTTGGAGCACGCCGAGAGTATGTAGCATGCTCGATCGTGTTAACCTCCATAGGCTTAGGCTCTTGAGTATCAGGAGGGGGCGAAAAATATTCCATGCGCGAAGACATGACACTGAAGTCCTTACGCAACGCGATTGCAATGGTTCTTCAAGCAACGTATGGGGCTTTCGCGTCAAAAAAACTCGCTGGTGCTTAGCGTTCAGTCTCGTGAAGAAAACGTGGACTTGTGTCGCCGTATCGATCGTATTGGTGACGATGCAGGACGCCAGATGTCTTTCTAGCTGGATATAGTCCAGCCTCGACAGACGACCCTGCTTTGGCGCCAAGAAAGCCGAGCGGTGAGGAGGTTCATCCTGCGGAAGCTCAAACGCCCAGGCGCAGGTCGTCCTTGGCCTTCATATCCAAAAAACATCCCGGATCAGCCACAAGCATGCCCAGAGCCCACTCCATCGCCTAGCCTGCCAACTTGGACAAGAGGAAGTGGGTGCATGCAAAATCTGACTTGAGCTGAAGGGCTTGGACAGCGATATCCAGCTCACAAAGCCATCGATTAAGCGCGAGGCGCTTTGAACCTTCGCCGCTATATCACGAGACGTCGAGTTTGACGACGTTAGACCCTGTGGCAAACGCGGAAGTTGAGAATCGCCGACGGAACTCGGTGAGCTCGCGGTTGACGCAGCCTTGGATGGCTACACGCTGTAGTCCTTAAGCATGGCGACAACGATAGTTATACCGGAAACGTTCGATAGGCAACGCAGTGCTTCCCACTCGAAAAAGGTCAGATGCTGGTAGTCATCATGATCCATCATCCCTCCCTCAGCGCCTGAATAGGCAGAGCGCTCACCTTTGTTAGAAGGACTACGAAGTGCTAACAGGTGTGCGGGGTAAGGACCCGTTACGTAGCTTACACTTAAGGGCTTACGAAGAAACGTTAGGTAACACGCGTTAGGTAACACGCGTTAATCAAACGCGTGTGTTTCGTTAATATCAAAATGTAGCTCTGTTTTATATTTATAATTTTTAATCTAAGTACGGGTGGTCTCCAAATGTCTGAGAGCCATTCAATATAAAGGTTGCATCCTATTGGCTGATAATGGGGCAGATTCCCTCTTATCAACAAATGGAAATACGACATGCTGTACCCGCTACATTTGGTACAACGTTACCTTATTGTGCAATATTATGCTACTAAGTCTACTTATAAAAAGACTGCTAGGTCGTCAAGTGAAATACGACATGCTTACCCGCTACATTTGGTACAACGTATACCTTAATTATGTATATATATACTTAGCTAAGTCTACTTATAAAAAAGACTCCTAGTTCGTACCTAGCAGGTTGTGTACGGTACACCCGTTACATAAAGTGCTTCGTTCGATTGCTACGTCTTACTATGCTCGCTAAGTCTTCATTTACTTGCTTCGTTAATCTTCCTGTGTCTAAACCTCGAATTGTTCTTTTTACTGGATTCTTACTCGTAAAGAATCAGTATAAAGATCATCATCAATCGGCTTATCTCACATCAAGGTGCAATCTTGCGTACCTGATGGTCAAGCTGTATTCACTATCGTGTAATTACGCAAGAAGCTATCCTTTGATATGACCTCCACAACATAAATCTAATTAAGTGTTGCAGACACTATGTAGCGCAACTTTAACACTCTGTAATTGGCGGAGTTAAGATTGTATAGCCCGGCCGAGCTGTTTTAGGATGCTCACAAAGATTTTATGATCAAAAATGTGGAAGCATGTCTTATTGTGCGATTTGCTGAGTAGGTTATCAAGTTGCTAGCCTAGTTTATAATATACACGTATCTGAAGGTTAATGGCTACCGTTGACTGACGCAAGACTCGCATAACTTTGTCGAATGAAGAATGAAATTTTGACGAGCGTCGCGGGCTTGGGTTTCAGTACGCGACTTACAATAGTGTACTGACCAAGCAATATTACGCCCCATTCTTCAATTTGCTTTGGTAATATCGGTCTCCAACTTCCTGTGCCGATCTTGTTCTTCAAATCTTCAACCAAGATGTGTACCCTGAACTTTACAAGGGCATAATGACTTGTAAGTAGCTCCATATTATGATGTGGATAGTTTTTGCCTCAGCTTTGAGCTGGCAAGATTCAAATGTAATGACAAGTCAGGTCGCCCTTGAGGGACCGGGGTCTACCTAGGGCCCATCTTGAGGTACCGAGGGCTAATTTAGGATCACGGTCTACTTTGAGTGAACGGGGTCGCCCATGAAGGACGAGGGTCCACATTGAGAGAAGAGGTCAAGCGACGAGGTACCGGGATCGACCTCGAGAGATCAGGATCTACCGATGTGGGACCAGGGTGACCTTGAGGGACCGGAGTCTACCAGGGTCCACGTAGAGGGACCAAGGTCTTCATTGAGAGACCGAAGGAGTTAATACGCGTCGTCACTTACACTTTGAGGGTACGAAACGGCTTCGTAAGCAGTCTTTAAAGCGTGTAAAGCTTTGTCTTTTGTCAAGCGCAAGGTGCAAAGACTTTGTAAGCTCAAGAAGCAAGTGTTGAGATCACTTATATGCTTCAAAAGCAGAGCTTACACTGAAGTTTCCGGAGCTTTCGCTGCGAGACCGACGAATCGTGGGTACTCGGGTCTCCAAACAGTGTACCGCGGTCACACAAAGTTACGTACATATAATGCACTTCTGCCACTCCATTTCTCGTGGCTATATTGATTCACGGCCCTCATTGATGTGACCGTACCTAAGGTACAATGGGTTCACAACGTAGTAAATAGCCATGTGGCCGTTTACTTGGTTATTTACAAAGATAATAGATGTGTATATAGTAGAAAAGCTACAGAGACAATTATTAAATATTGTGACTTGCACTAAGTATAGACGAAGTGTTTCTATATTAGTGTGGTGAAGCGTTTCAAGGATTGGTAGGTCAGAGGACCGGTGGGTCAAAGAGAAGGGGACCCGCCAAGCAGGAGCAACCGTTGAGTAAGGGACATAGAGACGGGGCGCTAAAAAGGGATGGGGAATGACCGTTGTATGAGTAGAATGTAAGGTTAAAGCGTGCTCCATTCAGATGAGTTAATCGCAGTTAGGCCGATGGACCGCTTCCGCGAGGTGGACCCCGGTCTTCCAAAGTAGACCCTGGTCTATCATGGAAAGACCTCGATTTTTCATAAAGGTAGACCTTGGCCCTTCGGTCGGTGGACCCTCGGACCCTGTCCCCAAAGGTATACCTTGGTCTTGCATCAATGAACCTCGGTCACTCGGTCACTCGGCCCCTCGGTCACTCGGCCCCTCGGCCTCTCGGCCCCTCGGTCACTCGGCCCCTTGACAAGCAGAATAAAGAATCAGGTCTCGGGGTTAAAGATAGAGTAAAGACGTTGAAAGATAGGACCATATTAAATACTACTCAATTTTCGATCTACATATCACACCTCCGTCGTGCTTTCAAGGTACTTACTAAGTTTACCCACTTGTTCCAGGAAGGGATATATTTTGGCCCCTGTCGAATAAAGTTGTGTGGTGAGACTCAAGTGCAAATAGGACGCCAGAATACATTTAGACTGTGTGTTCGTCTGAGTAGCACCCAGCTCAACCCGCTATCGGAAGCGGTCTCCCTACCCTAGTGGTCCGGGAGCAAGTAAAGGCCAGGCGGTTAACACCCCTCAGATATCGAGGAAAAGGAAGGAAAAGGCCAGGGTTGAGAATCTCCCCTGAAGAATTTGTATATGTACACCTTCGACCTAGTCGACCGAGTGGCCACCTACCCGTCTACCGAGTGAAGTATACCCACTCGAGGCACCCCAAGGTCGACCTTTCTCAAGGCTGGCATCACATCTCAACCAAGTCCTCCGAAGAGTGCAACCCGCCAGCCGACGGGTACACAAGGTGAGAGAAGGTCTATACGCGGCATCGGGGTACCCCGTCTGACAGTCGGCAGTCCGACACAGTGAGTGGCTTGGGGTCTCATTACGTAGTTTTGAGAACCCACTCCACCACAGTAGCTAGACGATAAACATTAAATAAAATTGTTTGAATCCTGCTCTGTAAAGCATTTGTTGCTTGAGAGTATTTCATACAAAGAAATTAGTAATAGAAACTGGTTGTATACAACAAAAAAGCATTAGTTTACAAAGCTAGCCTTGAGAGGGTAGAACCTAAAAGACGTAAAGATCGTAGAGCTTGTCTTCCTCCACACTTATGGCATTTTGTAAATTGGCTACGGTAGCTCGGCTACATACTGGCTAGACTGTACCAAACTTTTGCTAAAACTTGCATTACTCCTCAATCATGCATATCAAATGTAATAGTATACGCCGTCGGTCATGTTCAAATTTTGCAGCCCTAGAAAAAGCGCGTAGATGATCGAAGCCAACAAGTAATAGGAGATCTTGGAGCTGATCCAAACGTTGAGCACTACCAGATCCTGTCAAATCGTCGATAGCCAAACTCTGCATTTAGAGCTAGTCATTGGCACTGACAATTCATCCCGCCATGATCAGGTAGGTCATTTGTATCGACATCAATCTTTTACGTTTTGTGTAAACTTGACGTTTAGTACATAATGTATACATTGCTGGGTACTGTGCACAATATTTTATCGACTGGCTCACAGTCAATCACCCCTTGTAACACGATGGCACCTGCTACGTTTGAGCAGAAGCTGGCGCATCTTAAGCGCGAGGCTGAGCACTATGCTGATTACCTAAGTGATGAAGAGACGGAGGATGAAATGACGATTAAAGCCAATGAGGAGGCAGATTTTTGTAATGACTACAGTATGGCCGTGGTGGTAGGCGGCCTGCCCGTCGTAGACGAATCCAAGCACAGCAAGTTGCTGAATGTGGTGAAGAAGATATTTGGTCAAGTGGGTGTTGTAGTGGACATTCAAATGCCATTTTGTGCTAATGGCAAGACAACTGGCTTTGCCTTCGTCGAGTACGAGCAGGAGGCACACGCTAATGACGCTGTGCGTACGATTAACAATTTTGCCCTCGACAAACGCCACACCATGATTGTAAACAAATATGAGGATATTGAACGCTATCAAAATATAAATACCGAGTTTGTGTCACCTAATGTGGAAAATTTTGTGGAGCCTAAGAACCTCCAGACGTGGCTCATGGATCCTGCACGTCGTGACATGTTTGTGCTGCGTCATGGCTCGGAGACGGAAATCTTTTGGAGCGACAAGGGAGAGGTCGAGTTCGTTTACGCTGGAGACCGCGAAAAGTCAAATGGCAAACAGTGGTGCTCGCAGTACGTGCTATGGTCTCCTCAGGGTACTTACTTGGCCACTTTCCACCCACAGGGCATTGCCATCTGGGGCGGTGACAAGTACGAGAAGGTCGGACGTTTTGCTCACAAGAATGTCAAGCTGGCTGTTTTCTCGCCTCTTGAAAATTATCTCATTACAGTAAGCGAGACCGACCAGGACTCGGCTATCATAATTTGGGACGTAAAGACCAGCAAGATGCTGCGTGCTTTTCCTGCTGGCAAATCTACGGGTGTCAAGGGTGAGGTAGTACAGGGCATCATGACACCTTTTAAGTGGAGCGCTGGTGACAAGTATGTAGCTCGACGTGGCAATGATGTCATCAGTATCTACGAGCTACCGTCCATGAAGCTTCTTGAGAAAAAATCGCTGCGTGCCGAGGGCGTTCACGATTTTTTCTGGTCGCCAACCGACTTAATTTTGGCCTACTGGGCGCCAGAAGGCAACAACGTGCCCGCCCGTGTGTCGCTGGTGGCGCTTCCATCCCGCCGCGAGGTGCGTCAAAAGAACTTGTTTAACGTGAGCGACTGCAAGCTGCACTGGCACCCGAATGGCACCTTCCTGTGCGTCAAAGTCACTCGTCACTCCAAATCAAAGAAGACCATGTACACAAATTTTGAGCTGTTCCGTTTGCAAGAGCAGCTGGTGCCAGTCGAGATGCTTGAGGTTAAGGACAACATTGTTGCGTTTGCATGGGAGCCCAAGGGCACGCGTTTTGCCACCGTGCACGGCGAAGGCCAGCAGCGCTTGAACGTGTCGTTCTATGACATGGACGGTGGTAACAAGGCGATGAAGGAGGTAACTCTACTGTATACTCTTAAGGGCAAGGCCTGTAGCCACTTGTATTGGTCGCCGCTTGGCAACAACATTGTGCTGGCTGGTCTTGGTGAGATCAACGGCCAACTCGAGTTCTGGGACGCCACTGAACAGCAGAGCATTACTGTGCAAGAACACTTCAAATGTACGCACGTTGAGTGGGACCCCTCTGGACGTGTGGTTGCAACGGCTGTGTGCCAACCCTTGGACAACTCGTATTACAAGCTTACTATGGACAATGGCTACACGCTGTGGTCATTCCAAGGAAAACAGCTTTTGGAGGAGAAGAAGGATGCGTTCTATCAGTTCCTGTGGCGCCCGCGTCCGCGCACTTTGCTATCTGACGCCGAGTACAAGAAGGTAGTGAAGAACCTTAAGAAGTTTGAGAAGCGCTTTGATCAGATGGACCGCCTTAAGGAGCGCGAGCGCTTGGCCGTTGAGAATGCAGAGCGTAACCGGAAGGTGCAGGAGTTTCAAGAGTTGCTGCAAAGGCTCCTAGCCGCGGCCTCTTCACGTCGTACGGATTACATTGCGCTGCTGGACGGCTACGACAGTGAGGACGAGAGCGAGTATATAGTGCAGAGTCACACGTACGACGATGTGCTCGAAATTAAGGAGGAAGTCATGCGCAAGTAGGCATTTGTAGCCACCACATTATGAGACGGATATATTTATCGACGCTAGTGCATGAACAATAGGTGCCTCGTTGCTTGTGTGTGCGATGAATGATCATGTTGTGCGTGATGTGAATATAATGCGTCGTAGAAAGAAGCTAAGAGATTCATGTGTACTAGTCCTGTAACAACAATATGCTAGAGATTTTGCTGACCTCTCACATTAGAACAGATTTGTTTGCCTTTTTATTGAACTAAGGTCTGAGTGAGACTTCAATGGCGTTGCTACTCTTGAAGCCGGACGTGCGGTGCGTTACATTACATACGGTTGCGACCACAGCTCGTCATGGTGCTTGCGCGACGCTTTCTGTAATCATAAAGGTTGTGCTACCCCTAAGCGACAATTTGCTACAAACACGATATCAGACGAGGTAATGCAACGATATCAAGAACTAAGACACATTCTATCGGCGTTACTGTGGTTTTCAATGGGCTACAATGCGCTACTGCCTTGTCCTATTGTTCAGATCCAAGGTGTGTGGAGGGTTATCGTGTTTTATATACCAATGATCGCCAATGGTCATGGTTTTATTACCACAGTGAAGGTGTTTTCTTTTGTACTATGTGATTACCACAATGAAGGTGTTTTCTTTTGTAGTATGTGGCATTTTCCATGGCCAAAGGGTACATGAACAATTGAACCGCTACATATAAGACGTCTTTATGACGTCATGCCGAAACTTAATACTTCTCTCCAAAGCCACCGGATTAAAGTGATCAATTCAACGGAATTACTAATAAAGAGACGATTGTTAAAACTAACACTACCGAAGATCACGAAGCATTTCACGGGCTTGTATCTGCAATCAATACGTTGAAAGGAATCAACTTGCTTTAGTATTAATTATTTTGTTCTGACATAAACATTTACAGACTGCAAATTTGAAGAGCCTCTGCCGGACCCGGTAAGTTGAGTGCTAAATTCGATCAAGTGCTGGAAGAACGACATTTGGATGAGTTTGGTGCTGTCTTTAAACGTCGACTCTTGACATTTCGGTACATAACGCGATATTCCAATGTGCAAACTTTGCATTTGGCTCATCATTTCATCTGACGCAGGAACGAGGCTCCATCTATGAAAAGTGGTTTGCAAGCTCTGACTATATTGAGCATATTGAAGACTCACTGCTGGACAAGAAAAATTGCGTAAATTTGTTCTTGCGGAACGCTGCAACTGCATCGTGGATCTGAACAAATGTCGTTTCATTCTTTTAGCGATTTTATGCGTGTCAAGAACAAGTCTTACCAGGAGCTGGGTCAAGTACGCTCTCATCATGCAATACGGGACACTATATTGACTATTTTTGTATTATTCGATGTGTAGATCTGGGTATTCTTCTCAAGCTGCTATTGTAAAAATGCTCCAATGTCAGAACATATCACCTGCAACGTACTGAAGAGAAGATTGGCGACCCTACCGAGTAGTAGAGACAACATATACATGTTCTAAACAATGGCGTGAGAACCGGGGGGCGGTAGCATAATGAGCAACATGTGTTGATGCCTAACTTGTTTGACGGCTTCCAGAATTGTTCAAAAGGTAGAGCAATGTCATACCTTCGGGATTTAAATAACTGCAAGAAGCTCAAGTGTTTTCATAATTTCTGTCCTGAACAGTGAAGAAGGCCAATGTGCTTGTGCAGCTGATTGTGCGCAGGCGCCGCGTGTACACCGACAAATAGCATAATACTGCCCTTAAAGGATTTTGACGAACACTACAGCTACAAAACAAAGATAGTATCCATGGCAAGCATCTCACTGGCTATTTTCCTCCATCTGGCAAAATGGCGTCGGTTTAAAGAAGCTGCAATCATTTGTACAAGATGGTGCCTTGCTGCCCCTTGTAGAGTCTGTCAAGGACCACGACAAATAAACTTGAATTGTTTTAAGCCAACGCAATCTAAGAAATGCAGTCTCGAATTCCTCGTTCACAGCGATGTGCTTGCTACGTGTGTCTTTGCATGGCTGTTTGCGGACATTGCAAGTTTGATGGATCCTGAATCCTTCAGTGGTCGATATTATATTGGGAATGAGACCACCTTGTGTCATAAGAAGCAAATAGATTTGTCAGCTTAGCGCGTTACAGGCAATCCGTGTACCACTTATAACGTCACTGAAGAAAACTTAAACCATGTTGCAGCTTCACCGCTCGCAAACTTTTTGGTTGGCTGTTAACCTATAGTACGCGAAAACCTTAGTCCAGAGGTAAATCAACCAAGTTTTCTTTTTTTTGGATTCAAAGGCATGCACAACATGTTTTCATTTGTTTAATTAGTGGCTGAAGTATTCATATCATCAAATATGCTCTACTCCAAACAGAGTATATTACCCATCGTTACCAGTGTTGTAGCCGAGCTACTGTAGCAAAGCTACTTATGTACTAAGTGCTGAGGAAAACAAGCTCAAAGAGCTTTTACGTCTTAGGTTTCTTGACCCTCCAAGGCTAGCTTCACAAGCTTGTGCCTTTAGGATTATAAACAACAACGTCTCCAAGAGACTAGTATAAAAGATACTATTTCTTTTATAAAGGAAAAGAATGCTCCAGCACTTGTGCTATTCGTAGCAGGTTTGAAACTAATTTATTTAATGTAAAACTTCTAGCACGAATTTTATAAGCACCTACTCGATACTTAATGCTAGTCACTATTTACTGGCTCAGTAGCCTATTAAAATGCAAACAAGTATAGTTAAATACTTAACTAGGTATACTGACCACTGTCCGAAACCCCGAGCTTCTGGCGTGAAGCCTAGTTGCCGCCAAAGCGGCGAGCACGCTAGCGAGGCGCATCTTGGTTGAAGATTTGAAGAACAAGATCGGCACAGGAAGTTGGAGACCGATATTACCAAAGCAAATTGAAGAATGGGGCGTAATATTGCTCGGTCAGTGCACTATTGTAAGTCGCGTACTGAAACCCAAGCCCGTGACGCTCGTCAAAATTTCATTCTTCATTCGACAAAGTTATGCGAGTCTTGCGTCAGTCAACGGTAGCCATTAACCTTCAGATATGTGTATATTATAAACTAGGCTAGCAACTTGATAACCTATTCAGCAAATCGCACAATAAGACATGCTTCCACATTTTTGATCATAAAATCTTTGTGAGCATCCTAAAACAGCTCGGCCGGGCTATACAATCTTAACTCCGCCAATTACGGAGTGTTGAAGTTGCGCTACATAGTGTCTGCAACACTTAATTAGATTTATGCGTGGAGATCATATCAAAGGATAGCTTCTTGCGTAATTACACGATAGTGAATACAGCTTGACCATCAGGTACGCAAGATTGCACCTTAATGTGAGATAAGCCGATTGTTGATGATCTTTATACTGATTCTTTACGAGTAAGAATCCAGTGAAAAGAACAATTCGAGGAAGAACAATTCGAGGTTTAGACATACTTTATTATTAAACTATATTTAAGCTTGCATGTTGGCGAATTAGCGAAGACCGCAAGCAATAATAAAGCTCAACTTACATTTCTTATTAGCTAAGAGTAATGTACATCTTTTGGGTCTTTACTTGTTGATTCTTGTATAGAATCGTTAGTTCGTTGAACTAAAAGACTCTCTGAGTCTAAGTTTTCCTCTGGCGCCTGCCACTTGCAGGCCTCTCGCATTGCAAATATTGCTTTATAATGACGTACATTATTTGTTGTCCAAATGATGGGCGAGAAGCTTGAGCACATCATGGAGCTTTTCTAAATCTTAGCCTTACGATTCCATGTCTTGTGTTGCTATGTACTGTGTTGACAAAGTGTCATTTTACTTTACAGCTGCTTTTCATGCAATATCATGTTTGCTTGCTTCCACGTAGCCACCCAAAATTATCTTGATTACAGCGTTTTCACAAACTGAACAGGCTCCATTGTTAATGATCTCAATGATGTCCAATGCCAATTGACAATCTTGACGACCAGTAAGGTCATGACTAGCGTAATCAATGAGCTTGATTTTTGCATCTGTATTTTGCCGATCATCTGGAGCCATGATAAATACGTTGATGGCGTTACTGGAATCATCTGGAAAAAAGACCGGGGGCACAGCGGTTCTTGGCATTGAAATACATATATCTCATCACATTTTTGTATTTTCTAGGCCATTCGTTCGGGCATGATTTTTGTCCGAGGTTGGCGCAAAGGTAAAGAGAGTAAACATAAAAGGATACCATGAGCCATAGGCTCAGTGAACAAAGAGTAAGGCTGGGGGCGTCATGATACTGCGTCTAGACAGTTGAAACATGATGTTCAAGTGGCTGCCAAGGTGATGACGTGGTGAGAAGCGTAGGCGCATCCTTCATCCCGTTGGAACAGTGCTTTATTAAAGTATGTAAACCACCTCGTTTAAACGACCACGGAGTATTACGATACACTAATCCCTTTTACCAGGACTAATGCTCTAGCAACAAATGCTATACAAATAGTAGGCTTAATACTGATTTATATGATGCTTATCTTCTAGCATATCTTCTAGCACTGTATATAGAAGCACCTACACTGGCTTGGGTCAGTTGAATCGCTTTCATTGAATTACCAGATTGCTTACCCATGTCCAAGACCCCCGAGCTTCTGGCGTGAAGCCTAGTTGCCGCCAAAGCGGCGAGCACGCTAGCGAGGCGCATCTTGGTTGAAGATTTGAAGAACAAGATCGGCACAGGAAGTTGGAGACCGATATTACCAAAGCAAATTGAAGAATGGGGCGTAATATTGCTCGGTCAGTGCACTATTGTAAGTCGCGTACTGAAACCCAAGCCCGTGACGCTCGTCAAAATTTCATTCTTCATTCGACAAAGTTATGCGAGTCTTGCGTCAGTCAACGGTAGCCATTAACCTTCAGATATGTGTATATTATAAACTAGGCTAGCAACTTGATAACCTATTCAGCAAATCGCACAATAAGACATGCTTCCACATTTTTGATCATAAAATCTTTGTGAGCATCCTAAAACAGCTCGGCCGGGCTATACAATCTTAACTCCGCCAATTACGGAGTGTTGAAGTTGCGCTACATAGTGTCTGCAACACTTAATTAGATTTATGCGTGGAGATCATATCAAAGGATAGCTTCTTGCGTAATTACACGATAGTGAATACAGCTTGACCATCAGGTACGCAAGATTGCACCTTAATGTGAGATAAGCCGATTGTTGATGATCTTTATACTGATTCTTTACGAGTAAGAATCCAGTGAAAAGAACAATTCGAGGAAAAGAACAATTCGAGGTTTAGACATACTTTATTATTAAACTATATTTAAGCTTGCATGTTGGCGAATTAGCGAAGACCGCAAGCAATAATAAAGCTCAACTTACATTTCTTATTAGCTAAGAGTAATGTACATCTTTTGGGTCTTTACTTGTTGATTCTTGTATAGAATCGTTAGTTCGTTGAACTAAAAGACTCTCTGAGTCTAAGTTTTCCTCTGGCGCCTGCCACTTGCAGGCCTCCCGCATTGCAAATATTGCTTTATAATGACGTACATTATTTGTTGTCCAAATGATGGGCGAGAAGCTTGAGCACATCATGGAGCTTTTCTAAATCTTAGCCTTACGATTCCATGTCTTGTGTTGCTATGTACTGTGTTGACAAAGTGTCATTTTACTTTACAGCTGCTTTTCATGCAATATCATGTTTGCTTGCTTCCACGTAGCCACCCAAAATTATCTTGATTACAGCGTTTTCACAAACTGAACAGGCTCCATTGTTAATGATCTCAATGATGTCCAATGCCAATTGACAATCTTGACGACCAGTAAGGTCATGACTAGCGTAATCAATGAGCTTGATTTTTGCATCTGTATTTTGCCGATCATCTGGAGCCATGATAAATACGTTGATGGCGTTACTGGAATCATCTGGAAAAAAGACCGGGGGCACAGCGGTTCTTGGCATTGAAATACATATATCTCATCACATTTTTGTATTTTCTAGGCCATTCGTTCGGGCATGATTTTTGTCCGAGGTTGGCGCAAAGGTAAAGAGAGTAAACATAAAAGGATACCATGAGCCATAGGCTCAGTGAACAAAGAATAAGGCTGGGGGGCGTCATGATACTGCGTCTAGACAGTTGAAACATGATGTTCAAGTGGCTGCCAAGGTGATGACGTGGTGAGAAGCGTAGGCGCATCCTTCATCCCGTTGGAACAGTGCTTTATTAAAGTATGTAAACCACCTCGTTCAAACGACCACGGAGTATTACGATACACTAATCCCTTATACCAGGACTAATGCTCTAGCAACAAATGCTATACAAATAGTAGGCTTAATACTGATTTATATGATGCTTATCTTCTAGCATATCTTCTAGCACTGTATATAGAAGCACCTACACTGGCTTGGGTCAGTTGAATCGCTTTCATTGAATTACCAGATTGCTTACCCATGTCCAAGACCCCCGAGCTTCTGGCGTGAAGCCTAGTTGCCGCCAAAGCGGCGAGCACGCTAGCGAGGCGCATCTTGGTTGAAGATTTGAAGAACAAGATCGGCACAGGAAGTTGGAGACCGATATTACCAAAGCAAATTGAAGAATGGGGCGTAATATTGCTCGGTCAGTGCACTATTGTAAGTCGCGTACTGAAACCCAAGCCCGTGACGCTCGTCAAAATTTCATTCTTCATTCGACAAAGTTATGCGAGTCTTGCGTCAGTCAACGGTAGCCATTAACCTTCAGATATGTGTATATTATA